CAACAGAGGCGGTTAAATCTATCTAATGAATAACTTACAGCAAGTGTTCGCAGAGCGCGTCCTTATTCACGAAGCTCTTCCCACACTGGTCGCATTTGGGTCGGTCGCCGCTGTGATGGTTCCTCATATGGCCTCTGTGAGTCTTGCTTGATCTAATGAATAACTTACAGTAAGTGTTCGCAGAGCACGTCCTTATTCACAAAGCTCTTCCCACACTGGTCGCATTTGCACTGAAAAGTGTTTGGTTACTGCTTGCTTACCCAATAAAAGTGACCACCGAACTAAGTGTTAACTATAACCAAACTAAGTCTAGCTCACTACAGAATAATTTGTTTAATTTACACAACATTTTGTTCCTCATAACCAAAGTGTTCGGTGGTCACTTTTGTTGTGTAAGCAGTAACCAAACATTTTTTTCAGTGTGGGTCGGTCGCGGCTGTGACGATTCCTCGTATGGCCTCTGTGAGTCTTGCTGTTGATATCTAATGAATAACTTACAGCAAGTGTTCGCAGTGCGCGTCCTTATTCACGAAACTCTTCCCACACTGGTCGCATTTGGGTCGGTCGCCGCTGTAATGGTTCCTTATATGGCCTCTGAGTCTTGCTGTTGCTATCTAATAACTTACAGCAAGTGTTCGCAGAGCGCGTCCTTATTCACAAAGCCCTTCCCACACTGGTCGCATTTGGGTCGGTCACCGCTGTGTTCCTCATATGGCCCCTGTGAGTCTTGCTTGATCTAATGAATAACTTACAGCAAGTGTTCGCAGAGCGCGTCCTTATTCACGAAGCTCTTCCCACACTGGTCGCATTTGGGTCGGTCGCCGCTGTGTTCCTCATATGGCCCCTCTAAGTCTTGCTTGATCTAATGAATAACTTACAGCAAGTGTTCGCAGAGCGCGTCCTTATTCACAAAGCTCTTCCCACACTGGTCACATTTGGGTCGGTCGCCGCTTTGATGGTTCCTTATATGGCCTCTGTGAGTCTTGCTTGATCTAATGAATAACTTACAGTAAGTGTTCGCAGAGCGCGTCCTTATTCACAAAGCTCTTCCCACACTGGTCGCACTGAAAAGTGTTTGGTTACTGCTTACACAATAAAAGTGACCACCGAACTAAGTGTTAACTATAACCAAACTAAGTCTAGCTCACTACAGAATAATTTGTTTAATTTACACAACATTTTGTTCCTCATAACCAAAGTGTTCGGTGGTCACTTTTGTTGTGTAAGCAGTAACCAAACATTTTTTTCAGTGTGGGTCGGTCGCGGCTGTAACGATTCCTTGTATGGCCTCTGTGAGTCTTGCTGTTGCTATGTAATGAATAACTTACAGCAAGTGTTCGCAGAGCGCGTCCTTATTCACGAAGCTCTTCCCACACTGGTCGCATTTGGGTCGGTCGCCGCTGTGATGGTTCCTCATATGGCCTCTGTGAGTCTTGCTGTTACTAAAGTAAATGACAGAAATAAAAATACATTTTTGGTCAAAAAAAGATACCTTTCGTTATTAATTTTTTTGTATTTACAATACGTATAACTTGCTTAATCTCTGGTGAGTGAGAATTAAATTAGTGACTGTCTAGTCCTACCTACCGTTTTATTGGGTAATTTCGTAATAATAACATTTATTTTGATACTAGCTTTCTGCCCGCGGCTTCGCCCGCATGGAATTTTGTCTGTCACAGAAAAACTTTATCGCGCGCGTCCCTGTTTCAAAAACCGGGATAAAAACTATCCTATGTTCTTTCCCGGGACTCAAACTATCTCTATGCCAAATTTCATCAAAATCGGTTGCGAGGTTTAAGCGGGAAAGCGTAACAGACAGACAGACAGACAGACAGACAGAGTTACTTTCGCATTTATAATATTAGTTGGGATTTAAGTTAAAATAATACATGGCTACTTACGTTGAAACTTTCCCACATAAGTCACATTTGTAGGTGGTCGTCAGTCCTTCGTGTTGGCTCCTGAAAAGATAATTATTTGGATAAATAAGTATATAAATACAAATACAACTAGCCGTTGTCAATTTACATAGGTTATGAGCCGTCAAAACACCAGCCCCCCTAGATAAGTGACACCTAGGTAAGTTTCGTTGCGGGTCCAATGACAGTTTAACTTACCCCCGGGACAAACTTGACCTTCATTGGTTGGGTTTTTGTGGCGGTCAAGCTGTAGATCCTGGCTACACAGGAGTTGCAGTGGTGGGAACGAGAGGTGGGAATAGTCCCGTAGATAAGTGACACTTTTTAATCCGAATATAAACATCGAACCAACGAAACAAAACGCCGGAGCGAAGGCATTTCGAAATTACGACTGTCACGTTTTGCCACTTGTCTAGGAGGACTGGTCACGAACTTAACTGAAAAAATATTGTCATCTGGAGTGGCTGAGTATAGTCGTGTATAGTGGTCGAGTATAGTCACGTATAGTGGTCGTGACTAGTCACGTAAAGTGGTCAAGTAGTCACGTATAGTGGTCGATAGAACTCACCTATAGTGGTCGAGTATAGTCACGTGTAGTGGTCGAGTATAGTCACGTATAGTGGTCGATAGAACTCACCTATAGTGGTCGAGTATAGTCATGCATAGCGGTCGATTGTACTCACCTATAGTGGTCGAGTATATTCATGCGTAGTGGTCGATTGTACTCACCTATAGTGGTCGAGTATAGTCACATGTAGTGGTCGATAGAACTCGCCTATAGTGGTCAAGTATAGTCACATGTAGTGGTCGATAGAACTCGCCTATAGTGGTCGAGTATAGTCACGTGTAGTGGTCGGTAATACTCACCTATTATGGTCGAGTATAGTCACGTATAGTGGTCAAGTATAGTCACGTGTAGTGGTCGATAGTACTCACCTATAGTGGTCGAGTATAGTCACGTGTAGTGGTCGAGTATAGTCACGTATAGTGGTCAAGTATACTCACGTATTACTAAAGTGGTCGATTGTACTCACCTACAGTGGCCCAGTATAGTCACATGTAGTGGTCGATAGAACTCTCCTATAGTGGTCGAGTATAGAATAGAATATCTTTATTCAGCATTTAACATTTAGGTGCATACATGTACAGAGGTTAACATTATTGAGCCATGCTGAAAATGCGCCCGCTCAGCAAAAATCGTAACTTGACACATGTCGTCAAGTCACGAAGCTGGTTTTCAGCGGGTAGTATAGTCATGTATAGTGGTCGATAGAACTCACCTATAGTGGTCGAGTATAGACCGTCGGTCGATCATAATCCGACCGCACTCCAAGCATTCGTACCGACGCGTGTGTATGAGATTGTGAACGCCGAAACTGTACGAGGTCGGTAGAAACATATGGCATAGTTTACACTCGAAGGAACCCCGTGACTGTTGACAATGAACAATGTAGGTATTTATTAATTAATATAATGGTATAAGGTATTTGGTATTCATACCACAAATATTTAATTAGTACAAAAAAAAAAAAACTTACGGGTGACTATTTAAAAACATTCAAAAACAAAAGGCAAAATTATAATGCCTTTCCTACAAACAACAGTTGAGTATCAGTTTGTATTTTAGTCACCATTTAAAAAAGTTGCGTAATTAAGAATCGCCCCTGATGTTAAGTGGGATGCAGTCTAGGATGGTACATATCTGCCCTGTGTTATGTTAAATTGATATGGATGTGGATTTTGCCTCGCTGTCCCAACTGTAGAACTCCCCGCAAACTACAGATTTTTAGTCGACCGATAGTTGGGCCCGCCCGATTCTATAGTCTGGTCCGTGAGCACGTAGAATTTTGTCCAATGACCCCAAGCTACCCATCCTTATCGCTTGCGCGTAATTATGTTGCTGTCGCGCTCGCACACTCACTGCGGGCGCCCGTCGCACAGTCGCGACAGCAATATAATTACGCGCGAGCGATAAGGATGGGTAGCTTGGTGTCATTGGATAAAATTCTACGTGTTCACGGACCGGGCTTTAATTTTAACGAAGAATCGGCCGATACCAGTGTGAGTTCTTCTACTTTCATACATGTCCTTACTGATTAACAGCCCGACCCAACTGTCGGCCAACTAAAATAAATAATAATAATTAATAAATAAATTCTTTATTGAATAACTTATTGTCAGTTTTTAACAATAGGCTTATATTAAAAAGTCTGTAGTCTGCGGCTAGGCTTAGTTTGGCGAATAAAAACTAAATTAAAATGTAATATTTCAACTCACCGGACTGTGTTTTTTCATATGGTTCTCTAGTTTAGCCTCATAGTTGAATCCTTTGTAACAAAGATGGCACTGGAAGGGTAGTACGAAGCCAGATTTGCTTTCTTCCTGAAATAATATTAATTTAGGATTTTTATACAATGTTATTATTTTTGTCGCTGACATAGCCCAACGGATTAGTAAGATGAAGTGGCAATGAGAAGGGCACATAGTATGCAGAACTGACGGCCCTGATGCTCGCTCGACCTTGGTTCTTCTAGTTATATCTCTAGATAGAGACTCACTCTCTTTCTCCGCTTGATACTCACCTCTCTCTGTTGACACTCACGTCTCTCTGTTGACACTCACCTCTCTCTGTTGACACTCACCTCTCTCTGTTGACACTCACGTCTCTCTGTTGACACTCACGTCTCTCTGTTGACACTCACGTCTCTCTGTTGACACTCACGTCTCTCTGTTGACACTCACGTCTCTCTGTTGACACTCACGTCTCTCTGTTGACACTCACGTCTCTCTGTTGACACTCACGTCTCTCTGTTGACACTCACCTCTCTCTGTTGACACTCACCTCTCTCTGTTGACACTCACCTCTCTCTGTTGACACTCACGTCTCTCTGTTGACACTCACGTCTCTCTGTTGACACTCACGTCTCTCTGTTGACACTCACGTCTCTCTGTTGACACTCACGTCTCTCTGTTGACACTCACGTCTCTCTGTTGACACTCACGTCTCTCTGTTGACACTCACGTCTCTCTGTTGACACTCACCTCTCTCTGTTGACACTTACCACTCTCTGCCTGATACTTACTTCTCTCTTCTTGACACACACCTCTCTCTCTGCTTGATATTTCCTTCTCTCTGCTTCACACTTTTCTCTCTCTTACACTCTCCTCTCTCTGTTTGATACTCACCTCTCTCTCTCTTCTGCCACTCACCTCTATCTCTCTGCATGATTCTCTCCTTGACACTCTCCTCTCTCTCTCCTTGATACATAATTCTCTGTTTCACACTACTCTCTTTCTCTCATTGACATTCCTCTCTCTGTTGACACTCGCCTCTCTCTGTCTACCTGATACTTGTCTCTGCTTCACATTACTCTCTCTCTCCTCTCTCTATTGACACTCACCTCTCACTGTTGTCACTTATCTCTCTCTTACACTCCTCTCTCTTCCTGATACTCACCTCTCTCTCACTCTGCCTGGTACTTACTTCTCTCTCTCTCTTTGACACTCATATCTCTGCTACCACTCTCCTCTTCCTGATACTCACCTGTCTATCTCTCCTAGATACTTAATTCTCTCTCCTTGACACTCACCTCTTTCTGTTGACACTCTCCTCTCTCTTCCTGATACTCACCCCTCTGCCTGATACGCACTTCTCTCTGCTTCAACACTGCTCTCTCCTTGACACTCCTATCTCTCTCCTTGATACATAATTCTCTGTTTCACACTCTGTCTCTCTTCTCTCCTTGACACTCTCCTCTCTATCTCTCTCCTTAATACATAATTCTCTGTTTCACACTCTGTCTCTCTTCTCTCCTTGACACTCTCCTCTCTATCTCTCTCCTTAATACATAATTCTCTGTTTCACACTCTGTCTCTGTTCTCTCCTTGACACTCTCCTCTCTCTCTCCTTAATACATAATTCTCTGTTTCACACTCTCTCTCTCTCCTTGATACATAATTCTCTGTTTCACACTACTCTCTTTCTCTCATTGACATTCCTCTCTCTGTTGACACTCGCCTCTCTCTGTCTACCTGATACTTGTCTCTGCTTCACATTACTCTCTCTCTCCTCTCTCTATTGACACTCACCTCTCACTGTTGTCACTTATCTCTCTCTTACACTCCTCTCTCTTCCTGATACTCACCTCTCTCTCACTCTGCCTGGTACTTACTTCTCTCTCTCTCTCTCTCTATTGACACTCACCTCTCTCTGCTTAACTTGCTCCTGGGGGTTGAGTGTGATCATCCTGATCTTCGCCGGATCCAGCTCCAGGGTTCTCCTGATGCTCGACCTTGGTTCCTCTGGGTTCAGTTCTAAAGGCTCTTCGCTGTAAATGTTTAAAAATCATAACTATCGCCTGATTGTGTGCCAGAAAGTTATGAGAAGAAGTGATGACATTTATCAACGATAGCGGCCCGACGCGAAGTACCGTATTTGTGGTGTCAAGCCCCAGAAGGGGGAGAATGAGGGCAATCGTTTTTATACTTAACAGTTGGCACCCCTGGCGATTGACAGGACCTTACTCTACAGTGGCGCCATCTTGATGAGTGCAAATGCGATAGTCGTCCTACCACTTTAGCGCTCACCAGTTGGTGCCACTGTCTTCGCTACTAGCAAGTGACAGGACCTTACTCTACAGTGGCGCTAACTGGTGAGCGCTAAAACGATAGCCCTCATTGACTATGAGAAGGGACATGGATCAGAGAAATTTGTAGGGAGTCAAGCAAAGCGCCCGGGGAAAAGAGCCCAGAGCAAATACCCGCGCGCTCTCCCGAGATTCGGTTCGTACGCCGTAAGGCAGGAAGAACCATGGGTGGTGGTGGGTAAATCATAACTATCGTGTTTATAAAATATCATTAAGTTCTTTTAATAAAAAAAAGTACCTTGTTTACTATAGTCCGGTCGCCGAGCACGTAGAATTTCGTCTAATGACTCCAAGCTACCCATCCTTATGTTGCTGTCGCGACTGTGCGACGGGCGCCCGCAGTGAGTGTGCGAGCGCGACAGCAACATAATTACGCGCGAGCGATAAGGATGGGTGGCTTGGGGTCATTGGACGAAATTCTACGTGCTCGGCGACCGGGCTTTAATTAAAAATATTTTTTTTCTTTGTTCATTTATTTTTTTTGTTTTCGTGTTAAATAAAGGTTTTCTATAATCTATTTTATCATATTTAAAGGACAACAAAATACTGTATCAGGTGCGATTTCAATCTATGAGCTACCCGGGCGGGCGATACTGACCACTGAATAACCCTTTCAATCAGGGATGTTATGGATATGAAGTTTCGGTTATGGATATTGGAAACGGTTACGGATATGAAATCATTTTATTTTTTCAAACTTCTGCAATTAATATCAAATCTGTCTAAAAAAAAATCTGAGAAAAGTCAAACCAAAAAACGATACAAAATTTTAAAGCCTTAGGTCATAAAATTTTAAAATATCACAAAATTAACTCTATCTCCTAAACTAAGCAAAATCGTAGAACATACATAAGGGTGATTTAGATACACCTTGATGTAAGGAATCTAAATATTACTTTTAGACCTCACTGTTTTGGCCACCCTGTATAACTCAAAGATCACTGACTGACATAGCGATCTATCAACGCACAGCCCAAACCACTGGACGGATCGGGCTGAAATTTGGCATGCAGGTAGATGTTATGACGTAGGCATCCGCTAAGAAAGGATTTTACGAAACTTCACACCTAAGGGGGTAAAACGGGATCCACGCGTACGAAGTCGCGGGCGGCCGCTAGTGTTTCATAATGTTTCTTACCTATTCTTCTTCTTTTTCTTAACTTTATCTTCTTTCCGCTTAGTTTTTTTCTTCTTCTTGACTTCGGTATCTTCTTTGGGTTCTAGCGTGCTTGTGTCTTCTAGAAGTTGCTTGATATCTTCATCTGTTAGTTTGTTATCATCGGGTCTGTAAATAGAAATAATATTGATATTTTAAACAAATATTTTATAACTAAAGCCCGGTCGCCGAGCACGTAGAATTTCGTCCAATGACCCCAAGCTATCCAATCTTATCGCTCGTGTAATTATATTGCTGTCGCGCTCGCACACTTACTGCGGGCGCCCGTCGCACAGTCGCGACAGCAATATAATGACGCGCGAGCTTATCGGATGGGTTGCTTGGGGTCATTGGACGAAATTCTACGTGCTCGGCGACCGGACAATAGCCGTGCCCGTGATTTCGTACGCGTGAAAATAGTTTGAATAATAGTTTTTTCTTTTCCGCCCCTATTGGCGTCCAGCCTGTCCGGCTTTTGTTAGGCTTTTAAGGCTGCAGGGCCTTATAGTTATATGGTATGGCTTTAGGGTTTTAGGACCTGGCAACTCTAGTCGGGGGACCGTGGCATTCTGCCAACCCTGCCACCCTATAGTTACGCCACTGATCCTGCGGCTGAAATGATATTATGAAATGAGTTACCTTTTTTTTATCCACAACGAGGAAGCTCTTGGCCTGTATCTCACCTGATGGTAAGTGACGATCAGGCCGAAGGTGGAAGCGAGCTTCACCCGGAATCCTCAACCACGGAGGAACTGGCTATCTTATCTCTAACTGCCGGAACACAACAATGCTGTTAACATTGTTGTTATGGCGACAGACTTAGGTAAGATGGTGGTAGCTAGCCAGGCGGACTTAGAACAAGCCCTACCACCAACCAAACCGAACAGAAAAATCTGCCCTCACTGGGAATCGAACCCGGGACCTCTGCGTCTGAAGCAGGTGGTCTTACCACTAGACCACAGCGGCGGTTACCTGTACTCATCCAGTGTAATTTCGCCATCGTAGTCCACACTGAAGTCCTCCTCTTTGACCAGGTCATCGACTTTGTCCATCGCCGATACGTCCAGCATGAATTGGGCGTCGCTTGCGAACAATTTCTCGTGCTGGAATAAACATTTGATAAATCACTTAACTAGTCATTTTTTTGTGAAAGATTAATAAACATCCATCCATTTTGAAACACAGTCAATGCCAATGAGGGTTTTCGCGTATGCAAAATCCGCCAGATGGCAATACGTAGACGCGAGGTCCAAATGCTGCATGATTGGTTATTTTTGACATGACATTGACAGATATGTCAAAATCCACCAATCACGCAGCAGTCAGACCCCACATCCACGTCCCGCCATCTAGCGGATCTTTCATACGCAAAGACCCATTGAAGTAAGGCCAAGAGATATTTGCCTGGACGGATATTAAACGTGCTTTCTGCTTTTAGTAGCTCAGAACTTACGTTGCCGAACTTGCTTATCTTTGGTAATCACCACAAAACCGGTGCTCCTCTCGAGGCATAGCTGTAGCATTTACGTTGTCACGTAAAAATATCGTCCGTAAACCGACTTTACAGACTTTTTTTTTAAATTATTGCCTACTTTTTAGCTGGATCTGGGGGCCCCTTGTAACCCCGGGGCCCTGGGCTGCAGCCCAATCAGCCCATAGGTAGATCCGGCCCTGCCTGAAAGTCTAGCGCAAGCCGAGTCAGCGCCCAAACTATGGGGGCGGCACGGGAGGGGAGACATGACTGTAGGCCTAGGATGTGCGCCGCGATAAGCTTTTATCGATTCGATTTTACGCGATAAGCCCATACGTTTGTCGTCTAAAATGATCGATAAGATTATATCACGACGCGCATCCCAGCCCAGCTGGTCTCGATAACGTTTGACTTCACCCTACCCTGCAAAGCCGCTTCCATCCATACCTACGGCATTAAATCAGTTATGCGCTATATCTGTAAAATTGTTTAGACTTTATATTTTGTTCTTTTGCCACTTAAGTTTGCAATACTGCGAGCTATGTATAGCAACCTCAAGTGCCATCTAGTCCAATTTGTTCATTTCAACTGTTCGTGGAGCACGGTATGTTATTGCTTAGGGCATAAAGTAGTTAAATCCGGCATTGAGGTAATGAAAGTCTATTTACCTGCAACAATGACATAACAAACAAGGCAGGGAAAAATTGGATGCACATAGCCAGCGACAGGGAAAGGTGGAAAATGATGGAGGAGGCTTTTACCCAAGTGGGGCCACAAACAAGAGATACAGATTAATGAGGGCTATCGTTTTAGCGCTCACCAGTTAGCGCCACTGTAGAGTAAGGTCCTGTCACTTGCTAGTAGCGAAGACAGTGGCACCAACTGGTGAGCGCTAAAGTGGTAGGAGGACTATCGCATTTGCACTCATCAAGATGGCGCCTCTGTAGAGTAAGGTCCTGTCAATCGCCAGGGGTGCCAACTGTTAAGTATAAAAACGATACCTCATTGAATGAAAATGTTAAAATGTGGAATGTAAAGCTATAATAAAAATAATACCTGCAACTCCTCGTGGAAGCCAGTCTTCCCGCGGCCACCCATCTCGAAAGTCAGCATCTCGCTCTCGCCCAGTTGTGGGCACGCGTACTTGCTTAGCTCTGGGTCGTTGGCGTCTATGGGGAACTGGAAAGACATTTTATACTTAGTATTATGTTTAAATAGAAATCAATAAAAAAATTAAATAAAAAATCAAACAATTGTTGGTGATCAAATAATTAAATAAACAACATAACTGCCTTTTTCTTGTGAGTCGGATTTCGGCACGTGTGCGGATTTAATCTTTCTGCTGCGTCATAGTTAAAACATGTATGGAATAATGAAATGCGCATTATTCCATACATGTTTTAACTATGAGGCGGGCTACACGCACTCGAAACGCGGATTGGCTGCGAGCACACAATACGAAATCCTTGTCCTGCGTGCAACCAGCAGTGTAATTTTACACGCACGTGGACCATATCCTCATCACAGTAAAAAGACACTAAGTAAGAGTAAAAAAAAAGAAACTAATGCCCATTTTCACCATCAATCCCAAATTTTTAAGTGACCCCTATTAAAACAAGTCCTGTTATGTGTTACCATAAATCGCGCACAATGGCCCAATCATAAGGCAAAGTGCGGTATTCGATTGCCGTGCAAAACTAACTAACTATGTGTTACCATAGGAGGCACTTAAAAATTAGGGATTGATGGTGAGAACGAGCATAAGGCTGGGTTGCTGCATCACTTTAACAATAATTATAACGGGTGTTACAACTCAAAGTAAATCATTAAAAAGTATAGACAACAGTGTATCAATAAAGCTGTACTTTTTGTGTGTATTTAACTGTGGAAACATAATAGGTTTATGTGTTTTTACTGCACCTAAGTTAAATTATATTGTAACTGTATGTATCCCCAAAATGAAATGAATAAATAAAAGCTTTACATTGTAGCATCTTATAATAAATATCCTTGGACATTTTACACTGCGCTTCTAGTCCCAAACTAAGCAAAGCTTGTACTATGGGTACTAGACAACGGATATAAACATACTTAAATACTTTTTTTTTTTAAATACATACATATTATACATATAAAACACCCAGTCCAATGCAAACAAAAATGTTCATGCACACAAATGTTTGCACTGTGCGGGAATCGAACCCGCTACCCCCAGAATAGTAGTCCGTTTGGAACCACTACACCAAACGGCTGACAGAATAATAGTACACACCGGAGCGCATCGTGTCAGGTAATCGTGGAGCATGTTGTGAGCGCGCAGCATCTTGTACTTGAAGCGCACCGCCTTCACCAGCAACGAGCTGCACTCCCAGCATATCCACTGTGGGAGCCCGTCCGAGTTTTTAACCTAAAAGATGTAATACAAGTTTAAATTCAAATTCTTTAAATATTAACTAGCAGCCGCCCGCGATTTCGTACGCGTGGATCCTGCAAAATCCAAATTCAAATTCAAAACATTTATTTGCCAAAAACACAGTAATACAGGGTGACAATATTAAATAGGATCATGTGTTTAGTCTGCTCGCAGACGCAAAAATTACAGGATTCAATAGTATCAATGTCTCCAATTAAAATATTCCTTATAACTATAAAAACATTTGTCCAAAAGCCAGCAAGTCAATCTGCTTTTAAATCCCGTCTTAATAAGCACCTACGTTCTAAATGGAACCCCCATGCATTTGAGACTCCGAGCACTTGTAGTTTCTGCGATTTCGTGACGAATGAGCCAGTCAGTCCGTTAGAATAATAAGCAGGATGCACGCGTTGGTTTGGTCGAACCTTTAGGGTACATCATCATAAAGAATCGAAATCGAATGATAATATTATAGTCTACCTCTACAGATTCAAAAGTACAAGGTAATAGGTGTTTTAATGAGAACAAAAAACAAACAAGAAGTAGGTAATAGTGAATAGAAGTTGTAAACTTAAGCTGTGACAAAAAAGGAGGTGAAATTTTAGGTAAACAACCGTATTTTATCCCAATAATACAGCTCTTTTGAGTGAAATTAGAAAAAATCATTCATCGACCAAGCTATCATAAATCAACTTAATTTTAGTGGTTCTGCACCATTGCATGCTTTTAAAACACACGTGATATAATTTTAGCTACTAAATAACATTAAAACTCACATTAATTCCAGACAATTCTCTAAAATACGAATCGTAGGACACGACATCGTTCATGCGACGATCTGTCGTCAAACAACACCGGCATATAGGTTTTGGTATATCGAAATCTATTTTGAGGTCTTCCTCACTATGCAATATGTTCAAATCCATGGTCACAACTACTGTAGTTATTGTTTAATTTATGAAAATACGCAGAAAGGTAACGCCAATCATTTTTCATGCAAAATGTAAACAATATGGCGGTCGGTGTTTGGCGTTGCGTTTGGTTAATTTGTAAGTTTGAGACATAAAAATCTCACTTAAAGACTTTAACGTTTTATGGCATTTAAAATACTTTAGTCGATTAGAAATAGTAACTTAAATAAAACAAAATCTATTTGCGTTAACTTCAATAGGTTTATTCAAAATAAATTCTCACAAAATGATGTTTTTGTGGCAAAACAAAACGTTTTTAGGGTTGCAAACATGACAAAATTCTTACTACTTTGGTAGTTTTATAAATTTATTTCAAATAGGTACAACAATAAATTAATGTAAAATTATTAAAATCATACAAAAATAACTATTATCTAACTATGTATGTAAACATTACACAATCTACTCATTTTTATTATGATCACAGGCTAACACATAGATTGGTGGTGTAGATAGAACAAATACCGGTGCATCTGCAAAAATAAAAGATAAAATTTGAGAATTAGTACACTAAATAAAAGAGATAAAAAAAACTGTGAATGTTTAATTTGAATCAATTTGTACTATTATTATAAATGCGAAAGTAACTCTGTCTGTATGTGCTTTCACACCTAAACCACTGAACCGATTTTGATGGAATTTGGCATAGAGATAGTTTGAGTCTCCGGAAAGGACATCTTAGGATGGTTTTTATCCCGGTTTTTGAAACAAAGACGCACGCGATAAAAAAAAATCTGTGACAGACAAAATTTCACGCGGGCGGAAAGCTAGTTTACTATAATACGGATAAAAATAAAAGGCTACAGTAAAGGTTTCTGACAGAAAATAAGCAATGATTCCTTACCACAATTTGTAGAAGTATTCTTCAGGTTATCCAACGAAGAGTGGTGCCCTTTGCTGGAAACAAAACAAATCATTAGGGTCACCAGTTTGTAAATGCCAAGGATTTATCAATAGTCTTTCAAACGATTATGGCATTTAATGATTATTTATTATAGTCGTAAAACCTATAAAATATAATTTGATAGCATACTATGCATTTTTGCATACTTACCAATCGCCTAAACTATTTAGAGACCTAGACAGCTGACAGGGCTGGATAGGCGCGTTTTTGAGGTCAGCTAACGAGCACGCTTGCCTCAACCTCGCCACTAGTCTGTGTTGAATCGCGTTTTGGCAGTTATTTGAGCACCCTTCGTTTGCTTCAGTGTCTTCAATTTTGATTTGCGGAATAGTCTGTATTTTTTGACAGTTACAACCAGAGTTGCCAGGTTGTGTAGCTGCGTGGGCAGCATTTGGTATCCTTCTGATGAACTCGTGGTTCGATGAGCGGTGTATGTTCGAATCTGAGCCGTAGTTTTGTCCTAGTTCGTTGAATTGAACGGCTTTTTTGCGGTTCATCATGGACATTTGGTATTGTCCTCTCCTGTGCGCAGCTGGGGAGGTGTTGGGAGACCGGTTCGGGGATGTATACGCTGATACAGTCTCTCTTGGTTTCTTGAGGGTGTCTTTGATTTCGTACTCTGTCGCTATTGCTTCAAACACCTGTAAAATATTATAAGTTCTGTAAAATTTGGTCAAATTAATTAGCCAATAGAGCAATAAATGCTTGTTGAATTATTCTCCGTTGCAGCACACGCACTAAATTGCTTTCAATGATCGTATCGATAGAGCTTTATAATTTTACTGATAAACTAGGTAGTTACCTGTTCTGCTACAAGGTTTCTGGCATACGGCGAGTCTTTTGGAGGAAGAGTCTCTCTGCATAACGCGCAACGCTCCAATCTTGTCCAGCAGGCTGCAAATAATGAATTCCAGTGTTATTTATTTGGAAATGTTTTACAATAATTTTACTGCATAAGTAGGTACTTTGTGACTATTAATAAGTCTAGGTGCCTACTCTTGTGAGGATTCGGTTATGTACCCGGGTGCATTCCTTAGGGTAGGTAGTGTAGTTGATGTTTTTAAGTTTGTAAAGATTATCCAAACAACCTGAATCCGGGCAGCACAGGACAGATCGTTGTGGAAATCATTGGGGAAGGCCTCCAGCAGAGGACGTCTTAGGCTGAAATTAACGAACTCACCCTCGCAATAGATGTGAGACCGGGCGCAGTTTAANAGTTTGTAAAGATTATCCAAACAACCTGAATCCGGGCAGCACAGGACAGATCGTTGTGGAAATCATTGGGGAAGGCCTCCAGCAGAGGACGTCTTAGGCTGAAATTAACGAACTCACCCTCGCAATAGATGTGAGACCGGGCACAGTTTAATGCCCTAGTAGCTGTCGATGCACACACGGAAGCGAAAGCGTTTTCACCACGCTGGTACCAATTGAACTGACAGTCTGGTGAAGGTTGCGAGTAGTACCTGGATGCGGGCAGCGCAGGACCGATGCTGAAATCATTGGGGAAGGCCTCTGTCCATCAGAGGACGTCTTTGGCTGTAAATAACGAACTCACCCTCGCAATAGATGTGAGACCGGGCGCAGTTTAGTGCCCTAGTAGCCGTTGATGCGCAGACGCAGCAAGATAGCGCCTTTACTACGCCAGCCAGCGCGCGTCGGGAACGCTCTCCTCGCGCACCGCCACCGCAACTCCACAGCAACTGGAGGTTAAAAAAAGTTGTTTAAAATTATTTAAAACTAGCTTTCCGCCCGCGGCTTCGCCCGCGTGGAATTTTGTCTGTCACAGAAAAACTTTATCGCGCACGTCCCTGTTTCAAAAACCGGGATAAAAACTATCCTATGTTCTTTCCCGGGACTCAAACTATCTCTATGCCAAATTTCATCAAAATCGGTTGCGAGGTTTAAGCGGGAAAGCGTAACAGACAGACAGACAGACAGACAGAGTTACTTTCGCATTTATAATATTAGTTGGGATCTGAGCCCGATTACGGTAACTTTTATAACGTCTACAATCCAGACGCGTTTCTGATTCTGCGATACGATTGGTCAAAACAGCTGACGTACGCTGTTGAACGACCAATCGTATCGCAGAATCGAGAAGCGTGTCTGGATTGTTGACGTTAAAAATTACCGTAATCGGGGCTCAGAGTTAAGAACGAAGCACACTTATCAACCCGGAAACAGACCGTAACCGTATCAACTCGAGGCGGTTACTATTGAAAATCTGTACTGCATCGCACACTTAACCACATCGTAACGTAAACGCCTCGCCTCGCGGCGAATGGCGATATACGAGTTGATAAGTGTGTTATGACCTTAAAGTGTTTTAAAGTGACGTCGTAGTATGGAAATGTCAACTTAAAACAGTGTTCAATAACTGTGTAACTTTTTATTAGTAAGGGGGTAACTCTTAATAATTTTTATATTTTATATTTATATCAATCATACCTCTGGATCATCTTTAGGGTCCACGCCGCAGTTCCACACAAGTAGGGACACTCCTCTGCCGGCGCCGTCACCTCGAATCAAACCAGCCACTTGGCCTACCTAAAATAATTACAATAATAATAAACAAAAAAATTAACAAACTAGTTTTTGCATGCAGCTCGGTTTGAACTTCGGTTTGTTTTAGGAAAACTTCGGGACTCGGATGCTCACTTTGAAAAAAAAATTTGTGTCTTGGAGCGCAGTCCGCAAATGATTCTGAAGACGTGTTTATTTTTTAATTAAATTTTAAAGCCAAATTAAGTAGGTCTATAGGTCGAATCTAAGGTGCACTTAAAGCCACAAAGCATTCTCTCACATTTTATTAAAATTTTCAGGTTAAAAAAAATCTTTTGGTGATATTTTAAAACATGTTTGTAGGGCGTACCTACCTACTTATTAACTTATTAATCAATATTTTTTACCGGTAATCCAAGCAAGTCTTTCCCATCGGCCTGCAGCAAGCAGTCTCCCGTCTTCAAGCCTGCTGAATCAGCTCTCGCTCCTGGAGTTACATCGCGCACCTAAACAGTAAACAATAGTTCATGAGAGTATAAAAGGTAGAGTTTATACGATTTTCTTCTTGTCGTGTCGATAACTCGATAACAAACCTACACAGCTTCGGCCCAAAACTCCGCCACAAGAATGGCGTTGTCAGTAGCCTTCATTAAATCTTCCTGCGTGCAGTTGTTTGGGCACGCAGGGCACGACATCATGTGCAATAAATACGATTATTTTAATTTATTGTACTAATAATATTGGGGTACAATGATCCAAAAATTGTGTTAATTGAGATCGGTTCAGTCGTTCTTGAGTTAAAAAATTAAATGTAGTAGGCCCGACTGAAAAAAGTTCATCGTCTTTAAAAAAACACCTAGCTTTACTTAGTAACACAACTGGGACTTTTAAAAATTTGTATTTTTTTTAGAAAACACGAAACAAAATAAATCAATTGGTATTTTACCCAAGGGTAAGGATCCCACAGCGTCCTCGTGAGCCGAAATCCAAGGCCTTCGCCTTCATCTTCTGGTAAATTCAACTGCAAGCAAAAAGTATTGTTTTAAAAGACCAACCTGAAAATAGTGACTGAATTTCTTGCGCTGCTTCTTCTCAGCACTGGTTCATTTATTGTCCTGAAGTAGTGGTAGGGTTAATACTCGGACGTGTAAAAGTGCTTTTTAAAAGCCTACTTGCATAAATAAATGACTTTTATGAGTTTTTTAGAGCATTAAAATTTATTCGATACAAGAATAACCCACGCACATTAATAACAGCTAGATATTTTTGTGTTTTCTAGATTTTGGTAAGTTATAATTTGCATGCCACAAGGTCGAAATTCATAAATAACATGCAAAATTAATTCAAAAGACAGCGTTACAAGTTTACCGTTGAAAAAGAAGTGCCTTAAGATATTTTGGCGTCATCTGACACAGCCACACGGATAGACTAGGGAACAAAATGTCCCATGCGACTCAGATTATCCCGTGGCACCCTAAGCGGTCGTACGTATCGCACGCATAAGACGGTAATAATTGATTTCTATTGTGACTCGATTCTTTGGTGCTGGAAGGGACCTGTTGCTGCAACGTTCTCAAACTGTCCCTCAGTGCTTCGCACTATATTCTGCATTCAATACGAGTTGTCGCTCTGCTACAGGCGAAAACATCACATTGTAATTCAGCGACATGCTCGCCAAATAATGTTGCTCCATGGGTAGCGTACTTATTTGTCGTGTAACTCTTAAAAAAAAGTCTATTGTTAAACTAATTTCATTATTAAAAAACTCACAACAACAAGTCGGACACCCGCCGTGTATTCTTCACTTCCGCATCCGCTATCTGATAGGTTTGGATCCATCTACAACAATTAATATTAATTAACTATAACAGGATTTACTTATAACATTCGTTTAATATTATACTTCCGGTCAAAGTTAGTTTATGTAGGTATCTTTAAAAAAAGATCAGAGTTAAAACGGACATTACTTCTTTTTTTGAAGTTTGTTAAAAAATGGTTATTTATTTTCTCTACCAAATCTGAAAACACTTTAAAAGTAGTTTGAAACTTTGAATCAACCTCTATTTGAATGCAAAGTGAATTAAAATATTTTAGCTAGGACATTAATATCTCACAACTAGGCAAAGAGTAGTACTTAAACTTCTTCTAACAGAAACAGCATGTATTTCACGTAGGATGGCAATAACCCGATTATGGATTATTTTGAGTTATGCCACCTTTTATCTAGGTGAGCGATATACATCATTAAGTTGAGATCACGGGTTAGCTCAGAGATGGCCAGCTACGCTAGGGGTGCTATCCCTGATTGATTACACACAATCACAATACAAACATTTTGATCAAAACAGTTTGGTACAGAACTGGGATTTTGCTATGTTGGGGCTAGACGGCGCTATGTAAAAAACCAAAATATTATTTTATTATTTATAGAAATAAGAAAATTGTTGACGTCCGCAAACGTTTTCATTAATTTAATTAAAATTTACAACCAAAACAGTAGTTCTTTTTGCATCGTTTTTGAAAAGTCACAAAACTTTGTACTTATTTTTTTGGTTTTCCTATTAGTTACTTAGCTACTTTCAAAACTATTATTACCTATATTATGTATAAATTAATGATCATGTAAGGTCACACAAGAATCGTAGGTATTCTGTCACCCCGGCAGGCTGTAATAAATCACTTTGTAGAGATAAACTCACCTTTATCGTCTGTGCTTATTTACGTGGTCTGGGTTTGATTAAGTAAGTATTACGAAATATTTAACAAAATTAATTAACAAAAATAAATAAATCACACCACACCATGAGCTTTAAGTCGCAAGAGTCAAATCAAACTGTCGATATCGATCAAATTACTTGTTTAAGCTGGTAGTGTTGTGCTTGCGACTTATCGATGTGAAATCAAAGAACATCATGTTTTCAAGTGCAATGGGCTTGAGGTGGAATTGTGTAAAGCAATGGTAATCATTTGACAGGTCATAACGTACGATAAAGTCAATTAAACAAAGCGTTTGACAGAATAATCGTACGTTATGAACTGTCAAATGATAACGATTGCTTTACACAATTCCACCTTTGATTTAACATGAATGTCAAAATGCAAAATACATGATTTTCAGGTTTGGCGATTGCGTTTATAAGCCACGGCAGCGGCCCATCTTTAAGTAGCAACACAATGCATTAATGAAGCACGATCCGAATTAAATAAATAATTGTTTAAACCACAATGTTCAATACACAAAAGTACGAAATTATCGATATGTTTATCGACACACCGCTATCCCTAGCCCGAACCAGTTCACCTCACTCCACGGCCACTTCATGACCTACAGACGTGAGCTGATATTACACAAGATGAGGCGTGGGTCTGTGCGAGACATTCTAAGCCGTAAGCGGTGACTGATCTATGACAACGATTAATAATAATTAAGCAAAGACAACAACCATACACCACTATCCTTCCTAATATTATTGTGAGTAATTTGTATGTAATTAACGTGGACTGACCTAGATAGGTATTTGGTACAGAGATAGATAGATTAGGCCCTGTAAAAGGACAATGTGTAAATAGGACGGTACATTTCTTACTTAAGTAGGCCGTAAATAAACTTTTTCATTACTAGGCTCCCGAAACTGGCTGGCTGGACTGACCTCAGGGACAGATACAGAATCCCGTAAACAAAGCTGCGGGCTGAAACTACCTAGCTAGTAAGATAATCATAGTTTTACGCAGTTCTATTTCCGCACAATGCTGAGTAAGGGGCGGTAAAGCCTATAATGGGTTACCTTAATTATTTTTTTATGAAACAGAGTTTTATTTGTTTTTATTTATTAAACACAAATGACAACTGGTTGAGTGTAGATTTCATTTTGATTTATTTTTTTGATAAGCCCAAAATATTTTTTAGTACTAAACAGTGACTGCACTTCAAGGTACACATTGTTGACATTGTAGTACATAAAATGTTTTTATTAAAAGGCTAGGAGTTAGTGCGCAACACAAATGTATAGTCTGATGTGCTATGACTATACACAAGGTTGTAAAGAATACAAACTCGAGTTGCCGCCGCCGTAGCCGATGGATGATCCACTTTCTTGGTTTTGTGGTAGTTTTTTAAAATTGTCATTATGGTAACATTTTAGTTCTGTTCCTCTTCCAGAATGTTTACGCTTTTTTAAAACTTGGTTCAAATACTATTATAATCCAACAAATTAAATGAACAAACCGCATCTGCGTTTTGTAAGCCTGAAATAAAAAAAAATTAAAAAAATATTAACAGGAACAGGGAAATTGACGTTTCTATGTGAATTGTGACGACATTTTGTAAATTGTAGGTTATATTTCTGTTTGTTTCTGTCGAAATGCGATCGTTTTCAGTGAAATTCATCTACTAAAAAGTTCAAAACAGTTTCAGATGGAATCTTAACAGCTTCCTTTCTGCTTCAGTAGGTTGCTCTGTTGAAGAAAAGAAGAGATTCTGTTGACCTTAGAAAACACAGTTTAAGTCTGGATTATTGATAAAAATATAGAAGAATGCCACTGCTAGCTTGCCGAGGCTGCCTTGCGACAGAGCCTCGGCTTTTCAATCTATTCAAAAATAATTTGTATGATGAGTTTGGGGAAGTTGTTGGTACACCGGTAAGATTTTTTGCTTTTCTAATTTTCCTTACTAGTTTTTAGAAACATCATCATTATTTCAGCCATAGGACATCCACTGCTGAACATAGGCTTTCCCGAATGACAACAAAAAAGAATCTAATATGTAATTATTTTAAAACAATACATTATTGGCAGCTATTAGTAATTTTTTTACAGCATATTTCTTATTTTCTTCTTGTAAGTTTTAGGAATTAATCATAGGCCTCCAGCGCCTTCCTGCTACCTTTATGAGGTCGTCGGTCCACCTTGATACTTATATCCTGATAATGAGGATCAGTACTGTTGTAGAAAATTCAATAAAACTAGTATCTACGTTAATCTTTAAGACATAAGAAAGATATATCTTTTTGAATTATCCAAATCGGACCATTACTTACGAAGATATTAAGTAATAAACATAGGCCGTTTTTGCCGCTAAAAGTCAACGTACGCAAGGCCGCGTGACGTCATTATATCCGAATCGAGCGCAGCCGGCGTACTAATAGGATGGAAAATATTTTTTCCGGCTAAACTATCAGTTTTAGAAAAAAACTTTTAATAACGTTTATTCTTCAAAATAAAGTAACCTATCGACCAGTAATTTTTAAAAATAAAAATTGTGAAAAATAAGTATTGCTATGTCCAAAAACCACATTTTCATAGGATTCGATGCAATGCGGAGACGCGGTTGGGGTGAGTGTAACTTAATGATTGTTTGTATTGAACATAATAATACTTAATATGATGCTAATACCCAGTTTCTGGCCNAAATTACCTATCGATAGCTTACTTTATTCTGATGAATAAATGTCATTACAAGTTTTTCTCTAAAACTGATAATTTGGCTAGAAAAAAATATTTTCTATCCACGCAGTACGCCGGCAGCGTTCGGATCGGATATAATGACGTCATCGTCCCCGCGCCGGGCGGTCAGTGAACTTTTTTAGTAATTTGGCCATAACTTCGACAATTTTTGTCGTAGAACAAAAATTTTTGCACTGTGTATTAAGGATTTCTTAGCCCTATAAATCTGCATTCACAGCTAAAAATCGAAATGATCCTCATTATGAAGTGTAATTTTATTAAAAGAAAATTTTATAAAAGAAAGTCGTGTTAGTTACTCCACTTATAACTCAAGAACGGCTGAACCGATTTAGCTGAAAATTGTCAGGGAGGTAGTTTAGAGCCAGGAGAAGGACATAGGATACTTTTTATCCCGTTCGAAATAAAAAAAAAAGTCTGCTTATTTATTGCCATTAAGGCGAAACAAAGTTCGCCGGGTCAGCTAGTGTAAAATAAAAATAAACCTTTCCAGATATTTGAAGGTGATGACCTACCGCAGCACATCTGTGGGATGTGCTACGCTCAGTTGCGGAAGTTCTCGTCGTTCCGGGATCGTTGCCGGAAGGTGCAGGACATGTTGGATGCCATGGAGCTTCAAGGGTTAACGGTGAATTATTATTATTATTATAGCTTTGTATTCCACATTTTTACAGTTTGATTCAATTAATCTATATCTCTTGTTTGTGGCCCCACTTGGGTAAAAGCCTCCTCCATCTTTTTCCACCTTTCCCTGTCGCTGGCTATGTGCATCCAATTTTTCCCTGCCTTGTTTGTTATATACTTAACGGTGAATATTCAGCATAAAATAATAGTAATAACCTTTCATCATCATCATCATCATTTCAGCCATAGGACGTCCACTGCTGAACTTAGGCCTCCCCCAATGCTTTCCACGTTGATCGATTGGTAGCGGCCTGCATCCAGCGCTTCCCTGCTACCTTTACATCGTCGGTCCACCTTGTAGGTGGACGTCCCACGCTGCGTTTTCCGGTACGCGGCCTCCATTCCAGAACTTTGCTGCCCCATCGGCTGTCAGTTCTGCGTACTATGTGCCCTGCCCATTGCCATTGGGGGAGGCCTATGTTCAGCTGAAATGATGATGATGAATAGTAAAATATAACAGTAATAACCTTTATTCAGACAGTATAGGGATGTTTCCTGGGTAAAAAAAGCAAGAGTTTTAATTAGTCCGTCAGTTAGCTTAACAAAAACTACTCGACACGTATTTTTCACTTTTTAAAACTAATGAAAATGTAAAGAGATAAAGCGTGCCAAAGTTCTAAAGGAATGGCCCGCGATGTCAGTGAGTGCGTAACAGTGCAGCACTTTATGACGTCGTCGCGCGGAACTTCAATGCAATATAACTTTGTAATTATTTGTTTGATTGACAATTATTAAAAATATATGTGTCCAATTTTTTATATTAAAATTGACGGACTAAAAAAATTTTTTTTGGAAACTAGCCTATTACATTAATTTTAGGCAACATTGCTTAAGAAACTTGTTTTATTTTTGCAAATAGGCTTTTAACAAGCCCTTTTACACGTCCCAGTATTAACCCTACCACTGCTTCGGGACAATAAATGGGCCAGTGCTGAGAAGAAGCAGCGCAAGAAACTCAGTATTGTCAGCGTCTTTTTCAAGGGTTTAAAGTCAGGGTTCCATGATTTAAATCAAGTTGATTGATTAAATAGGCAGTGACTGAGTTAAGAACATATTATAGTTTGAAAGTGCGATGATTAACTTCAAACCTCTTGTTTTCAGATCACAACATCATTAATAGAATCCATTGACCGTGACTCTTACAATTTGCTGCCCAGACTCACAAAGGTGGTCCCATCGCTGGAAGATGTGTGTATAAACGAGAATAACAAACACGAGTTCATACCTGATGATTCCGACGATGGTAGAGACGTAGATCAAGATTCGATTCCACAAAGTAACGTGATCAATGAAACAGACTGTGATGATGAAATAGATCTCCCTTCGCAGCCAGATGTATCACAATTCCTGGTCTTTAAAGATCAGCCCAAAAATAATGATGCTCAACTGATACGACAAAATAATGCAGTAGCTCAACCAATTCGTCAAAATAATGCAGTAGTTCAACCAATACAACAAAAAAATGTAGTAGTTGTACCATTACGACGTAATAATGCAGTATCTAAACCTATACGACGTAATAATGCAGTTCAACCAATACAGGCCAATAATTCAGTAGTTCAACCAATACGGCAAAATAATGCAGTAGTTAAACTATTACAGCCCAATAAATCAGTAGTTCAACCAATACAACCCAATAATGCAGTAGTTCAACCAGTACAGGCCAATAATGCAGAAGCTCAACCAATACAACCCAATAATGCAGTAGTTCAACCAATACAGGCCAATAATGCAGAAGCTCAACCAATACTGCACAATAATGCAGTAGTTAAACTATTACAGCCCAATAATTCAGTAGTTCAACCAATACAACCCAATAATGCACCAATTCAACTGATAAGGCCCGATAGTAACAAGGTAGTTAAACTTTGGCCTGTTGATAGCAAGGTAATTCAACAAATACGGCCCAATCTTACCAAGTTAGTTACACTATGGCCTGCTAATAATAAGGTAGTTCAAAAAGTACAGCCCAAAAATAATGCAATCGTTCAACCGAAACAGCCCAAAAATAACGCAGTCGTTCAACCGAAACAGCCCAAAAATAACGCAGTCGTTCAACCGAAACAGCCCAAAAATAACGCAGTCGTTCAACCGAAACAGCCCAAAAATAAAGCTGTCGTTCAATCAAAGCAGCCCAAATATTATGCTGTAGGGAAAAATCAATTAAAACGTTGCAAACTCTTAAAAGCCTTTTTCGAAGATCCCAAATACTGCGAACTTGTCAAACGAGAGTTCAACATACAAATTACAACGTTGACGAAGGAACAGCAAATTAAAGAAATACAGGACAAAATTTTCCAGGGGTCTAAATCGGCGCTAACATGCTGTTTAGGATGCGGGAAGATATTTATCAACGCAAAACTTCATGAGGCACACATTAATAAATTTCACGACGAATCAATCGGGCCACATGTCTGCGATATATGCAACTATCGTTTCCCCAAAATTGCGTTTCTTTCCCGTCATAAGAGGACTCACAAATTCCGAGTTTCCTGCACAAAATGTAGTTTCAAATCCAACGATTTAAGCATTATGATTCAGCACTCACAGTGGCATTCTGGAGTGAAGATCAAGTGTAAATATTGTGATAATGTGTTCGATACAAAAGAGCTTATGCATGCACATATCAAAAGCGAGCATGTAAATCAAATACCCTGGTGTAAATGCTGCGGACAGCCTTTCCTAAAGGAATTCATTTTGAGGAACCATATCAAAAGATTTCACAGTTTCTTGCTGAAATTTGACAACAACTGTACGCAGTGTGGCTTAAAATTTTCAAGCGCTGAAGCGTTGAACACTCATTTGACAGTCACTTGTGGAGATTTCGCATGTGTGATGTGTGGAACACGTTTAGAGAGTGAAGAATTTTTGAAACAGCATATTATTAAAGACCACTCAAGATGGGAGGTTATAAAAATGGTGCGATGCAGTCAGTGTCTGCTAGAATTTTACGGGGAAGGATCTTTAGCTAAGCATGAAGAAACATGCGGTAGTGGGTACCCATGCCAGGAGTGCGGAATAAGCTTGCCTGACACCGAGTCGCTACAGTATCATAAAGAAACACATTTAAAGACTTACCGCACTTGTAAGGAGGTAAGTAAAATATTTCCTAAAATCTATTTATTTATTATAAATAATAATAAATAAATAAATCTTTGGACAATTTCACACAGCGCCAGCTAGCCCCAAAGTAAGCAACTTAATGCTTGTGTTATGGGTGCTAGGTAAGTAAGTTGTAAGTTGTAAGAACTATTTATTAGTCTAAACAAATAAAGAAATTTTGACTTTTGACTTTGACTTTAGCTTAACGGATATACTACTTATATACTTTTTTTTTAAATACATAAATATTATACATAGTCATTATAAACGGTGAATTTGCAATCAGTATTTAAATTTTTAGGAATGACTCAGAATCAGTAACTTACTAATACATAATAATAAATATCTTTTGGACAATTTCACACAGTGCTATCGAGCCCCAAAGTAAGCAACTAATATGCTTGTGTTATGGGTGTTAGCATTCGGGTGTACTACATACTTTTTTAATACATAGCACATAATATCACCTTTGGGTTTGGATCTTTATACACTCGACATCAAATAAATCGCACCTTCCGCGGCGAACTTTATACATTGCTTTAAAACTTTAAAGGTGCCCCAACAATATTGGTGTTATTTGAAAGACCAATAAATGATTTTGATGTTGAATTTACTTAGTTTCTGAGATTTTGTGATTAATCAGTGCATGGTATTTCGCTTTATTACTATAGATGACCCACGCTGAACTGTCCCACCAAACTCAATGACAGGGGGAAGCTACCATCGTTCAACTATATGGTTTCCAACATGGCAAAAATCTGAACCAGCGATCCGGTATTGACGGTGGCGCCCCACTGTCAATGTCATCGACAGGACAGTCCAGTATTTTGGAACTATAAGTGATATTTACAATACATTGTTTTTCCAGTGCAACTTGACATTTGACTCTGACAACTACCGTCGGCATTGTGAGAAATATCACCACTCCAAGCCAGAAAGAGAATATCGATGTCGTAAGTGTTTAACTCATAAAACTTATTTATTTTTGCAAATAGGCTTTTAAAAAGCACTTCTACACGTCCCAGTATTAACCTTACCACTGCTTTGGGACAATAAATGGGCCGGTGCTGAGAAGAAGCAACGCAAGAAACGTTTTTAAAGGACATAGCACACTTATCCACCCGGAAAGGGATCAACATCTTTGTTTCTTTTGCCGCGCTGTCAACCTCGAGTAGGCGTTTATTTATTAACTAGCGGCCGCCCGCGACTTCGTACGCGTGGATCCCGTTTTATCCCCTTCATCTATCTTACGCGGTTTAGATTTTTTCATACAAATGTTTTTACCCGCTAACTCCCGTTCCCGTGGAAATTTTGCAATATCCTGTTGTAACTAAGCTTTAAGTTTACTAAGGTACCTGCATGCCAAATTTCAAGCGTCTATCTTACGCGGTTTAGATTTTTTCATACAAATGTTTTTACCCGCTAACTCCCGTTCCCGTGGAAATTTTGCAATATCCTGTTGTAACTAAGCTTTAAGTTTACTAAGGTACCTGCATGGCAGATTTCAAGCGTCTAACTTAAGCGCTTTAGATTTTTCATACAAAAGGATTTTCTCGCCAACTCCCGTTGCCGTGGGAATTTCGGGAATTCCTTTCTAAGTGCACCTCTACGGTACCTACCTAAGCTACGTCCCTGCCAAATTTCAAGTGCCTACGTTTAGCCGTTTAGGCTGTGCGTTGATCTGTCAGTCAGTCAGTCAGTTTCTCCTTTTATACAGGGTGGAATTTTGTAATGCCACCTGGAGGGAAAGTACTCTTAATACTGTAGATAGAAAATTTTACTGAAAGAAAACATTCCTTTATTTTTGAAAAGAAAGAGAACTGCATTCATAGATTTTCGAAAATTCACTACCATACCATACAATTTTCTGTACATAATTAAAATAATTTAAGATTTTATGTATTTCCTTTCATTTAATTTATCAAGTTTGTTAGAGAGATTTCATCCTTACCTAACCCTAAGTCCCTAACGATAAATGAAATAAAAATACAGGGTGTAATTTTTAACAGATTTTAGTTGGTTCGATTCCAGGTGTGGCAAGCAAATTTTTGGAAATCTTTGAATGCAGTTTTATTTCTTTTCAAAAATAAAGGAATGTTTTCTTTGAGACAAAATTTCTATCTACATTATTAAGAGTACTTTCCCTCCAGGTGGCATTACAAAATTCCACCGTGTATATTTAGATTATTCAGCAATAACCTAACACCTAAAAGTATGGAAATGGTTCCAGGCAGAAAAACAACAGCCCGCGTGTGGTCAGTTAGCGGCAGTATCATAACTTCCAACGTAGAGACGCCGGTCGCGTCCCGCCCTGATGAGGAATGCAAGTACATTTGCGAGGTCTGCGGCAAAGGGTGTCCGGTAAGCAGGCTTTTATTTATACAGGGTGTTAGGTAAATGGGTATATGAGCCGATACTAGCCCATGTTAACATGGCCATATAAATGGTATGGTGAAGTCAGAAATTTGATATTGTCATTTTATTTTTTTTAATTTTCATACAAAATAAATTTTATAAAATCCGATTTGTATGAAAATTAAAATAATTTAAATGAAGATATCAATTTTCTGACTTCACCATACCATTTATATGACTATGTTAACGTGGGCTAGTGCCGGCTCATATACCCATTTACCTAACACCCTGTATATTTTATCATCATCATCATGTTTTCCAATCCAATGTTTTTATGCATGACTAGACCGGTATTTTTACTAAAGCCCGGTCTCCGAGCACGTAGAATTTTGTCCAATGACTCCAAGCTACCCATCCTTATCGCTCGCGCGTAATTACGTTGCTGTCGCGCTCGCACACTCACTGCGGGCGCCCGTCGCACAGTCGCGACAGCAATATAATTACGCGCGAGTGATAAGGATGGGTAGCTTGGGGTCATTGGACGAAATTCTATGTGCTCGGCGACCAGACTATACAATCGCATCGTTTCATCCACTCTTCCGTTGCTGTTTGAGTGTTATCGGTCCACGCTAATGCTCCATGAGTGCACACGCACACTACAGTAATGCCTTACGGCTTGCTCGGACCACACTCCCCGCACCCCGCGCGACCGGGACCAAACATTGCGCGCGGCCGAGTGGATGAAACGAACTATCTATAGTACATCCGTCAAGCTAGCACCAGGCCTGTTCATCTCCGCGAGTTTACATCGAAACAAAACACGCACGATGGCCCACCTACAGGATACTATTCGATAAGGCCTCACATACGAGCGAACATTGACTCACGCACGCGTATTCTTGTGTATGATGGAAGAAAATAAAGAAAATGGTGTACTAAAATTAAATATTGTGCAGTATTTAACTGCCTAAATAAAAATAAAAACACAGAATGTACTTTTTTAAGTTGCCTCAAGACACTGAGAGGTAAATAAGTAGTTAATATCATTCATGATAATTCATGCTAAAACATGTATTTCCTCCGCCATTTTCCGCAGTTTGGCACCTCACGTCACATCATTTTACCGAAGTCAGCCCTATAGCTTCGGCGCAGTGCCGATCACTGACGTTTGTCAACAAAATGGTGCTTGACTCTTGAGACAGGCTAAATTACACCATATTGTTAATGACATTGAGCATACATTTTTTTAAATAACTTCGCGAAGTAAAACTTCTGTATGTAGTACTTATTATTATTCTGTGCTAGCACCGTTAACATAATTATGCTTGTGTGCCATCTAGCTCCAAAGTAAGCAACTAATAGTTGTTGCTTACTTTGGGGCTAGATAGAGTTATGTGAAATTGTCCAAAGGATATTTATTACATTCTCATTGTATTTTCTCTTACAGACGAAGGTATCGTTCAAAAGCCACACTTACACCCACAGAGCTAGAAATTTGTTCAAGTGTGAGCCATGTAATAAAAGCTACCGCAAAAAGGAATATTTCCAGGTATTTATAAAATAAAATAAGTAATAAATAAGTTTATATTTTTCACAACAAAATTTTATTCATAATGGTTTGCCCAACTTTATGTGTATATTTAACTGTGGAGACTTAATTGGTTTATGTGTTTTCTTACTGCACCTAAGTCAAATTATATTGTAACTGTATGTTTCCCAAAAATAAATAAATAAAATAAAATAATTTATAATAATAAATTTACTCAACGTGAAAAGAATCGCACCTCCCGCGACAATGAGGGCTATCGTTTTTATACTTAACAGTTGGCACCCCTGGCGATTGACAGGACCTTACTCTACAGTGGCGCCATCTTGATGAGTGCAAATGCGATAGTCCTCCTACCACTTTAGCGCTCACCGGTTGGTGCCACTGTCTTCGCTACTAGCAAGTGACAGGACCTTACTCTACAGTGGCGCTAACTGGTGAGCGCTAAAACGATAGCCCTCATTGCTTCTAAGGCTGTCAATATTGACTAAGTTTCTTGCGCTTCTTCTCAGCACTGGCCCATTTATTGTCCCGAAGCAGTGGTAGGGTTAATACTGGGACGCGTAAAAGTGCTTTTTACAATCCTATTTGCAAAAATAAATAGGTTTTATAAGAAGTTTTTCGTCGCAGCCTTTTTAAAAAGACACTTCATTCTGGTCTTAAAAACTTAATTAATTTTAAATTACCTGTAAATTACATATTATGAGCGGGCCGCATACGTATTGGCGCGCTCACATACAAACCGCGCCCGTGCGTTTCTATGAAGATGACCTACTCATTTGTATTTACTCTGGTACTACTCGGCATGGGGCCCACTGAAAACCAGCGTCGTGGCCTTCCTCACCGGGGGCCACGGCATATGCTGAGTGGGGTCCCATTGCGATGGGCATCGCTGTGCGACAGGGTGGCACTGCTCAGTTTACTTTCTCTTCCATTGTATGTTTTATGTCACCTCTGTCTTATTTGTTTTATTTTTCCTCTTTTGTCTATGTGATGTCCGTGGCAATAAATGTTTCTTTCTTTCTTTACTAAATATTACTCGAACGTTGAGTACCTACTGATACTGCAGTGGATATTAGAACCGAGCCTAAGGGCTATATTTCACCGGGACACCATGGCGGCGCAACCAGTCGCTACCAACAAAATGTATACAGCTCTATAGAGAGTTACTCACCTGGTGTCCGTTTGGTTGCGCAAAGCTGTATACATTTTGTTGGTAGCGGCGACTGGTTGCGCTGCCATGGTGTCCCCGTGAAATATAGCCCCAACAATATTATATTATAACCCATTAAATTATGCGTAATTTTTATTCCAGCGACATATGATGATACACAAGGGAATAAAACTGTACGGGTGTTCACTCTGCGAGAAAAGATTCCATAGTGCATCCGGCCGGACCAGACATATTATGGTATGTATATTTTTTTAAATAAACAACTTGAAAAAATCGAACTGCCTAAGGCGGGACTCGAACCCACGACCTTCCGCTTGCCGGGCGACTGCTTTTCCAACTGTATACAGGGTGTCAGGTAAATGGGTATATGAGCCGACACTAGCCCATGTTAACATGGTCATATAAATGGTATGGTGAAGTCAGAAAATTGATATCTTCATTTTAATTTTCATACAAATCGTATTTTATAAAATTTAGTTTGTATGAAAATTAGAAAAATTCAAATGATGATGTCAACTTTCTGACTTCACCATACCATTTATATGACCATGTTAACATGGGCTAGTGTCGGCTCATATACCCATTTACCTAACACCCTGTCTATGGTTAGCACGAAAAACTTTCGAGTTCAAATCGTTTGCGTATTCGAATTGCCATCAAAAGATTTAGTACGAAAACTGCAACAGCGCCCTTGTGAACGTGTCGTAAAGTGAACTTAGTATGAGAAATTGTTGCTTTACGAATATTTGCTGTTTAGTTTAAAAAAATAAGACTCGGACCGTGCGACGGGTAGCCGCATTGAGTGTGCGAGCGTGACAGCAATATAATTACGCGCAAGCGATAAGGAAGGGTAGCTTGGGGTCATTGTACGAAATTGAAGGGGTGAGTGGACAAAGGTCTTAACTAACAAAATGAGTTATGAGTGTTTGAAAATGTTAGTCTGCTCATACCACATTTGAATCCTGAAATGTATGAATGCTTGTCAGATGTCAGAGAACACCTTTGTTAAGGTTTGACACGTAACAAAATTGCGTGTTTTGAGCTCATTAGTCGATTTTATCATCACTTAAAACCTATGTTCATGCAAAAAAGTCGATTCTTCAGTTTTGTCAGATAACACCTTTGTCAACTCACCCCTTCAATTATATCTGCTTGGTGACCGGACTTTAGTTGTTGTTATAAAATTATAATTTTCAATTTCAGAGGCACGCGGGTATTCGTCGACACGTCTGCAACTTTTGCAAGAAAGCATACGTAACATCTACTGAAGTTAAAACCCATATCAAAACTGTACATATGTCTCAACCAACGGTACCAAGGAAACGGCGAGCTCGAAAAAACAAGGACATCGTTGTGAAGACTGAAGATAATACGAATATAGATCTGAGCAATTATGTTATTGACAACGAAGTTGAATACGAATATGTTATTGAAGAGGTGGTGACGGAAGATTGACGCCTGATCACATTACTATGAGGTCTCACAGGGCGCGTGGACGCACAGGGTGACGCGAACCAATCACAGAGCTCTATTCAACGCTGTTCGATTTGCTGCTTCACTTAAGCAAACATCGTTTGGGAATAAGCAGGGTTCGAGGATCTATATCAAGGGATAATATCAAGATATATATCGGATATATATCCGATATATATCAAGCCGGTTTTGATGATATATATCAACTTTTAAAATTTGTTACTGTATTTGTACTTTTTGACATAAGATTTTTATTTTTTTAGGTGATTTGGCCGTATTTCAAAGATATTTTATGTTTTTGCTTTATTTATCTGATTTTAAGTTTTAAAAACATTTAAAACATGTTTATCTAACACATATGCAATAGTATTCATGAATCCCAACTAATATTATAAATGCGAAAGTAACTCTGTCTGTCTGTCTGTCTGTTACGCTTTCCCGCTTAAACCTCGCAACCGATTTTGATGAAATTTGGCATAGAGATAGTTTGAGTCCCGGGAAAGAACATAGGATAGTTTTTATCCCGGTTTTTGAAACAGGGACGCGCGCGATAAAGTTTTTCTGTGACAGACAAAATTCCACGCGGGCGAAGCCGCGGGCGGAAAGCTATAATGCAATAAAATAATACTATGGCTTTCATACAAAATTGATATAAATATATCAATGTTGATATAATTATATCGGATATATATCATAAATATCCGATATTTTGATATTTATAATAAACTAGCTTTCCGCCCGCGGCTTCGCCCGCGTGGAATTTTGTCTGTCACAGAAAAACTATGTTCTTTCCCGGGACTCAAACTATCTCTATGCCAAATTTCATCAAAATCGGTTGCGAGGTTTAAGCGGGAAAGCGTAACAGACAGACAGACAGACAGAGTTACTTTCGCATTTATAATATTAGTTGGGATATCGGATATTTACGAACCCTGGGAATAAGGGTGTTAGATTCATTGAAGAACTTTTAAAGTGACATCTACAGGGTGTTGATTTCCTCGAAGAAAAATTATTAATTACACTACCTACTTTACGTGGCTTCTGAGCGAGCTACAGTACAGCTGATGTCGCACGGAAAATATTTGCTAAAATTCCAGTTTCGTTTGTATTTTTTTTGTGGATAATGCGTTTATGTAAGTCATAATACATCACCTAAATAAATATGGCGAGGATTGAAATCAACACCCCGTATAACCCTCTGGCACCTGGCAGCCGCGGGAAAGTTGCATTCGAGTGATTTGCGCGGTAGCCTTATTCACGTAACAAAACTTCAACGACAACAAATCGCTGAATGCGATCCTATCGAGTAATCGTTCTATCAAAATGACCCTTGTGAATACGGATTTAGAAATGTTTTTCAATGGGACGACTTCTGAACGTCAGCGAGATCTTGACTGTCAAAATGCCACAGTTAGCTCGATCGGTTGTAAGCTATAGTTCCAAAATACTGAACTGTCCTATGCATGACATTGACAGCGGGGCGCCACTGTCAATACCGGATCGCTGGTTCCGATTTTTGCCATGTTGGAAACCATATAGTTGAACGATGGTAGCGCCCCCCTGTCATTGAGTTTGGTGGGACAGTTCAGTGTGGTACATCTATATCAATAAACGGTGCCCTAAATGTTACAGATTATGTATTTTGTATATTTACAGACCAAATGTTTGGCATAATATGATATTATGTACCTACTGAAAATGATAATTCGTTATTAATTAGAATGATTAGATTATTTTATAGATCGTTTCATCCACTCGGACGCGCCCCACCATTCTTCCTAATGTTTGAGTGTTATCGGTACACGCTAAATGCTCCATGAGTGCACACGCACACTACAGTAATGCCTTACGGCTTGCTCGGACCACACTCCCCGCGCCCGCGCCACCGGGACCACACACTGGGGCGCGGCCGAGTGCATGAAACGCTCTTATACCAATACCTAATATTAGTTTTGGCAGTTAGTACTATTTATAAGTCTATATTTTTTAATAAATAATGATTTTTTAAAAGTTACATTGTGTTTATAATTTTTCACTGGTTTAAGTTCAAGAAAACAACAAGAATAACATAGAATAATATTATACTTTATTCTTATAGTCAACGCAATTTATTTAACGGAAAGTAAACTATAATAATTATATATTTACATTAATAGTTATTAATAAAAATTTAAGTATCTCATCATATAGGTAGAATCATTTCTTTTGATTTGTCATAATAAATGTTACAGTTTTCTATTCTATTCATCGTCACATTCTTCAATCTCCATTTTTATTTCTCTTCGTTCAATTTCACCGTCACAACTGATTTTATGTGTCTGTAGCTGTGTAACATTGCTGAAAACCCTTCTGCATTTGACACAATTAGCTATTTTGCTATCTAAATTGTTTTCTATTGAATCATCGTCTTCATCTATTCTTTCAATTTTTACGATCCCACACTGGATTATATGGGTCTCTAATAATGTAGCTTCGTTGAAAACTTCACCACATTTACCACAACAATTTTCGTCGCTTTTTACGTTACTAATCTGCTCTATTTTTACAAGTCCACAATTTATAATATGAGCATGAAGTTCTGTGTCATTTGGAAACATCTGACCACATTTGACACAGCTCATCTCTTCATTGTTGCAGTTTTCCTGCATTGACTCAACTGGATCACCATTTTTCATATGCACTCTCCGTATATGCCTTGTCACATCGTTAGTAGATTTGAAGAACTTTGTACAAATAGTGCATGGATATTCTTTGCTATTATGAGTTTTCTTATGCTTGTTCATGTACTTTTTCGAGGAGTAAACCTTGTTGCAAATTGAACAAGCAAATTCTCCTTCTTTGGAATGAACGACGTTGTTATGTATCTTTAAATGCATCGAGCACTTGAAAGTTTTCTGGCATATCTCGCACCTTTTAGCCGCTTCGGGAGGCGCATGCGTTATTCTTATGTGCCTTTGTAAGTTCATAGGAGACTTGTACGTTTTGAAGCAGATATTGCACGTTGCACTTTGTTCAGAATGCACGGTTTCCATGTGCCGTTTTAAATTGTTTAGATCGCAGAACTCTCTCGAGCATACATGACAAGATGTATCCACCTTATTTTCCGAGTGACACTTCTCATAGTGCCACAGTACAGCTGTGTTTGTAGCGAATTTCTTGTCGCACGCGGTGCATTGTAAGTCGCCCGTCTTATATTTCTTTCTTTCGACTTTTACGCTGCTGTGGACTGTTGACATATGACGATTCAAGCTACCGTTGGTCTTGAAAACCTTGTTGCATACGTCACAAGAGACATTTTTGGAGCCATGCACGGCTGCCATATGGCGTTTGTAACCATCTATTGAAGGCAACACTCTACTGCATTGGGGGCAGCGGTAAATCAACCCATCTGAGGGATGAGCCCATTTAACATGTCTTTGTAAGAGCATATTGTTCTTAAACTCCTTCGAACATTCTGGACAGGTCACCGTTTGGCCTTCCGGATGAACTTGTTTGATGTGGACTTTCAGACGGTATTTGGTTTTGAAAATCTTCTTACATACCTCACAACTGACGTTTTCTTCATCATCCGGGTGGCAGTAGAATATGTGGTTGTTCAGTTTTTTCTTATTCAAAAATGTTTTGTCACAGTAATCACAAGCAACTTCTTTTTCATCCGCATGGACAGAACTCTTGTGAGATCGAAGATGTAGTAATGATTTGAACGTTCTAAAACAAATGTTGCAGTCAACAACATCTTGGTCCGTGGAATGTATGAATTTAATATGCGCTCTGAGATTGGCTCTATTCTTAAACGTATTATCGCACTGTGGACATTGTAATCTATTAATTTTACCATTCTCGTATACTTTCCCTTCGAATTCTATCGTTCTCTTTGATTCGATGACTGCTGTAGACGTTTCCGGTGTTCCATAGTATGACTCTGTATTTTGAAGACTTTTTGTATTGCTGCTGGCTTGAGATTCTACTTTAACGTATTTGCTGTTCGTCTCCTCCACTGGAACATCATTGTATGGTTCGATTTCAACTTCGATGTTGATTTCTGGTTTAATGTAAATTTCCTCTGGCTTTGTTTCCATATTTTGAAGATTCTGAAATGATAAAGTATTTGATTATTTAAAGATGTCTACATCTATAATATTATAAAGGGGAAATATTTGATTGTTTGTTTGTATTAATAGTCCAGTCATTTAAGCTTAAATTAGGTAAGAATCTCGGAATTAGAGATACCCAGCTGTAAGTCTGTAAATACTTGTATATTGACACCCTAAAAGTTGTAAGCAACTATTAAATTTTAAGGTCAAAGGTCACAAAAATCGGTTTTTTGCGCTTTTTTTGGAAATATCTCATTTCCTATGGGTTTTTTGCTATTTGTATTTATTATCAATATTGTAGAATACTAAATTCTCTACAAATTTTGTTTAAATTTTTTTTTTTATACGGTGAACCGTTTTCGAGATAGAGGGCGGAGAGCGCGCGGTCACTGCATCACTTCAGGTCAACTTAAGCGGTTTAGGTTTTTCATACAAAAGGATTTTCCCGCTAATTCCCGTGGGAATTTCGGTAATTACTTGTTGTAAATAAGCTTTAAGTTTACTAAGGTAACTACATGCCAAATTTCAAGCGTCTAACTTCCGTTAAGCGTTTAGATTTTTCATACAAAAGGATTTACCCGCTAATTCCTGTTCCCGTGGGAATTCCTAAGTAAACTATAACCTGCCCAGGTGTATGAAGAATAATTGTACCAAGTTTCGTTAAAATCCGTCGAGTAGTTTTTGTTTCTATAAGGAACATACAGACGGACAGACAGACAGACAAAAATTTTACTGATTGCATTTTTGGCATCAGTATCGATCACTAATCACCCCCTGATAGTTATTTTGAAAATATATTTCATGTATAGAATTCTGTCCGTCTGTATGTTTCTTATAGAAACAAAAACTACTCAACGGATTTTAACGAAACTTGGTACAATTATTCTTCATACACCTGGGCAGGTTATAGTATACTTAGGAATTCCCACGGGAACAGGAATTAGCGGGAAAATCCTTTTGTATGAAAAATCTAAACCGCTTAAGTAGACCTGAAGTGATGCAGTGACCGCGCGCTCTCCGCCCTCTATCTCGAAAACGGTTCACCGTATAAAAAAAGTTTTTAAACAAAATTTGTAGAGAATTTAGTATTCTACAATATTGATAATAAATACAAATAGCAAAAAACCCACAGGAAATGAGATATTTCTAAAAAAAGCGCAAAAAACCGATTTTTGTGACCGTTGACCTTGAAATTTAATAGTTGCTTACACCCTACCATATGTAGGTTTTGAGACAACTTTTAGGGTGTCAATATACACGTATTTACAGACTTACAGCTGGGTATCTCGAATTCCGAGGTGAACTTACTATAATGACTGGACTATAAATAGGCTATGAAACTACTGGACCGATTTGAAATAATCTTTCATCATTAGAATCCTACATTAATCCTGTTTAAATTTATTGATTGATTTTTGAACATAGGCTATTCATAGATAAGTTAAGAAGAACTTTTTATTGGCAGAACAAAGACAAAGTTAGCCAGGTAAGCTAATCTATATAAATAAAAATGAATTGATGTTCGTTAGTCTGATTAAAACTCGAGAGCGGCTGGGCTGATTGAGCTGATTTTGGTTTTAAAATGTTTGTCGTAGTCCAGGGTAGGTCTAAACGGTGAGCAAATACGCGCGCGATATTGTTTTTCTGTGACAGACAAAATTCCACGCGGGCGAAGCCGCGGGCGGAAAGCTAGTTGGAAATAAATGTCCCCAATCTGACAGGCTAATGCTGAGTGTAGTCCAAATCCTCCATTATTGGAAAGTCATGACGCTCCTGCAGTGGAGACTAACAATGAAACATTTCTGGAGTAACAGGTGTTCCCTGAGAGCAGCGTTGCCACTTTTTTTTTTTTGCCAAGTCGGGTCTTTGGTACTTTTTGAGTGAAAATAGCGGGATTCTTCAGAAGCGGGACATAGTAAAAAACGTATACAATCAAAGGTTTTCAAATATTTATCTTTTTATTTGACTTAAAATTACGTTTACGTGACAATAGATAGCAAAAGTAGCCATAGAAAATGTATTTTGACAAAAAAAATATCGTTAAGTAATCGTCTTTAGAATAAAAAAACAAAAATCGAAATTAAAAAAGTTTTATTCTTTAGAATAATATGGCGCGATGGCGTTTCAAACAATAGTCTGGTGGAGTGAGTGCCTCTCAAAAAAAAACGAAAAGCGGGACCGAGCCTGTCCCGCGCGGGTTTCAATTTGATTAAAAAATCGAGACATCTGGCAACGCTGCCTGAGAGGTATTGCAAAAATCTGAGTTCAGAACTACCTAAACCAGCTAAAGGCATTAATAAACCAAAAGGGGAGTTTGGAATCAAATTCAAGTCGCACTAACTTGGCGCGCAAAGCGATGACATTGCAAGGTAACACATAGAAAACATGATGAGTAAAGCCTTGCAAAATCACACCTATTGAAGGCTAAGATGCTACAGTGTTTTGCTCGATGGACTTTAGTTTTTAACATGAGTGTGAATGCGAGGAAGCAATTCGATACGGTACAAATGCTTTTTGTGCCGAGTCTGCGGTTCCTACCGCTAAACATTACGTGATAAAGGGCCAGTATGTATGATATTACCAGATTCAGAACGAAAAAGCATTCCACAAAGATGTATACTTGAGTAATTACAAGTTCCAAAGGCCAAAGAATACACAATACATCGATTCTTTTAAATTCTTAGCGAGATAAGGATCTAACTCCAAGTTCACTTACATAAAACGTGTAAAACGATGAAATGTGGAAACCAGTTGCACTAATTGTTTATTTTGTCCATTTCTAAGACATTTATGGAGCAAAATTCCAATTGGATCCCCCAAATATTGATAATTTTCAGAAATAAAATCACGACACCATCCCTTCACAAAACGTGTTATGACATTTTACTTTTTTTTATACATAATGGTGCCATTGCTATCACAATTATTTCTACTAAATTGGTAGTTTTTAACGTCACGTATAACCACATTACTGGACTAAATACAAAAAAACATTAACGTGGCATCATTGATAGGCCAAACGTCTAATAATAGACATAGCACATATTATGTAATATTATTATTAATCTGAGTAGATTCCTGTGCACTGTGGTAGTAAAGCGATGCGGGAGAGAGAAGGAGGGTCAATTCAACACCAACACAAAGGAATAATAAAGCTAAAATGACATCGCATATTAATAATTCCAAATAACCATTTAATTTCACACGATAAAATCTGTAGAATATTTACAAATACATAATAATATAAATCTAAGTTAGTTATTCGTATTTAAAGATGTAAGAAGCAGTGGTAGAAGTTACAATTTTTATTACAATATTTTTTAACAACAATTTCTAATGAAAAAATCCAAAATTAATAACATTGTCTTGGTCAAAATTATAACATTGGCCTCCGATAAAATATAACTTTATTATAAAATACCTACTTTATATTATATTATTAACAAGAAACTATTTTAAATTCATGAAACTCTAATACTTCTTTTGGGTGATGGCGATGAACTTGCGCTTTTTTAAACTCTTATTACAAAAAAGAAAATCTAATGAACGTATCTTAAGTTTTAAAGTTGCTACATTTCATCGGTGGCGGGTTTTTTTTATTACAAAACTCAGTAAATTAAATGTCAAAAGTTTATTGTACTAAAGTGATTCTACTTTGGTCGGCGTTCCTAAACACAAATGCCACGAGAAAAATGCCAACAATGAAAAAGTTTGTGCGCACTGCATTTTAAGAGCACGTAAATAATAGTAACGTGAAATTGACTCTATATTTACACTAAAACTAAAAATTAGTTGCTAGGTTACAGAAAAACTAAAATAAAAATAAAACTGGCGTTGTATAGGAACTTCAATTTACCAAACAAAAATACAAGATAAAATCTTAAATCGATACCGGTGTAATGTATCAAAATGGTAATAATTTGTATTGCAACGTGTTTACCTAGCAACTTTAATAAGGTAGATTTTTAACTATCTAGTAGATTTTGGAAAGTTTTTATTGAAGTAGTTAAAGGTAGTGTTAAAATGATCAATGTTACAGACACCAGCATTTTTTTAACACAAAACGTAATTAATCCTCAGACTAAACTTACCGTGACAAAAAATATATTAATGAATATTTACAATATCTTAAACATAATGGTTTTCATCTTAAAACATTATTTTTATTGTTTCACAAATTCACAGTTAATATCTACCTATATCATAGTTTTCTTTTATCAAGACAATCCATTATTAACATTGTCGCAAATCTTCGGACAATATTTTTTGAGTTGAGAGCAAACATTTTTTTCAATCATTAATATTTTTGACTATAGTCTGGTCGTGAGCACGTAGAATTTTGTCCAATGACCCCTAGCTACCCATCCTTATCGCTTGCGCGTAATTATGTTGCTATCGCGCTCGCACACTCACTGCGAGTGCCATGCCAGTAGCACAGTCGCGACAGCAATATAATTACGCGCGAGCGATAAGGATGGGTAGTTAGCGTTCATTGGACAAAATTCTACGTGCTCACGGACCGGGCTTTAGTTCCTACAAAATGTGTTGTTTTTGGACTATTTCGTATCCAAAACTATTCATATTCTACAAGAAATGTTGAACGTTGACATGGTTTTGTTGATTGTGTTGGGCAAAACACGCGATGGAGACATTCAAACCATTTTTTTAATTGGCAATATTTTTGACACGGCTAAAAGGGCTGGCACCCAATGCCGTAAACTTGAATGAAAAAAATTATTGGCTTAAACAGCTTGAACCCAGAACCGTGAAACAAAAAGTTAATATAACCGTTAGGCCCTTTTCACATGTTCCGGTTGCCCGCTGACCGGCGCCGGGTCATACTTCACCACCGGATACCCGGCGCCGGTTAGCCGGCAACCGGGACGTGTGAAAAGGGCCTTATGAAATGTTTGATCTCGAGTCAACTTTAGCAATTGAATTATAAAATATAAGTTTGAAACCACAATATTCTACAACTTAACATTTTATGTACAGTTAAATCTACAGAATCGAAACATTGACTAAGTCGCGACAAAAATGGTAATTTGGAAAAACTTTACCCCCGTCTCTTGCGGTTGGGTAACATAACACTTAATTATAAATATTTACAGCTTACATCTATGTATGTAGAAGTTATATTAGGTACGCTTTTGCTGTATCAAGGAGTATCAGGCAACAATTACCCTAATGCTGAGGGCATAAGATGCATTTTGCCAACAAACCAATGTAAAATAAGACCCTTTTTTTTTTAAGTCTGTTAAAAATGAAGATAATACTCAATGGATTTTGAACTCAACATCATCATTTTAAGGTTCATAATCTATAATTTCTAGTTTGATTAGTGACGGTTAGTTACAGCTCCTTAAATCATTGAAATACCTGCCGTATGTCAACGGCATTAGGATTATTTGCATAACACTACTTGCTTTGCTCGCAGCGAACGCGTATTAGGCCGTCCGCTGCCATAGAATCCTCCACCATGCACCGGACGGCCTTTACAACCCGATCGAGCTACAGATAGTGCCATCCACGAAGACGCGCCCCACCATTCGTCCTAAGCATGCTTCCGCGAATGTTTGAGTGTTAGGCCCTTTTCACACGTCCCGGTTGCCGGCTAACCGGCGCCGGGTATCCGGTGGTGAAGTGTATGGGCATGGTACGTAGCTTTCACATGTTCCGGCGTAATTAATCCGGCATGCCCATACACTTCACCACCGGGTACCCGGCGCCGGTTAGCCGGCAACCGGAACATGTGAAAAGGGCCTTATCGGTACACGCTAATTATCCACGAGTACACGCACACTATAATAACAGAGTAAATACAAATGAGTAGGTCATTTTCATAGAACGCACCGGGCGCGGTTTGCATGTGAGCGCACCAATACGTATTGGCGCGCTCACACTGACAAAATTTAGCGTGGATTAGCGGGGAGCCAGTGTGTGCGTGCGCGCCGTACGTATTGGCGCGCTCATATACAAACCGCGCTCGGTGCGTTTCTCTATGAAGATGACCTACTCATTTGTATTTACTCTGATAATAATGACGCTCGGATCAAACTCCCCGCACCTCGTGCTTCCCTCGACCAACAATGAGGGTTTTCGCGATTGAAAAATCTGCTGCATGATTGGTTATTTTTGACATGACATTGACAGATATGTCAAAATCCACCAATCACACAGCATTTGGACCTCGCGTCTACGTATTGCCATCTGGCGGATTTTTCAATTGCGAAAACCCTCATTGGTGGGGCGCGTCATCGTGGATGGCACTATCTATAACTGCGCACCTCGCTAGAATGCGATTCTCCCTCGCACTCACCCGTACACCTCCCTGCGTTCGCCCCGTCCGTACCAGGGCGATGTGACGTCACGGCCGCCAGTTAACTCGACCGGGTTCACGGTTGTATATCGAAATGAACATTTATATTGTAACCGTTAGAAAAATATTGTATCTTTACAATAAAAACACACACAGTTGCAGGCATGAAATTCAAATTTATAAAATTCAACATGTTTAAAATTCATCACTTTTTAGGGATAAGATACTGAAAATATTTACAAGTTTAAAATTATTAAGTAATTGAAATGCCACGACCATGTTCATTTCGATACATTAACATTTAATTGCAAATATATCAAAAATGATAAATAATGCAAGATTTTATTAAAAATTTGTCTAATTTTTGTAATTTTAAACATCCAACGCTAGAAAAACATTTTATACGCCAAAAATTTTCTAATTGAATAGTTGACACCTTATTGTAGGGTAGTGGACACCCTAGTCAATTGACATACTTTTTATGAACTGTCAGAACGCGAGTCCCCCTTAGATTTTGTATGGGAAAGGGTACTATGACGTCATCAAGTTTTATTAACTTTGAAGCTACTAACTTAAGTGAAGCAGCAAATCGAACGCACAGCGTTCAATAGATCAATGTGAGTGGTTCGTGTGTCACCCTGTGCGTCCACGCGCACTATGAGACTCTCTCAGCTTAGAAATTAATAAAATGATCAATTGAGTTGAAGAAAATGACGTCATTTCCTGTTGAAATACAAAATCTATAGGAAATACGCGTCTTACCAGCTCATAAAAAGTATGTCAGTTGACCAGTGGTGTCAACTAGCCAAGTATAATTTTAATTAATTTTCAAAATTTATTTATTTATCTAGCTATAATATTTCATAAAATCTTTTTAGTCCTGAAAATATTTACCAAGCTATTTATTTTTATTATATTTATATTGCTTTCATTTATTAGAATAGTTTTATCTTTAATTATTTAATTAATACTTAGTATATAGGGTGTCTATGAAATCTATGTAAGCTGCAAGCATAGAATATTACGATAGTAAAAATAAATCAACTCCAAAATAGTGTTCTAACAAAAAAGTAGAATAATTTATAGATTTTAATTTATGAGTTTTTTAATCAATTTAGTGACATAGTTTTTGTTCCTTTCAGCTTTACGTACATAACATTGACAACCTGTATAATTTGCACAAAATAAGAATTATTGACGAATCTTCTATTTTACTGCGAACCGAGCGCGGGGAGTGCGTGGGCCTTTCGCTATCTCACGCCCCGCGTAAGATGAATAGAAATATACACCATTATAATCGTATAATGGTATCGACCCATCCCACCAAATATGTCTAAAGTATTTTTTGTGTTTAAAGAAATATTATTATCACCTGTCAAGTATTTAAAATGTATTGGAACAATATAACATAATTATATTTATAATTGAACTTGCAAAGAATCTGATGGATACGTCAAAAAAGGCATTGTGTAATCCACAATCATAGAGGAACAGTTTAGTCAGCAACAATGCTGTTAACATTGTTGTAAGATGGTGGTAGCTAGCCAGGAGGACTTTGAACAAGCCCTACCACTAACAAAAGCGAGTAGAAAATTTTTCCCAGATAGTCTTACAGAGGCGATAAATACCGCCCAAAAATGATTTAGCCGTGTTAAAACTGTAGCATTATTCACCATCGGCTTAAACGTACTTTCGCCAAGCTCAAATTTGACGTAATCATCGATTCTTAGTTTCTTTCTATTCAGAATCCGACTCAGTTTCTCCAGACTCGGAGTCTGAGCTCGAAACGGGTTCACATTTGATAAACTCAATCGCCTCTCGTTTGGGCCTCGCGGGTTTTTTCTTCGGCTTATCCCCTTCCCTCCCGTCTTCCGTCATAACCGTTTTGACCATTTGGGATATTCTTTTCAAATGCTGCTGCTCATGTCTCTGTAAGTGATTGCTTAAATATCGTTTAAGTTTAAATTTCTTGCCGCACTGCTCACACTCATGCTCGTATTTTGTTTCGTCTACCTCCATATGAACAGAGTTGTTGTGACGTCGCAAATAGTGCGCATGGGCAAACTCCTTGTCGCACTTTTCACAACGCATCTTAGGTTTTGACGGGTGAACGATCTTTTTGTGCTTCTTCAAACGGATCGCCGAATGGAAGAACTTGTCGCACAGATCGCATTTCACTTTCGTATCAAGAGACGAATGGACTTGCATATGCTCTTTCAAATACTGGTCGTTTTTGAACTCTTTCAAGCACTCAGGACAACTCACTTTGGATTCTAACGGCGGATGGATATTTAAGATGTGCCGTTTCATGTGGTGCCGAGACTTAAACGTCATGTCGCAGAAGACACACTTGTGTCTTTCAACTTGCGAGTGCTGAAAATGGAGGTGTCTGTTTAAATTCAGGTGACTTTTGTATAACTTCTGGCAGATGTGACACTTGTATTTATCCTGGTCCGCACGGTGGCACGCGTCTATATGGTACCTTAGTTTGTAAGGAACCGAAAACTCTTTCCCGCACTCTGGACATTTTAACTCAGGGAGGGTATTTGGATGAATCCGCTTCACATGCATGTGGAGCGCTCGACTCGTCCTGAATTCTTGGAGACAGAACTGACAGTAGCATTTCTCGTCTTCCGAATAGTGTTTATTCATCCTATGCATGTACAAATAGTGTTTATTTTTGAATGTTTTATCGCAGATATCGCACATGACCGCGGACTCTTCTGATGAATGTACCCTAGTAGTGTGAAGGTACAGGTTTTGGTAATTTTTGAATTCTTTGTTGCATTTTATGCAGATATACTGTTTAGTTCTTTTTGGGAACATAACAGGTTTCCAGGTGGAGAGTACAGACTCGTACATTTCCCTTTGTTCGTCTGTGAGCACTTCGCTGTTCACACTGACGAATTTGAAGACTTTCTTTTCCTCTTTCAGTTCTTTCAACTGCATTGACGGGTCGGGCGGCCGCAGTTGAGACATAGATGACTCTCCAACTTCGATCTCCAACTTTTTTATGTCTGGTTTCTCTTCCGTCATGGTTACCTGGAAAGATAGAAATTGATTTTAACGATGGCTCTAGGGCATGTAATATCGGAAGGTTTTCAATTCCGATATTGGATTCCGATATTAGATCTCAATATCGGAATTCCGATATTAATATCGGAATTGAGTTCATGTGCTATAAAATTAATATTTGGTTATATTCGTAAGAATTCTGGATTTTTTACAATAAAATAATGATTTTAATCAAAATCTTTAGTTTGCTACAAAACAGCACTTCATAAAATTGAAGTATTTTAAAACCATTTTTACATTATGGGTATCCATTGCATTTGGTTTTTTATGTGACAAGAGGCAAACGAGCAGACGGATCACCTGATAATGAATGGTTACTGATAATATTATGGACTAAAATAATTAAAGTGTTTTTGTAAAATCACAGATATCAAACAAACTTTTTTACTCCTTCATTATATTACCCTGTTTTATGTTGGCGGAACGAATTTTAGAGTCATTCAATCACGTGTTACAAAAATTGTAGAGAGTGGTAAAAAACTTGAATATGCTTCTAATTTGTTCCTTTTTGATTATCGATGTACAACTCACAAAACCACGAGCCATCATCATGTCAGCCATAGGACGTCCACTGCTGAACACAGGCTCCGATGCTGATTTTCACAATGGCCGGTTGGTGGCGGCTTGCATCCAGCGCCTTCCTACTATCTTTATGAGGTCATCGGTCCACCTTGTGGTTATGAGTCCTGCAATGGCCGGTTGGTGGCGGCCTGCATCCAGCGCCTTCCTGCTACCTTTATGAGGTCGTCGGTCCACCTTGTGGTTATGAGTCCTACGCTGCGCTTTCCGGTACGTGGCCTCCACTTCAGAACCTTGGCCTCATCGTCCGTCTGTTTTGCGTACTAAGGCAGAACCGTTGGAAGACCTTATCACAATGCTCGAAGACCTTAATCGAGTTTTCCAACAGGTAGGCCTTCGGATGAATATGGAAAAAACGAAGCTTATGTCGAATGTCCATGTTGCTCCTTACCCAGTTTCGGTTAGGAGCTCGATTCTCGAGATTGTTGACAAGTAAGTACGTCTATCTCGGACAAACGATCAGCTAGGTAGTTAGATGCAATTTCGAGAAAGAGGTAAATCGTCGAAAACGAAGACGAAAGTCTTCAATTGTTGTGTGTTACCAGTGATGATATACGGCTCGAAAACGTGGCCTTTGAATATAGGGCACAACGTGCTTTGGAGAGGGATAAGCTTGGTGTTTCTTTACGAGATCTAATCAGAAATGAGGAGCTCCGTAGACTAACCAAGGTTGCTGACATAGCCCGACGGATTAGCAAGCTGAAGTGGCAATGTGCAGGGCACATAGTACGCAGAAGACATGACGGTCCATGTCCAGTAAAATTAATGTTTGAAAGGGAGTTGAGATGTCGTTCTTTGTTGACCAAGTACCTACCTATGGCAAATGCTAAAATTGATTTAGAACAAGTTAAATTAACCATAAATAATAAAGATTTGAGATATTTGCAGTGGAACAAAAAGTGATGGTGAGAGACATGAGAAAATCATTGGTCTTTGCCAATCATGTAGGTACTTTGGGCTTTGTGGCAGGTTGTGGCGAGTTTAAACGCTTTGTTTAAAATCTCAATTAAAACTTTTATCTGATTCCGATATTACGATATTGAGTCGCTCAATATCGGAATTGAAATATCGGATCTCGCAGTCCGAGATTCCGATATTACGAGATTCCGATATTCATGCCCTAGATGGCTCGTCTTTCTCTTGATTTCAAGACAACCGTATATGCGGGTTACTTCAGCTCTAGAAGGCAACTTTGAAGAAGAAGCTCAACTAAACGTTGTGAAGAGGTGGGAAATTAAATTCATTTTTAGCAATAGTTGCCCCCTAATGCTAAAGGAAATTGCAAATACGCTAACTCGCCAATCGATTTGGTTTTGGGGAAAAGTCCTAATTTAGTCAAAGCTGTTTAGATTTAAAGATTAGAAATGAAAAATTATCATCTACTTTCGGTAGTTCCCCCAAATCGACAGTATTCGGCATCACTATTTTGTATCAGCGAAAATATTTCTGTAATGTACAGTCAGCCAGCAGTACATCAGACTACATTTTTGTAGCAAAATAGCACCTATCACAATTACACAGATACCACATTGTGTAACTTAATGCGCTGTCTGTACAGTCAGCGTTAAATAGTTCGTGACACCCAAAGTACCCAATAAGTTCGCAACATGTCTTTTTCACAATCGGAATAAGGTTGTCAACTTTTTGGCCATTTTGAATATAACCGTATATCGGATCGCGGTCTGGAATTGGGTCGCCCGTAAGATGCTATCGCTCATCGCCCGGGAGGATGCCATAAAAGGGAGTTTTATTCTTTGGAAATCGATAAATAACTTTCGAGAAGTGGCTGACGTAGGTTTTTGGTGCGGCGTTTACAAGACCGCACGCAGACTGTTGGTTTTTGTCATTTTTGTTCCAATACAGTTTTTGTCATACAATTTTCTGTGAAAACTTTCTTTGCAGGACGCCAAGAGACGACTAATTAACGATAGGCTGAAAACGTCTTATGTTGCATGACCTTTAAGGACATAGCACACTTATCAACCCGGTAAGGGATCGTAACAATTCAACTCGAGGCGGTCAGTATTCTTTGTATGAAACTCCAAACTGCAACGCACACGCATCGTAACGTAAACGCATCGCCTCGCTGTTGACAGCGCGCGAAAGGCGACATGGTGTTGATCCCTTTCAGAGTTGATAAGTCTGCTATGACCTTTACTCTCCGTTTAAAGAAATAAGATGGCAGTCGATGAAGCACCTGATGTCATGTCCTGAGTGCCCAAGCAACTGCACTCAGGAGGATTTGATGAGTGCTACTGACAACGCCACTCTTGTGGCGGAGTTTTGGGCTGACACTGTATAGGTTTGTTGTCTACACGATAAGAAGAAGAATAAGATGGCGTTTATCGCCGCTATCGAGAAGGATGAACACTTTAGGCAATGTAAGCTTTAGTACACCTGGATGCAGGCCGCATTATGGAAATTATTGGGGGAGGCCTATGTTCAGCAGTGGACGTCCTGTGGCTGTAATGATGATGATGAAGCACAAGTTCGAGACAAGAGACAGATGCGGTCGCGGTCTCTTGTCTCCGTCACGGCGTAAGCCGCCGCCTTAAGGCCTCAGCCTCGAACTTAGCGGGCAGCGGGGCGGCGGCGGCGGCGGCGCGGGAGCGGCAGGATCTTATGCGTAAAATCAAATGGACCGGTTCTCGAAAACAGCGGCGCGGCAGCGGGCAACGAGCGGGCAGCGGCGAGGGAGCGGGCATCGAGCGGGGAGCGCACTCCTTCTTTTGCCCACAATAAATCGAGCGTTAGGAATAAATTTGAATCGAAATAAAATTGTCGCCGTTGTTCAGACATTTCGTTTGCGAATAAAAACAAATATCTCGACAACACAACCCCGAACACAACACTTCGCCGCTAAAGCGCCGCGCGAGCTGCCCGCTGGTTTCGAGAACGGGTCTGCGTTACCCGCCCCGCTCCCGCGCCGCCGCCGCCGCCGCCCCGCTGCCCGCTAAGTTCGAGGCTGAGGCCTTAGACGGAAAGTACAGATGAAGGCACAACAAGGAAGGAAAACACTGGGGCATCTTACCAACATTTTATTAATCATTTAATAATTTTGCAATAAAAATGAAGGTATATGTATATCATCTAACATGATGTTGTTTGTCAATTTCGCGAGAAACACAGTGGATTTTAGATGTTCTAGACCAGTGTTTTTCAACCTTTTTCATGACACGACCCCCCTAGTATGAAAAAATTTTTGGCGACCCCCGACCATTCGCTTTTTTTGTGTAGATGTTTGTAGGGTCTGAATAGTTCAATCCATACAACATTTGCATAATTATTAGATTTCGGATAAATCTGTCTTTGTAATGGTGCGTCCACACTGGGCGAATATGCTCGCGCATGTGTGGACGCACCATAAGAATTTTTTTACTGAGGTAGTTTTTACGACCTCTCGCGACCTATAGAGGCTGCGCGATCCCCCAGGGGGTCGCGACCCACAGGTTGAAAAACGCTGTTGTTTAAATTTATTTTAAATTTAAACAATTCAAATACATGTGACATCCTGTATATGCGAGCGTGTATGAGCACGATATTTTGTATAGTTAGCCATTCACAAATCCAGTGCTAAAAAAGCCTTACTTAAGTATCTCAACACACTCAACTATGAAGACACTGAGAGATTACTAAGCTCCCCGAAATAGACCCATATTGCCTATTATCTGAAAAGCCCCATTCTTGTGTTTTTTTATGACAATATCGTGGAATAGTACGCCCTTACAGCAATTACTCATCTACATACACACCCACACACACGCTCACACACACACACACACACACACTCATATCATTGTATTTTTATGGTATTTTTTATTTTATATTTTGTTTAGCCTGTTTAATTAATTAGAACTCAACACTCTGTACCTCTAGGAATCTTCTAATTATTTAAATGTATAACTATTTAATAAAATAGATTCCGCAGAGTGGGCCTGGTGACCTGTAATACAGATTTTCTTAAAATCTACAATAGGCACCAGCTCTCACAATGCAATCTATAGTTTAACGGATATATTATGAGAAATGTTTCATAATTTATGTTGTGAGAGAAATAAATAAATTATTATTAAATTATTATTATTCATTCATGTTTTTCATAAAGTTATTTTAAAGCTATTCTGCGCCTGCCATTTTTAGTAACGGAATAGAAAAAAGTAACAATAAATATTTTATGGCTTTTGAAAGTATTTTTACTGTTTCTCCAACATTAAATAAATTAAATATCCTTTGACATTTTCATTAATGAAATCAAACTAAGGGGCATTAAATAGTGTATAGTCATGGTAATTTATTCGATAACCCTTTCAGCACAGAATAATACGAAAGTGCGTTCGACTTTGAAAAAATCTAGTGAATTGGTAAATCAATTTTACCGCGCCAAGACGCTTCCGATCGATCGTACGGTTTGATATATTTGCTATTTTTCATACAAAAACTTTCAATGGCGTTCAGTCGGTGCGGTGTTGAGTGACAAAGATGGACGTGTACCTGACTACGGGAGGCGTGAAAAGTATTAATTTATTTAAATTACTTCTTTTGTGGATTTCAATGAATTTTGTCGGTATTTATTTAAATTATATCCTTAAAAAATATAATTCGCTTTAATTTTATAAAAATTTAGATGTAGCCGAGTACCAGGTACTCCTAAAGTTCTACAGCACGAGCGTGCATGTCGGGACGATGTTTGAATTTTTGGTAATGTAAGTAATGGAAACCTTTCGAATCTTTTAAAGGCCTGAACATCAGATTTACTCTAGAATAAACTCAAGAATGTCTCCGAGACACATAACCACCAAATAGTACAAACCCGCTGAAGAAAATACAGCCACCAGTGAAAATATCGAGAGGATACCAGGATTCTAGTACCAATAGATGAACCAAAATGATCCCTTTTATGAAAATATCTAACCCCATGTGTTATTGAATAATAGCCTCGACATTGGGGATTAAAAAAAAAAAGTTATTACTAAAAACGAAAGCTCATGTTCAATTTTAAGATGCTACTACCCCCAAAATTCAGGTTTTGACAGAGTTCTAGGTTAGCGCCATGAGCTATTTTTGATTTTTTTTTTGCAGAAATTAGTATCTAATTACGATATCATGTCTTTATGAAGAATAATAAAGCTCCTTACATCTAAAATGTCTTTTTTTAATTAGTTTAAATTGTAATTGTAATGAAATAGCTATTCATAGGTTCATGACGGATTGATACGATCGTGCGGGGGGGTTAAGGGGGTTAAAGTCACCCCCTAAATTTTTTCGCTATTTTTTTCTATTTACTTAGATCCTAATGACCACAGAAACTAACGCGATTTTTTAGAAATCGTCAAATTTTTCTCTCGTGCTGAAAGGGATAAACAATAACATAAATTGTATTGAAAATAAGAAAAACATAAGAAATTAAAACATAGGTGTTCTGTACACTAAATACCGACAGGTAGGATAAAACAGAAGGGCGCTGGACGCAGGCTGCTACCAACCGATCATTATGGAAATCATTGGGGGAGGCCTATGTTCAGCAGTGCACGTACCAGTGGCGGATTTACAGTTATGCCGCCCGTAGGCTAGGGTGGGGTTGGATCTTTATTTAACTTTTATCTTCTGAAATCGAGTTAGCGTCATCTGAAATCTGCCGCCCCTAGGCCGCGACCTATACGGCCTATTGACAGATCCAGGACTGGGACATACTACGTCGTACGGACGTACGTGCTGAATTGATGATGATGATGAAAATAATATTTTTTATGCCTAAGTTAACAAAGCATTTAGCGTTAAGAAGGACTATTTATCCGTACCCTAATCCACAGCGTTGGAAAAGACATTACAAATTGAATATTTTTACACAACAAGCAAGCAAAAATATATTTATAAAACTCACCTTTTTGTTTCAAATTGGGCTAAGGCGTAAAACTTATTGCACTTTACACGTCACGCCTTTATCAAGTCAGCAGAAAAGAAGTAAATGCACGAATTGATAAAATGGCTCTTTGCCCCGAGGGAAAACATATCCCCACATGATAGCGTTGATTTCCCACGTACAATACACCAAACCGGGTCACGGCAACGACTATTTACAGTTTATAATGTATTTTAATTAGATTTTAATAAGAATTTGAGTAAAATATACGAATGTATCGCGATAATTCGTGTCGGGGTTTTATTACGACTTTTTGACATTCGGGCGAGCGTCAAGCGAGCCAGCTGTCAACAATGTCAAGTGCGTTTAGTTTTTTCACCAGTCAGTAATAGTTTTAAAATTAAAAACAAATATTTTGGTTGTATGGTTTACTATTATTTGTTAATAACATAAATATGAAGTGAATGCACGATTTAATTCCATTTACTATTTTATAAGGTCAATTAAAATAGTCGTAACATAAACAAAATGGTTATTTTAAAAAAGTTAACGCGTAGAACTCCGTAGAAGTCGAAAAGGTTCTAATAGGATTTTGAAATGGTTTTACACTCCATTTTCAATAAAATTCCACTCTAATTTAAAAAATAACTAACTAAACGTTCTAAGTAGATATTACAATAGCGCCGAATTTCAAATTGTTTTAGGCATAAAAATATTATTTTAATATTACACTCATTATTTTTTGTCAATGGACCTATTAATTTAAATATGTGGTGTCCAAATCATGTAGAATAACAATGTTACATTATTTAAGTTACAATATAATCCGAGTAAAGTGAATCCCATCAAAAACAATACTTGTCAAAAAAACCAAGTCTCGCAACTCAGTTGTTCTACGGTAAAAAGTTGTGAGATCCATGTAATACCAAGTCCAGGCCAGGAAATCTTTAACGTTTTACATAAATTATTGACTTGGCCATCGCACTAAATAATTTAATTTACACGTGTTTTCATGCGATGGCCAAGTCAATATTTTATGTAAAACGTTAAAGATTTCCTGGCCTGGACTTGGTATTACATGGATCTCACAACTTTTTACCGTAGAACAACTGAGTTGCGAGACTTGGTTTTTTTGACAAGTATTGTTTTTGATGGGATCTCATTTCTTTTTGTATTTTGTAGACAGCAGTTATGTATCTAGAAAACTGTTGCGAAAGTACACAAAAATAGGTCGAACAAAAAAAAAGCAAACCACAGAAGAAAACTTAGAGAAAAAAATATTTATAATAATTTCCTTGGCTACCAAAAATTTATGACCTCATAACTTTGTTTCTAAAACGAATTATGACACCCCTTCTAGATATATTAGCTTAGTTTTTACTACTTAATGCAATGGGAAACTAAAAATAGTTAAAAACAAAAATAAAATTCGTGCCATGGAAATTAGGCAAAATTGACCATTTTTGGCGAAATACCCATCTATCCATATCTGTGCGTTTGACGGACATTTGACGGAAGCCGGTTTCTTTTTTTATACATTTTTTTTACTATTTCCGATTTCAAATTAGTTAAAGTCAAGTTAGCTTTTATTTAACAATTTATGAAAATGTACAGTAAATTCATCAATAAGTACCATTAATTTTCCGCAACATGGCGAGGGTTTTTATGTTCCTGGTCAGGCTATAATTACAAATTGATGAAAGAATTTCTCAAATCGGTCAAGTAAGTTCGGAACCAAATAAACAATGAAATCTTTACTTTTTGTAATATTTGTGTAAATAAAGACTTAACTCACCATAATTTTGTTTCTCCATTTCTCCCATGTCCTCAAAGTTGTCTCTCAAAACATTACAAACTTCGCGCCAAGCGGAATTTCGTTTCGTTTTGTCCTTGTAATCTTCTGTGGTTTTATCCCATATTAGTGGTCTGTTTTCCACTAAGGATATAAGTAGTTCTGGATCTATTCTGTTCAGAGGCATCTCACGGTTTATATCGTTTCAATAACAACAAGACAGCCGGCGTAAAATTATTATTATGCGCTCTGTGAATTTTGCGTGCGCGTAGCGACAACACAACAACAGTGGAATGAGCTCGCGGGAATACGGAATACGGCAGACAGACAATCGAGGCGGGGCGGGCACCTCCCCCCGCCGTACCATCCAGCAAAAAAGACCCCTTTCCCACGGCAATCCAGTTTAGAAACTGGACTTGTGTGTGCGTTCACACGCCCGTATGCGGTTTTTTGCGGTGTTTGCAAAAAATAGAATGCAGCTGCTCGTGGGAATACACAAATGACGTAGTAGGTAACTCGTAAAACTGGATCCTGTATAATACCGGGCCAGTTTAATGACCGAATGGCTGATTCGAACGGATCAATATTTGCGGGGCGCTGCAAACGGGTTGCGTACGTCACGTGTGAATGAATATTTATTTAGTATTCAAACATGACTGTCTACCAAACGGGATCCTGCATAAAACAGGTTATTATCCCCTTGGGAAAGGGACATTGTAGGTACGGATTAAATATTATATGAATGCGTTGCCACCAAAAAAGGGTCTTTATCAATAATACATTGAGCTCAAAATGCATTTTTTTTGCGGATTAAGGGTGTAATTTAGGTCACAGCACAGGTATATGCCTATGTCGCATATATCTTTTATAGTGAAATGGTAAAAAATATTTTTATCAATAACTAACTAATTAACTATTTAATACACTTACGGAAGTTACATAACTAATTTAACTAGTTATTTAATACACTTACCCAAGTTACGCCCGTATTCACAAACGATGCTTGCTTACTTATGTGAAGCAGCAAATCAAACGCACAGCGTTGAATAGAGCTCTGTGATTGGTTCGTGTGTGACCCTGTGCGTCCGCGCGCACTGTGAGACCTCATAGTAATGTTTACGAATACGGGTGATAGACTTCTATGGGCAGCGCATTAAAATTAGGTTATGAGCAACTTAATGCCATTTTGAAAATCCCAACTAATCCCAACTAATATTATAAATGCGAAAGTAACTCTGTCTGTCTGTCTGTCTGTTACGCTTTCCCGCTTAAACCTCGCAACCGATTTTGATGAAATTTGGCATAGAGATAGTTTGAGTCCCGGGAAAGAACATAGGATAGTTTTTATCCCGGTTTTTGAAACAGGGACGCGCGCGATAAAGTTTTTCTGTGACAGACAAAATTCCACGCGGGCGAAGCCGCGGGCGGAAAGCTAGTTATAAATAACTTGAAAAAATCGAACTGCCTAAGGCAAGTTATTTTTTCAAGTTAACTAGTTATTTATAATTTTCAAATTAGTTTGAGATGCGACTCTTAACGCTAAAAATTAAATAATTAATGCCATTTTTTTGTGATGCGGATTTCGACACGCGTGCGGATATGATCCGCGTCCGCGTGCGTGCGCGTGCCCAAATCCGCATCCATTTTTGAATTTGATTTGATTTCAACCCTAGATATCAGTAAGGAACTAAACCGGAATAGACTTCGACTTACCGCAATTTTTTGCCTGCATTTTACCATTATTTTACATAGCGGATCTACTTATTACTATCTAATCTGCGTTAAATCTTTAGTTCAGTCATTAAGCTTGTGTAAAAATAATGACAATGATCATCAATGATAGGTATCGTTCGCGCTTATTTTATTGTCTTTTCGCCCAAGGGTCTATTCGCGCTAACAATGTCTTTAAAAAATTTTAGTGCAAGGCCTCATGCAAGGCATAAAATAGGACGCAATCGCCAATCGCAAGGTAACCGTGCGCGCAAATGGCTTCCCGCGCTTGTGGGTTCGCGCAACTCGCAAGTCTTCTGATGCATTGCATGGACCTATAAAAAGAGATTTTTTATAGGTCCATGGATGCATTGTATTTTTTTCACTCACAGGCAACAACTGGGCGAAGGGGCACTACACAGAGGGTGCTGAGCTGGTGGACTCGGTCATGGACGTGGTGAGGAAGGAGGCGGAGCCCTGCGACTGCTTGCAAGGTACGATAGATGTTTTTAATGATGTTTTTATATCCCGCGAGGATGCAATGCTAGTGACTGCTTTAATTCAATACTATAAAGGACTAGCTTTTGCCCGCGGCTTCACCCGCGTGATATTTAGTGTCACAGTACGGCATAAATCGTCGCTTGCCTCTCTAACTGAGGTATCTGACATTTTTTTCGAAACTGAGTTAAATCTACACGAATCGACCTGTCTATAATCGCCTGAAAATTTTGCTAAATATCAGTTACGTCAGTTAGAGAGGCAAGCGACGAAATTATAGCTTAATGTTAATCTAGGGTACAAACAATAATACTGTAAAGTTTCAACAAAATCCGTTCTGTAGTTTTTGCGTGAGAGTAACATCCAGACATCCTGACATCCAAACTTTCGCATTTATTATGCCACATTTTTGCATTTGCCATCTGCGGTCAGGTCAAATCCTTAATTCCAAAATCGACTTTGCCTTATTTGTTAGAAGATCGCAATAATCGTAGGAATCTTTTTATGTTTTAGAAAATACATAAGTAATTGTTTTGTCAATTGGTTCCAAACCAATAAAGGACAAGTTAAATTTAAAGAAACAGTTGTACCTAACTACATTCTCCGTGTTGATCGGTTGGTAGCGGAATGCGTCCAGCGCCTTCCTGCTACTTAACTACCGGATGTCGTCGGTCCACCTTTTGGGTGGACATCGCACGCTGTTCCGGTACGATCAACATGGAAATCATTGGGGGAGGCCTATGTTCAGCAGTGGACATAAATGGCTGAAATGATGATGATTAAATGTCTTCAGTCTTACAGCTGTAACCGTGCTTTAATCTCCAGGTTTCCAGCTGACTCATTCGCTAGGCGGCGGTACCGGCTCGGGCCTGGGTACGCTTCTCCTCAGCAAGTTGAGGGAAGAATACCCGGATCGCATCGTGAATACCTTCAGCGTCATGCCTTCGCCTAAGGTCAGTACCATGAGCGCCAAACAGTCTTGAGTCCGAGACACCCAAAAAGTTCGCAACATGTCTTTGTTATTTGGAATAAGGTTGGTGAACTTTGGGCAACATTCGGTGTCACAACAACTAAACGCTATTTAACTTACCTGCTGTTGCTTCTTTATGTTGCATTAGAGCTGATGGCCGCTGGGGCAGGAAAGTTCTTGAGTGGCAACCACGAGCTGGAAGACGTAGCGTGGGCAGGCCTCCCTCTAGGTGGACCGACGATCTTGTGAAGGTCGCGGAAGGTGCCTTGTCACGTTTTAAATTAATTTTTAGAATTAATAAAACGAGCAAAATAAGTTTACAAAATTTATTAATCTAAGTTTAAAAATATTTGATTTTAAGGTACAGGTGGGTAGGTTGTAAAAAGATCGGTTCCACGTAACACTTGTGCCAGACTCCCCTGTGCGGCCTCCTGCGGTCCCCGTGGGACGCCGTGATGTCCACTTCTCTGTCCCCTCCGAAACGGTCCACAATAAGTCCTAGCTCAAACTGAGCCCGGCCGTAATTCCTGCATAAACATTGTTTTATATTAGCCTTCGTGTGGGGTAAGAGATTGTACTGCCACGAATCTTGATTAGGTGATTTCAAACAGGCGGAAGAATATAAGCCAAGCTAGGGAAGACGGCCAGCAAGTACTAGAAGAGGTCTAGGCATTTAATTTACTGGGATGTAGTGGCAGTTGTAGATAGCAGAAACGGTTACAGTTAACTGATGGCTAATAAGAAAATAATTAAGTAATTTCGCTTCAAGGAACATAATTTATACCAACCAATTTACCTACACAATTCGCTAAAATATTAATAAGCGTAAATCTATGCTATAAGGGCGATTACAACAACACTTAACTTCTACTATAAAAAGCATTAATTACTATTTAGGAACATACCCTATCTTAACAAATAATAAGAGATGCACAACTTACCCAGTTACGGGATGAAATGTAGGCTAGACACTTAAGTTTGATTAACTGTGAGGTTTTATTAAAGTTTTATTAAACTCGCACTATGAAAAAACGCCAACGAGATCGATTTATTAAGACGCGCGCCGCATCAAGCGGTACGCGGGTGCTCAAGTTCAAGTTTCAAGCGAGGCTGGCGAGTGTGGCAGTCTGTCTCTGGCCGAGACGCTGCGCCTGCGGCGCGCACTCCCCGCGCCCTTCGCCCCGAGCGTATTTACGTTCAAAAACTTATGATCCATTGAATCGTAAAATAAAAAAATAACATTTTCAAATGTTACAGTACCCCTCTTCCAAGAAAAAGATTTTACCTGTCGTAAAATCTGAACCTACACCTATGTTATGAATTAGCAAGGATTATGCAAAGATTTACTTGTTTTGCATTTTAAGATCTTTTATGTGCCAAGCTCCTAAATTATGACCGGTCATAACATCCTCGAGAACATATACTAATGGTGATTTCTTTTGCTTTATTCTACATTTAACGTACTTAGGTGCCAGCTTCTTAGCAAAACGTGCATCCTTGTCGCTCTGAAAGTAACATCGCTTCCAAACGATATCATCAACATTGAATTCAGCATGCTTTCGACGCAAGTTATAACGCTGAGTGTTTTTTAAATGTGCTTGCCAAAGTGCAACCTGTACTTTATCGAAAATATTTGCCAAATGTCCCAAGTTTTCTGCATATGGGTCGCGTGGAAGAAAAATTAGTTCGTTTGGGATATCATTTTCTATATAATGAGACCCACTCGTAACTAATTCACGACCATGGACGAGGAATGATGGAGTATAACCAGTCGTTTCATTAACTGAATTATTGATTGCGAATTGGATTTTTGGTAGATTAATGTCCCATGAGCGATGGTCATCATGAACAAAAGTGGAAACTGCCGTTATAATGGTTTTGTTATACCTTTCAACGGTGTTCATTTGGGGAGTATATTTAGGCGTGAAGTGAACATTAGGTACAGCATATTTTTTAAATAAAGATTCCATTTCACGGCTCGTGAATTGCACGCCATTATCCAGGATAATGGTTTGAGGGATGCCGTGAACCAAGAAGACGTAATCTTCCAGATGTTTACTAACAAGATCAGCAGTAGCTCTGCGTAGCGGGAACATGAGGCAATATTTGGAAAAACAGCATGTCACTACAAATATATAACAGTGCTGTTTTCTTGAAGCCGGTAGGGGACCAACTAAATCTATAGATAGGGTTTGAAAAGGTCTACCACACTCTTTAGGTCTCCCCATCATACCTAAAGTACCCTGAGTTGAAAGCTTATAAGCTAGGCAAGTTTCACAGGAAGACACGTAACTGACAACATCGGGATACATCTTTGGCCAGTAGTAGCGAAGTAATAATCTTTTGTAGGTTTTGAAAATTCCGAAATGACCCGAAATGGGTTCCGAATGATTATCCCTTAAAACACCGAGGCGTTGCTCCTGTGGAACAACGAGCTTCCATTCAAACTCAGATGTAAGGGTATTTTTACTTTTCATAAAACGATATAAGGAACCATTCTCAACTCTATAATTAGGGTAACTAGTTGGTGAATCCTGACATCCTTGAAATATATTCTGGTACCAAGTGTCTTGAGTCACTGGACTAGATGATCCCGAAATCGCAGCAAGAGTAGGCAACCTAGAAAGACTATCAGGTATAACATTGTCCTTACCGCGGCGGTGTTTTATATTAAAGTTAAAGGCTGATAATCGGACACCCCATCGGGCCAATCTGCCGGTTGGGTTTGAAAGTGAGAGGAACCACTTAAGGGCCGAGTGGTCAGTGTAAACAGTGAACTGGTTTCCACTCTCCAAGTAACATCGCCAATGCTCCAGGGCCACTAGAACAGCAAGTGTTTCACGTTCTGTGACGCTGTAATTTCTCTCTGATCCAGTAAGAGATCTACTCATGTATGCGACTGGATGTTCGACTCCATCAATCGTCTGGGACAGCATAGCCCCGACACCAAAATTACTAGCATCAGTATGAACGTCAAAAGGGTAGCTAAAATTTGGACAAGCAAGAACAGGTGTATCAACAAGAAGAGATTTAAGTTTCAAAAAAGCCTTGTCAGCTTCATCTGTCCAGAGAAAAGGCGGAGTACATTTTTTAGTGGAGGTCAACTTGTTCAATGGACCGGCAATTGTACTAAAGTTCGGGATAAACCGTCTATACCAAGAAGCTGTACCCAAAAACCGTTTGACCTCTTTTCGATTGCTGGGAGTCGGATAATTAAGTATAGCCTCTACTTTTTCTGGATCAGTACGCAGACCTTGAACGTCGACAATATAACCAAGATATCTTAGTTGGCTACGGAAGAATTGACATTTACTCAAGTTGACCGTTAAGTTAGCCATTTGTAATTTTTCAAGGACACGCTGGAGCAATGAAACGTGTTCGCTAAAGGTAGAGCTTATAATTATGACGTCATCTAAATATGCGAAGACCTTTAGTTCAAACTCTGGGCCAAAGAGAGTATCTACTAGGCGCTGTTGAGTGGCTGGAGCATTTGATAGACCAAACGCTGTAACTTTGAACTGCAGAGTTCCACGGCCCGGAACGTAGAATGCGGTCTTCTCTTTGTCCTCTTTTTGAATAGGTATTTGCCAGAAGGCTTTAGATAGGTCTATGCTGGACAGATACCTGGCATCTCTTAGGTTATCCAAAATTTCTGATACATAAGGGAGACAGTATGCATCCTTCTTAGTGACAGAATTAAGTTTTCTACTATCTAAGCAAAATCGCGGTTTGCCGTCTTTTTTGCTGACAACTAATACTGGTGATGACCAAGGACTTTCGCATGGCTCAACAACATCCAGGGACAGCATTTCGTCAACCTGTTCTGTAATTATTCTTTGTTTCTCTGGAGACATGCGATAATAACGTTGTCTGATCGGTACGGAATCACCGGTATCAATATTATGAAAAATAACATCAGTTCTACCAAGTCCTTTTTCCTCAAAAGAAATCGATTTAAAACTTTCTACTACGCTATCAGCAATAGCCCTTTCAGAGCCACTGAGATGCTCATAGCTACAGAGAAGTACCTTTTCAGAATCAAGGGAAATGCTAAGCATTCCAGGATCATTAGAAAGATAATCGACATTATTTAAGTGCTTAGGTAGAATTTGAAATTGATTCCAAAAATCTATGCCCAGAATTAGAGTAGTGTCAACTTCTGGAATGACATGCACTTTTATGACATGAGTCTGGTTATGAAAAACAATTGGCAGAAGCAAATAACCCAAAGACTGAAGTCTTTGGCCACCAGCAGCATTGACAGATATTTTAAGGTCATTAAACAAGGAATAACCAAACTTTAATATAGATTTATAAGAATCTTGACCCAAAATACTGACTACTGAACCGGAATCAAGTAAGCCATAAATATTTAAGTCCTTGTTGTTCTCGATATTTATTTTTACGTAAGGACGCGGATCACTACTCGGTTTAGAAGTGAAAATTGAAGCAACATTATAAGATGAGAAAAAATTGTTAATTGTCAGCAACCATTTCTGCCAATCCGAGTTATCGAAGAAAGGGTGTGCTGTTTTGCTGCAATTTTCACTTATTCGTTTTTTTTATTCTGTTCGCTAGTAATGTTATATTTATTACAATTCGGACATTCTGTAGAACGAACATCCTTCTTGCCGCATTTAAAACAAAATATGACACGCTCGGCGGGGCATTCTTTCATACCATGAGAATCCGAGCGGCATCGGTAGCAAAACTTTGATTGTGAAATAGCAAATACATTATTTGAATTATTTTGAATTTTATTATTAGAGTAAGGTTTGAAATTATTATAATTTTTAGGTGGAAATTTATTAGGTGCACTATAAGCAAATTCAGGAGCCAATGACTTGGTAGATGATGCCACTGGTTCTTTAAAATTCTCAGAACGGGCTTTTACTTGTTCATAGTTCCGGCAAAGCGTCTGTAATTGGGAAATTGATGATACATGGGGACAATTTGCCAGTACATTTGAGTAACATGGGCGAATGTTGTGTAATATGATTTCAAGTTGATCCTTCTCAGTCATAGATGTGCTAAGTCGAGAGAACATTCCTTTAATTATAGCTAAATACACAATTATATTTTCTGTCTCTCCTTGAGTACGATTACGTATTTCAGTGATCATACGGTAATCATAATCAAATATGTCAAAATCTTGTCTTAGTCGAGAAACAAGATTATCCCAATCATTAACTTCGTCTCTAACAGAACGTAACCAATGGAGAGCATCGCCTGTAAATAATTCATAAGCATAAGACATCAATTTTTCATCGGAAACATTTTTTGCTATGCGAAATTCTTCAATTTTTTGAATAAATGCTCTGACACAAGTTTTGCCATCAAATTTTAGTTTAGAAAAGTCCGATGAGAGACCACGATCACAATGGACAGTGACGTTCAAGTTATCGACACCCGAAGAAGTTTTGTCTTTATCTGGGTTATGTTCAGCATCGCAAAATTCTTCTGGTTCGATAATCTTTGAGTAGAGAGAATTGTATTCCTCAATAGTATTTTTTATTATTTTTAGTTTTGAAAATAGTTCGGATGTTGGCTCAGGCTGTTCCAGGCGCCGGAACCTGTGATGTACATGATTTAAGAGCGAGCGTGTGCGATCAATTAAATTTTCATCTAATGTTATAGACAAATTTTCTAGATTGGCCTTAACTTTAGTTAATGATTCTGCTATACCCTTAATGTCATCACTCAATTCCAGACATGAATCGGCGATGTCATTCGACATATACAGTGTGTCCGGGCATGTAGTGATCAAACTTTAAGGGCGTAATCTATGGACAATTTTATCGGTGAAAATACTTTAAATTTGGGGCTTGAGCCNGAGAAGTTACAAAATCCAAAAATTCAATGTTACCAGCTTCCATAATCTGTAACCTATTATTGGTACCATTTGAAAGAGCTCGTGAAGCACTTTCAGAATCAGTAAATAGTTTTTCGATATCTTGTATAGTTTAGAAATAATCAAGTGAGATCACTTATCGTTCCATATGTATAACCACCCTGTATAATCCGGCTGTATCTCCAGGACGCCTAGATACATTCCATAGCAGCTGTAATAGACATTTAGGTACATACATTTACCAATTTTGGTGATAAATAGGCATTTTATATTAGTTTTTGTATAACGCCTGAACAAAAACAAAGAGTAATATTTTGGTGTTATACATATATTTCGAAAATAAAAAATATATAATTTATCTAATTAAGACATGACAAAAAAACTGAGGTATGTCTCGTTTCTGTCGGGTCTGGGTTTTTTTTGTATGGGGCGTGACCGTTCTTCTTTAAGTTTAGAAAAGTCCGATGAGAGACCACGATCACAATGGACAGTGACGTTCAAGTTATCGACACCCGAAGAAGTTTTATCTTTATCTGGGTTATGTTCAGCATCGCAAAATTCTTCTGGTTCGATAATCTTTGAGTAGACAGAATTGTATTCCTCAATAGTATTTTTTATTATTTTTAGTTTTGAAAATAGTTCGGATGTTGGCTCAGGCTGTTCCAGGCGCCGGAACCTGTGATGTACATGATTTAAGAGCGAGCGTGTGCGATCAATTAAATTTTCATCTAATGTTATAGACAAATTTTCTAAATTGGCCTTAACTTTAGTTAATGATTCTGCTATGCCCTTAATGTCATCGCTCAATTCCAGACATGAATCGGCGATGTCATTCGACGGATATAATTGTGTTAATTTACATACTTGTCGCCTCAATTCTATAACAGTGCCAGCCGGTACTTCTCCTCTAATTGTAACCTCATATTGCAATTCTGATTTTTGAAGGTGAAGAAATTTAATAGGATAAGCCATTTTGAGAAAGAAAAATTCTGGGTATGTTGTGCAAAGAAAACTAAAAAAATATATACTGCAACTAAAATAAAAAAATCTACTGCAACTAAATAGACAGGAAAGCCAAAGCAGTTAAATCCGTTCTGTCACAACAATCAACTTTGATCTAGAACGATGCAGTAATCTAAAAAAATATATACTTAAGAAATAATAATTTGATCAGAGGGAGAAACACAAAAATTCTTCAGGCTATGTAGGTGTAGCTTAATTTTTTTTTAATTATCTATTAGTTATAGTAACTGTGATAAACGGTTAATACTGGCATTTTTTTTTATATAAACAAAATATTACCGCAATATAAAATAATAACTCTTGCTAAACTAAATTATTTATAAAACCTATATTAACACATAGCCTGAAAAATAATTACTATCATCGTTTTACAGTAACAACATGCACACAACCATCACCAGAAAAATTAACTNCTTTGTTATTTGGAATAAGGTTGGTGAACTTTGGGCAACATTCGGTGTCACAACAACTAAACGCTATTTAACTTACCTGCTGTTGCTTCTTTATGTTGCATTAGAGCTGATGGCCGCTGGGGCAGGAAAGTTCTTGAGTGGCAACCACGAGCTGGAAGACGTAGCGTGGGCAGGCCTCCCTCTAGGTGGACCGACGATCTTGTGAAGGTCGCGGAAGGTGCCTTGTCACGTTTTAAATTAATTTTTAGAATTAATAAAACGAGCAAAATAAGTTTACAAAATTTATTAATCTAAGTTTAAAAATATTTGATTTTAAGGTACAGGTGGGTAGGTTGTAAAAAGATCGGTTCCACGTAACACTTGTGCCAGACTCCCCTGTGCGGCCTCCTGCGGTCCCCGTGGGACGCCGTGATGTCCACTTCTCTGTCCCCTCCGAAACGGTCCACAATAAGTCCTAGCTCAAACTGAGCCCGGCCGTAATTCCTGCATAAACATTGTTTTATATTAGCCTTCGTGTGGGGTAAGAGATTGTACTGCCACGAATCTTGATTAGGTGATTTCAAACAGGCGGAAGAATATAAGCCAAGCTAGGGAAGACGGCCAGCAAGTACTAGAAGAGGTCTAGGCATTTAATTTACTGGGATGTAGTGGCAGTTGTAGATAGCAGAAACGGTTACAGTTAACTGATGGCTAATAAGAAAATAATTAAGTAATTTCGCTTCAAGGAACATAATTTATACCAACCAATTTACCTACACAATTCGCTAAAATATTAATAAGCGTAAATCTATGCTATAAGGGCGATTACAACAACACTTAACTTCTACTATAAAAAGCATTAATTACTATTTAGGAACATACCCTATCTTAACAAATAATAAGAGATGCACAACTTACCCAGTTACGGGATGAAATGTAGGCTAGACACTTAAGTTTGATTAACTGTGAGGTTTTATTAAAGTTTTATTAAACTCGCACTATGAAAAAACGCCAACGAGATCGATTTATTAAGACGCGCGCCGCATCAAGCGGTACGCGGGTGCTCAAGTTCAAGTTTCAAGCGAGGCTGGCGAGTGTGGCAGTCTGTCTCTGGCCGAGACGCTGCGCCTGCGGCGCGCACTCCCCGCGCCCTTCGCCCCGAGCGTATTTACGTTCAAAAACTTATGATCCATTGAATCGTAAAATAAAAAAATAACATTTTCAAATGTTACAGCCTGAATGTGAGCGGCGCAGGACCGGTCTTTGTGGAAATCCTTGGGGGAGGCCTTTGTTCAGCAGTGGACGTCTTTTGTCTGAAACGAACGAACCTGCTGTTGCTTCTTTAGGTTATACGTTACTTGTGCCACATGGTAGCATGGAGGCGCTGGATGCAGACCGCTAACACCCGTGCGATGTGGAAGTCGTTGGGGGAGGCCTATGTTCAGCAGTGGACGTCCTGTGGCTGAAATGATGATGATGATGCCACACAGGCGAAGACAGTGCTTTGAGTCGGCGCTGCGCTCGAGTGCAGTTGCGGCGCTTCTTCTCAGCACTTGTGCCACTTGTCAAATGTTTGTCTCGAAGCGCTGTAGTTGATAGGGTAAAAAAGAATGAGACTTGTAAAGACTCTATAAGAAGATTAATTTGACGATTTGTAAGAACGAATCTAATTTGGTAAGTAGTCTGCGAATAAAAATAATTTTGATTGTGCATGCGCATAATAAAATTAAACAACTTTTTTGACTTGCAGGTCTCAGATACAGTAGTAGAACCTTACAACGCGACGTTGTCAGTCCACCAGCTGGTAGAGAACACTGACGAAACCTTCTGCATCGACAATGAAGCGCTCTACGACATCTGCTTCAGGACGCTGAGGCTGTCTTCACCCACGTATGGAGACCTCAACCATCTTGTGTCAGTGAGTATCATTATCAGATAGTTTAGGCTCCAGAGTATTTAAACAGGTATAAAGTTTAGTCTCCACTGCAGACGACCTTCCTTAATGTAACCAGAGGCAAACTCGACACTTCAAGATGCTTTGTTTATGTTCCACTGCAGGAGAACGACTCTAATTTACCAGAACTACACTCCAAAATGGTTTGAGGAGGCCTCATGCTTAAGTAGTCGCCTTTTACGACTTCGAGCGAGTTGTCCTATTAGAACGAGGCTCTCTACTCTATGACATCTGCTTCAAGACGCTGCGGCTGTCTTCACCCATGTATGGAGACCTCAACCATCTTGTGTCAGTGAGCTGTATCATTAAGTAGTTTAGTTTCCACTGTAGGAACTAAGAAGACGACTCTCTCTAATGTATCAGGGGCAAATTCTACACTCCAAGGTGCTTTGGGGGATCCGATATTCGTATTTTGCCCCTAAGGCGCCTTTTTACGGCATAGACGGGGAGAGTGTGGGTTGTTCTATTAGAGTATCAACAAAAAACACGACCCTCCCATTTATCGGCGGAAAATTTAATTTGATCTGAGGTCGGAAGGCATGCTGCGTGTGATAAAAGCGCAGCGCATCAGTTACAAAGATTGACATTATGTAGGTACTTTACTCAAAGAGTTGAGTGGGTAAAGTAACTACATAATGTCAATCGACGTCGGAGAGTGGAGATGCGTTGCCACATCGCACTCTGTCGTGGAAATTATTACGCTGCAACGACGCAGCTGCGTTTTCCTTCCGGCGCTAGCTCGTAAAGTTAGCAGGAAGGCGCAGGATGGCCGTTACCGGTCATTAAGTAAATCATTGGAGAAGGCCTATGTTCAGCATTGAACGCCCTGTGGCTGGAATGACGATGAACTCATTGGCATTTCTCTAACCTCAACTCATCTGTACTCTTCCCAGCTCACCATGTCAGGAGTGACGACGTGTCTCCGGTTCCCTGGCCAGCTGAACGCTGACCTTCGGAAACTGGCAGTCAACATGGTACCCTTCCCGCGTCTCCACTTCTTCATGCCTGGTGAGTTCCAATTCTTCTGGGGCAGAAAAGTTCTCGATTGGCGATAACTGGCTGGAAGACGTAGTGTGGGCAGGTAGACTGACGATCTGGTATAGGTTACTCGGTTCAACCATAGGCGTCCTCTCCTGAACAAAGGTCTTCCCTTAAGGATTTCCGCGATGATTGGTTCTGCGCTGTTCTTGCTTCCCTCGACCTTCAGTAGATCGTCGGTCTACCGAGTGAAAAGCCTGCTCATACTGCGTCTTCCGGTCCATGGTTGTAACTCCATAACTTTTCTTTTTAGTGCAGTTATAGCACGAAATTTGGAAGCTGGGTTATAGTACGTGTATTTATAGGTACATCTACTTGATTCAATATTCAATGTGATGATAAGGACGAAAGTGGAACCGGTTTCCCCCGAAATCAGGAAAGACCCCGCATAAGACCTGGTCATCTTCGCCGGATTCCCGATACTTCAACAATGTTTATTTCACAGGTTTCGCTCCTCTGACGGCCAGGAACAGTCAAGGATACAGGGCACTTACGGTACCAGAATTGACACAGCAGGTGTGTAATGAACTTCGCAGCTACTTTACTTATTATCAGTTCTGATTAATTTCGTTGCGGGTCCAATGCCAGTTTAACTTCTCCCCGCCCCGGGACAAACTTGACCTTCACTGGTTGGTTTTTTATTGGCGGTCAAGCTGTAGATCCTGGCTACACAGGAGTTGCAGCGGTGGTAGGGTTGCCAGGTCCAAAAACACAAAAGCCGGAGTCGGTGCTCATTTTGAATTTTGGCCGGACATTTTACCCTAAAAGCCGGACATACCTTTTTTTCATGTCATGGAATAAGTAATTAGTCTCATAGTTAGGTCATTGTTCAGTCAGTCAGTGGTCATTGGTCAGTGAGTAGGTCTAGGTACATTTATCTTCGAATCGGTAGCCTAACATCATGATACGCGCACAACAGGCCGGACAAGTCTGTAAAAAGCCAAACATGTCCGGCTAAAGCTGGACACCTGGCAACCCTAAGTGGTGGGAACGAGAGGTGGAAATAGTCTCGTTTTTACTTACTTTATAGCCAGGATCTACGGTTTGATTTCCCATGAAACCCAACCATGATATTCAACTGGATCAAATATAAAAACTAGACTATCCACCGGGTGAGGCAAGGCCTAACCACAGGTGGTACTATTACTTATTCTGTGCCACAGGCTACCGATGGTGAGGGTCACATACTAAGGAACCTCCGGACAATGCGTGCCTTTACGGACCTTTTGTATCAGAGCAGAGGTGGAATTGTGTAAAGCAATCGTTATCATTTGACAGTTCATAACATACGATTATTCTGCTTTGTTTAACTGACTTTATCGTCATGAGCCAGCCACCCAGTATTGTTTATGGCTTATTTTCAGATGTTCAGTCCCACAAACATGATGGCGGCATGCGACCCGCGACACGGTCGGTACCTCACAGTCGCCGCCATCTTCCGAGGACGGATGTCTATGAAGGAGGTCGACGAGCAAATGCTGACGGTGCAGGATAAGAACTCAAGGTTAGTTGTGCACTTTATGTAAACGGGTTTGGGACCATAATCGCTTACTTACTTATTCAGATCCTGATCTGAAGGCAAGTTGTGCGCTTTAAAGGCCGTAGCACATTTATGAACCCGGATAAGGATTGTAGCCGTATCAACTCGGGGTGTATATTATTTGTATGAAACTCCATACTACTGTAACGCACACTTATCCGCCGTAACGTAAACGTCTCGCCTCGCAGTTGACAGCACACCAAAGGCGATACTTACGGTGTTGATTTCTTTCCCTGTTGATGTCTGCTATGAGCCTATGTCGACCTTAAGACCACACGGCTTTGAGACCATATTCTTTGTTGTTGTGTGGTGTGTGTTCTGTGTGTGTTCGTGTGTCCCTTCTATGATCTGACCGAGGTTCGTACAGTACCTCAGTATCACCTCATTTTCTGACTGTATCCATGAAGCATCGCGATTTCAGCGACATTACTTAGTCGCTGTTGAGCTTCCAAAGAGCGACTTAGTCGCCGCGTTTAGCGTTTATAAGTGAGCGGTATGGAAAGTGTGGTCGCTGTTCAGCTTCTAAAAAGCGGCTAAAGGTCATAGTAGACTTATTAACTCGAAAAGGGATCAATACCGTATCGCCTTCCGCGCACTGTAAATCGCGAGGCCAGCGGCGTTCACGTTACGGTGCGGATAAGTGTGCGCCTAGAGTTGATACGGTTACAACGATCCCTTTGCGACTTGATAAATGTGCGACGTCCTTAAATCGCCGATCGCCGACACTAAGACTAGGCGCAGACCACCGATTTTTAGTTGGCCGATGGTTGGACCCGATTTTAATTTGTATGAAGAATCGGCCAAATGAAATCGGTGTAATGTGCGCACTTCCATACATGCCCATACTGATCAACTGCCCGACTAAACTATCGGCCGACGAAAAATCGATGGTCTGCGCCTAGGCTAAAAGTAGCATCTGTGCTGTGGCTCGATTTTTACTTCCAATTTTAGGGTTCCGTAGTATAAAAACTACCAACGAAAATTGCTTTGAACGAGATCTAGTAAATGGGTGAATTTCAACAAGTGCATATTTTTGCCTAATTTTGGTGGAAATTGTTATTTGTNTGATCTTTAAAGAAACTGACGAGCTATTTCATTATTGACACCAAAATCATAAATTTTTCGCGGACAAAACTTAAGGACGTGACTTAATCACAGTTATTTGGGAAACTTGCTTAATTTGGTAATCTTAGATAATAGATAGATTGTATAATCCAAAAATATACTTTTTCCCTAAGTTCTGTTTTGATCTTCAGCTAAAAAAATACATATTGTAAGAAATTAAGGATGTGGACACTGCACCAAAATTAGAAACGCTTAGTTCAATTATTTTTTGTCGAATTTGTAAAAGAAAATACTCATTAATAATGTTGTCCTCAAAATGGAACCTCTGTATATTTTCGTGTAAAAAAAAATCAAAGTTCTATGTCATAAAAAACATATGATTTTCAGCTACGCCGCTCAAAAAATGTGTTTGGGAAATTGACCCAAATAAATAGTTTTTTTTAATACCTCGTAAATCGTAAACCGCTTAATACCGCGTAATCTTTCATACAAATAACTTAAATTAAAAAAAAAATCATAAATCAATGGTACGGAACCCTTTGTGCGTGAGTCCGACACGCATTTGGCCGGTTTTTTCCTGTTTTTTAATCTACCCCCAGTTACTTCGTGGAGTGGATCCCCAACAACGTGAAGGTGGCGGTGTGTGACGTGCCTCCTCGAGGACTCAAGATGGCTGCCACCTTCGTCGGAAACACCACCGCCATCCAGGAGATCTTCAAGCGGATATCCGAGCAGTTCACCGTCATGTTTAGGAGAAAGGTATTCACCCATCAAAAACAATACTTGTCAAAAAAACCAAGTCTCGCAACTCAGTTGTTCTACGGTAAAAAGTTGTGAGATCCATGTAATACCAAGTCCAGGCCAGGAAATCTTTAACGTTTTACATAAATATATTGACTTGGCCATCGCACTAAATAATTTAAGTGTTTTCATGCGATGGCCAAGTCAATATATTTATGTAAAACGTTAAAGATTTCCTGGCCTGGACTTGGTATTACATGGATCTCACAACTTTTTACCGTAGAACAACTGAGTTGCGAGACTTGGTTTTTTTGACAAGTATTGTTTTTGATGGGATCTCATTTCTTTTTGTATTTTGTAGACAGCAGTTATGTATCTAGAAAACTGGACCGAAATTGAAAAATTTTACTCGACTTGGCGGTTGCACTACCGTGCCCCCAAATCTCATTTCTTTTTGTATTTTGTAGACAGCAGTTATGTATCTAGAAAACTGGACCGAAATTGAAAAATTTTACTCGACTTGGCGGTTGCACTACCGTGCCCCCAAATATTTTAGTTTTTCCTTGATTCATACACCAAACACTACTTATATTCCAAATTTGAAGCTTCTAGGTCTGCTAGAAGTGCCTTAGAGTTTTGATGATCGGTGAGTCAGTGAGTGAGTCAGTGAGTCAGTGAGTCAGTCAGTGAGTGACAAAATTAAGTAACTTTGACCCGTTATAATTCTTAAACTACTGGTTCAAATTGAATGAAATTTTAAATATACCGTGTCTTTACAATGCCTGCATAGCTAATGAAAATTCAGCCTTCTAGTTTTATCCACAACGAAGTTACAGGCGGTCGAAAATGGCCTGAATTGCTTCGAGAAAAGGATGGTACGGCCGTGCCGCTTTTTTGCTCGACTTGGTGGGGGCACTGCCGTGCCCCCAGATATCATGCCATCCACAAAACGCGGCCAATGTTTGGTCCCGGTCGCGCGGGGTGCGGGGAGTGTGGTCCGAGCAAGCCGTAAGGCATTACTGTAGTGTGCGTGTGCACTCATGGAGCATTAGCGTGTACCGATAACGCTAAACATTAGCGGTGGGGAGCGTCTTCCGGATGGCACGATCTTATACAGTAACGAACTTAATGCCTTACATCAAATTAAGGTCTGTCTGTCTGTCTCGCAGTCTCGCTTTCACGCCTAAACCACTGAACGATTTTGATGAAATTTGGCATGGAGATAGTTTGAGTCTTGGGAAAGGACATAGAATAATTATTATTATCCCGGTTTTTGAAACAGGGACGCGCGCGATAAAGTTTTTCAGTGACAGACAAAATTCCACGCGGGCGAAGCCGCGGTCGGAAAGCTAGTCCTAAATATAATAAATAAGCAAGTAGATAAGTAGGTATTCAACACTGAACGGTTGACAGCGCGGCGTTAATTGATTCGGTGTTGATCCCTTTCCGGGTTGATTGATAAGTGTGCTATTTACCTTAACGACTGATGACGTTGCAGGCCTTCCTCCACTGGTACACCGGCGAGGGCATGGACGAGATGGAGTTCACGGAGGCCGAGAGCAACATGAACGACCTGGTGTCCGAGTACCAGCAGTACGAGGTGAGGAAATACATTTTAAACTTAGTTATTTAATTTTTACTACACATCAAACAGAGAATGGGCAGCAGCGCTCTCTGAAAAACATCAATCTTTTAAACTGCGATCTCCAACCCGCCTGCCAAGCGTGGAGATTATGGCAAAACCCTCCACTATAGTGGAGGAGGCTCATAGTCCAGCAGTGGACTGTAAAGGGCTGTTGATGATGATGATGATGATTTAATTTTTAGCGTTAAGAGTCGCATCTCAAACTAATTTGAAAATTGAAAATTATAAATAACTTGAAAAAAATCGAACTGCCTAAGGCGGGAATTGGACCCACGACCTTCCGCTTGCCGGGCGACTGCTCTTCCAACTGAGCTACTTAGACACTGGATGAACCCGTCGAAATTTTCAAGTGTAATACGCTGTTACGGCCAGCGTTTGTTTCATCAATGTTAAATATACCTACCCTACATCTAACAGAAATATTGTTGCAATATATTTAACTGTCAGTTAAGATGAAACAGCTCTTTTACATAGTTATTTAATTTTTAGCGTTAAGAGTCGCATCTCAAACTAATTTGAAAATTATAAATAACTTGAAAAAATCGAACTGCCTAAGGCGGGAATTGAACCCACGATCTTCGGCAAGCGGAAGGTCGTGGGTTCAATTCCCGCCTTAGGCAGTTCGACATTTTAAACTTTCGGTGTTTCTTTACAAGATCAGTAACGGGACTATTCCCACCTCTCGTTCCCACCGCTGCAACTCCTGTGTAGCCAGGATCTACAGCTTGACCGCCACAAAAACCCAACCAATGAAGGTCAAGTTTGTCCCGGGGGAAAGATAAACTGTCATTGGATCCGCAACGAAATTAATCAAAAGAACATAGGAGGAGTTCGAAATTAAGGTTCGACTTCCCTCCATTGCAAAGCGGATGACGGTGACAAACAAAGGTTTAAAACCTTTAAGAAAAGATTATGCACCACGGACAATAAATATCAATTAAGGGGGCCTATCTTATGAGCAATTAGCACTACCTGCCAATAGTATTTTTCACAAAATCGCTAAAAAGCACGGAAATTTTTCCTGCGCGACAAGATCGGTGTAATAAGTAAATTGCGGAAACAGATGTATGTTGTATTGAATTAAGCATTAAGTATGTCACGTTCATGTTTCCAACGATCACACTCCCACAAGATATGATGGGCAGACAAAAAGGAGACGGAAATAGTTTGAATTCGTGAAGTTTATGTTTAAAGTTGCCATGGTCGATTTCTAACCATCGCGGCATCGCCTAGTTAGACGTTCGCGTACATTCGGTACAAGATCAGTAATGAGGAGATCCCTAAAACGAAATAATAGCCCGATGGATAAGCAAGCTGAAGGCAATGGGCAGGGCAAATAGTACGCAGAACTGACGGCCGATGGGGCAGCAAGGTTCTGGAGTGGAGGCCACATGCCGGAAAGCGCAGCGTAGGACGTCCACCCACAGGTGAACAGACGTCCACTCAGAAGACGCTGGATGCAGGTTACCAACCGTTGGATGTGGAAATCATTGGCGGAGGCCTATGTTCAGCTGTGAACGTCCTGTGGCTGAAATGATGATGATGATGAAACTTTCGCGTTCCGTTTCAAACTAAAATAGAAAGACACGGGTTTATTAGCCGAAACGTCAAACCGTGATAATGTCGCCCGTATCTTTTTTGCTTTGAGTATTATTCTATGTTATTATTTGCTACTAAATAAACATGTTTTTCTTTCATTCTTCAGGAGGTTGGGGTAGAAGACGGCGAATTCGACGAGCAAGAAGAAATGCCTGCAGAAGATTACCCAGAGGAGAATGCAGAAGAATAATCTAGTCTTTAAGAATCGGCAACAGCATGTCAACTACGCAAACCTAGGGATGTCATTTCCAAGCCTATTTATAGGCGCAGACCACCGACTTTTAGTTGGCCGATAGTTGTGTCGGGCTATTAATCAGTATGGAGATGTATGAAAGTACGCACATTACACTGATTTGGTATCGGCCGATTCTTCATACAAATTAAAATCGGGTCCAACTATCTGCCAACTAAGTCGGTGGTCTGCGCCTAGGCTAAAATTTAACAACCACCACAAGACGCGTGAAAACCCCGGATTTTGGAGTCCAGAACCCGGACCAGTTTTTTTAAAACTTTGTCACGTCTCCCGTCATCGGCCTAAGAATGAATTTTTTTAAAACCCTTACTCCAAATGAAACAATTTTTATATATCTTTTTGCTGTCTAGGATACGTTTAGTAGTAGTAAGTACCTGTTATACTAACATTCAGAAAAACGTACCGTTTGTATCATTATAGCCTTTCAAAACCCGTGAACAATAGAAATCACAACCATAGTATTGCAACTCTAAGATTAGGTAAGTAAGTTTTTAGGTAATGACCAACTCATATCATTTATAAAAAATGTTAGTAATTGAAAAGATTTTATAAATTAATGATCCAAATTACCCACCTTCCCCTAGTATTGTTATTTATTTATATTGTTAAATAAAACCTTAAAAAAACATTAGGTTTTTTTATTATAAAATCACATTTCACAAAAAGTCTAAGTGCTAGCCCGCACACCGAAGTATGGGAGACACACGCGAGGAGTTCCGAGATCACGGTGACCGTGACGGTGAGATGGTGTATTTTCACTTCACCACAGGTGTTCAAATTTTCCCGCCTTACGTACGCCATGAGAAAATCACACACCATAGAGCAAAGTATAGGTTTTTTAAATAGTTTTTTTAGTTTAGAACTACATTATTTGGCCAAATCGTAACACTAGTGTTGTCCTGCTGTTGCATCGTATTATATTTGTGTTATCGTACCATAATCGTATCGTATGTGATTACCGATACACACTGACTGACAGTTGACAGCTGGTGACAGTCTGACATTGACAGACGAAAAAAACTCGAGTCAATTCTCTGAATTGTTTTTTGTACGCTAATTTTCATTAATTAAAATGATATTACGTACCATTATAAAAATTACAATTAAATAATCACTCATAACAACAAGTGCAGCCATAATTCAATGGCGTACATCGTTTGTAAAATGACCAAAATCAACGTGTGTAGAATATGCCTGGTTCAGGAATTTCAGGAAGCTTGCTTATTACCGAAGGCAAACAAGCAGTTGGAAATCATTTACGAAAAGTTTACAAATAAACCGGTAAGTTTCAATCTAGATTTATTTTCAACTGGCTGTGCCCGCGACTTCGTACGCGTGAAAATAGTTTGGATAATATTTCCCGGTTTTTGAAACATTTTTCATTACTGCTCCGCCCCTATTGATTGTAGGGTGACGTTAAATAGACTAAAGCCTTCCTCGATATATGAGCTGTTGCATAAGAAAGTATTTTTTAAAAGCTGACCAGTTGTTCCTGGCGCATTCAAGCAAACACTTCAGCTTTCGTCATATTATAATGAACTACATATCATAATGATTTTGCTGGTACAGTAAGATAAGTAGCATCTACAGGATGTTTGTAAGCTGGGTGCAATGCTTTAAGATCATTTTCATTCATAACATTTTCATATAAGTAGCAGAATAGAAAAGGAAAAAAGAAAGTAGAATAATCATTTTTTCTTATTATTCAAGTTTTCATTGCAAATTTAAATATTATTTCAGTTCAAAACAGAAGATGGAAGGCCGTCGAGTGTTTGTCGCATCTGTTGCCACCTGCTCCTCAAGTGTCAGAGGTTCGTTGAGAGTGCGGTTAAAGCCGATGAAAAGCTTCAACAGCTATGGAGTAGCGGAGTTGAGGTATGCTATTAATATTAGTTTCAATTGGACTAAGGTTGTGTTGTCACAACTATTTTTGGGTGTCACTAACTATTTGACGCTGAGTGTAGTCTACAAAACAATACAAATCAATTAAAATTAAAACAAAATTATTGCACCAAATCTGTCTCACTTTAATGTGTATAATGTTACAGATCACAGAACAATCTTTATCTACGATCGACAGGAAGTTCGTATTCGCTTCGTTCACTCGGTCACCTGTTTCTACTACGAACGTTACGGCAGAAAACACAGTTGAAATCCAGGTTGAAGTCAAACGTGAAGGAGAAAAGCTTTCGGGGGATGTTATTGAGGAGGATCCAACAGGTAAGTGTTACATTTATTAATAAAGGTACACCAACAGCAAAATACATACAACATTCACAGTATACATTACTAGTGTCCGTCCGCGACTTCGTACGCGTGGATCCCGTTTTACCCCCTTAGGGGTTGAATTTTGCAAAATCCCGTCTTAGTGAGCACCTACGTTCTAAAAGGCACCCCCATGCAAAATTTGAGACTCCTAGTACTTGTAGTTTCTGAGAGTTTGTGATGAGTGAGTCAGTCAGTGATCTTTTGCTTTTAATTTCAGATACCCAGACCAGTACCAGACAATCGGATTGGGTGAAGCTGAAAACTGAAAAACCACCTTCAGGTCAGGAATGTTATGGATATCCGTAACTGATTCAAAAGTTTCGGATAGTTTTGGATAAAGGCGGAGTGTGAATCTTAATATGTTTTTATTTGTTACTTGTCTGGCATACCCTGGCACCATTCTGATATACCTGCCTGTTTTACCTTTATCATATCATAGGTACCGTCATAGTACCTAAAGTGTCTATGTGGATCGCGCATCATCTTGCTATTTGAATTTTATTTTATCTTTTTAAAATTCTAATATCCGTAACCGAAATTGTCCGAAACTTTCGGATAATCCGAAATGATTTAGAGTAGGCGCACACCGTTGATTTTTAGTTGGCCGATAGTTGTGCCCGATTTTAAATTGTATGAAGAATCGGCCAAATCGAATCGTAGTGTGCGCACTCCCATACATGCCCATACTGATCAACTGCCCGACTAAACTATCGGCCGACGAAAAATCAACGGTGTGCGCCTACTCGTACTATCCGTAACCGTATCCATAACCGAAACTTCATATCCATAATATCCTTGCTTCAGGTGATCCGCTACAACTGGCAGATGTGCATGAAGAAAACGTGTTTGATATCAAAATCGAAAACTACGTGGATGAGTCTGATGTCAGTGAGAATAGCAACTTTGTGAAGTGTGGACCTCAGAACGAAGAGGAGAGAGGTGAATCAAAATCAAAATCAAAAGTATTTATTCAGTTTAGACCACAAGTGGCACTTATGAACGTCAAAATTATTATAGAAAATAATAAAAAAGAAAAGGTAGCCCTTATGGGGCACTTTACATGTCTCCTTATCTTTTGGGCCCTACCAGCGCTTCGAGACAAACATATGGCAAGTGCTGAGAAGAAACGCCGGAACAAACTCAGTCACCACTAATTGCCGGGAAATATCTAACGCTAAGAATAACCAAATTCGAGTACATCAAATATGTGCAGACTGAACTGACCACGCATTCTTGTCATCAATATAGTCTCGAACCTTGTAGTACCCTTTGGACATAAGGGTATTTTTTATATGTATCTTAAATTTGTTTATTGGTAATTCGACAAGGTTGTGTGGTATTTTGTTAAATATGGTAATACATTTCCCCAATAATGAATTACCTATTTTATGCAACCTAAAAGATTAATGTTATATTTATTTTACTTCTAATTTCCAATGGAATTACTTTTATAATGTGACAGCTAGGGACTGTAATTCGCTGCCTGCTGTTGTCTTTGCTGAACACTACAAACTTGTAGGTATTTGCGAAAACGGTTCATAAAATCATGTTTGTTGTATAGCAGACAGTGGTGACTGAATTTGTTGCAGCGTTTCTTCTCAGCACTTGCCAAATGTTTGTCTCGAAGCGCTGGTAGGGCAGAAAATTATCAGACATGTAGAAGCTCCTCAATTTTTTTTTATCCACATCAAGGAAGCTCTTGGCTTGTATCTCACCTGATGGTAAGTGACGATCAGGCCGAAGGTGGAAGCGAGCTTCACCCGGAATCCTCAACCACGGAGGAACTGGCTATCTTTCCTCTGACTGCCGGAACACAACAATGCACAAACATGAACAAACAATTTGCAAGTACTAATTTGATTAGTCTAGATAAATAAAGAATTTTTTTCTGAATGTCTTGGTAGCTCACCCACCGGTCAGTTTGTGAAAACTACTCTGTGAGTTATAAAATGCTGTTTGTTTTCCTAAAAATAAAATAAAATGAATTTTTGATTTTTAATTTACCAAATGTGTAGGTAGCTCAGTGGTCAATCTTTGAATTTTTTCGTTGGTATCTCAGTGGTCAATTTTACATTTTGAATTTACCGAATGTCTTTTTAATGTGCCTTATGTTTCGGAGGCCACCGGTCAATCTTTGAATTTGTATTTCCCAGCGACTATGTCTGCGAGTCCGGTGCGCTTACGTCACGAGTGCGCGGCGTGCTGCCGGGGATTTGAGAGCGCGAGCGAGCTGTACCAACACAACCGGGACCACGACGAGGTAAGTCAAAATAAAATCTACAGGGTGTTAGGTAAATGGGTATATGAGCCGACACTAGCCCATGTTAACATGGGCATATAAATGGTATGGTGAAGTCAGAAAATTGATATCTTCATTTTAATTATTTTAATTTTCATACAAATGGGATTTTATAAAATTTATTTTGTATGAAAATTTAAAAAATTAAAATGATATCAAATTAAATTTCAATAAATAAATAAATAAGACGTGGGTATAAAGCGCCATATATCGTCATTGGTTAAAATCTACAGCCAAAAAAATTTGACATTCGTAAATATTAATGCGGGGGAATCCTTAAAACGCCATCTATCAACATAATTATAATTATATTAAATATCTATCTATCTATCCAATTAGTACTTAAACGAGGTCCATGCGTACGAAGTCGTAGTCACGTATAGACGTCACGGGCCTCTCAATTTGAACTTTGGCATGCTTTATCTCTTTAAATTTTCATTACTTTGAAAAAGTGAAAAATACTTGTCGAATTTTTATAAGTTAACTAACGGACTAATTAAATCTTGCTTTTTTTATCCAGGAAACATCCCTATTGTCCAAATATATTTATTTATTAAAACTCTTGCTTTTTTATCCAGGAAACATCCCTATTGTCCAAATGTATTTATTTATTTATTAAAACTCTTGCTTTTTTATCCAGAAAACATCCCTATTGTCCAAATATATCCTTTTTCTTTCTTTTCTGTTCTTTGGTGTGCAATAAAGTGTATTTTTTTATTTATTTATTAAAACTTGCTTTTTTATCCAGGAAACATCCGTATTGTCCAAATATATTTATTTATTTATTAAAACTCTTGCTTTTTTATCCAGGAAACATCCCTATTGTCCAAATATATCCTTTTTCTTTCTTTTCTGTTCTTTGGTGTGCAATAAAGTGTATTTTTTTATTTATTTATTAAAACTTGCTTTTTTATCCAGGAAACATCCCTATTGTCCAAAGATATTTATTTATGTTTTTTATCTCAGCAGAGTAGCGCTGAGTTTGAGTGCGCCGCGTGTCACATCCGGTGCCGAACCGCCGCGGATCTGAAGCGGCATGAAGACGTCGACCACCAACGGTACCCTGGAGACAGCCTCTATGGTATGTTATACACTCGACATCAAATAAATCGCACCTCCCGCGACAAGCACTTTCAAACGTATGCATCCCCACTTCCCACCAATATTGGCACCATTTAAAAGCCTAGTTCTAAACTTCATTTCATTAAAGGAAAGGTTTTTACCCCAAAAATGTGTCTTTAGAAGGATCCAGAGTCACCTAATCAAAAAATAGGTAGTTACGTTTGAGCCAACTTTTATTTATTTATTTATTAAGGTACAGCAACAGATTGCAAATCATGGCTTAAAAATAAAGTACATTGAACAAAGATTAACAATTAATTTGCACTCCGATTGTAGCTGAACACAACATTCGTTTTAGTCTAGCTTTGATTTAAGTGATACAGTAATAATTCTAATAAATACATGCATGTTAGTTTACAATTTGCACCTACACAATTTAAGAAAAGATGCACGAGAAAGTGAGAAAACATCTAGATCCTTGCTAATTTCATTGTAAGCTCTACACATTCGGAACACTGGATTGTTGTACGTTACATTATTCTGACATTTTGGCAGGGAAAAAAGTTTTTGCGTTCTTTTACTACCACCTATCTTAAGTGAAAAATGGCTCAACAGTTCACTGCACGGGACATAATTAATATTATGCAAATATAAATACCACTCCTGATGATCAAGAGTCTTCATATATCTTAAAAGATGATGAAGAAACAGTATTCTTGAGCACTGATAGTAATTTAACTGATAACCTACCTAAGACAAATTAAACACATAATTAGGACCGATTAGCATCCTTTGGCCACGGAACCCTAAAGAAAGTGGAACTACGTAAGGTCATTTTTTGTGACAATCCTAACATTTTGGAAAAAATACTTTTTCTCGAAATTGCGGCCGAGTTAGAATATAAAAAAAATATAGGTGATAGAGTTTATTTAAGAAATGTATCTGACCTAAGCAGAGATTCTACTTCGGCGTAGAAAAAGAGAAAAATAATAATTTCTTAAATTTAAAAAATAATCATACTGTCGTTCCTATAACTACTTTTAAATAATTATAGGTGCAATAATATTTGCCATACACCAACCTACCTACCAGCAATGCAAAGAGAAGCTTAGTGTGTACGTTTCTTTAAATAATAATAAAATTGTAGTTTGACCCAGTACAAAATAAATTTTCTAAAATATTTTTTTAAAAATAATCTATAGCTATTTGTCACCTGGGTGTTTTAGTCTAACATTAATAATAAGTTAAACTTCGGATACTAGTGATAAAAACAGAATGTCACTTTTTCGGGTCAAAAAAAACACTGTGGAGCCCAAGTGAGGTCTTTCTTCAAGTCACATTTATGGTATAATTAATCATTTATTAAGAAATTAAATGCGTTTTTCTTTAAGGATAATATTTATTGGGCTTTCAAATAACACCAATATTGTTGGAGCACCATGATTGTGTCAGAAGAAAATCTTTAAAGTACGCGTCGCGGAAGGTGGGGTTTATTTGATGTTGAGTGTATTTCATTATGTATAAAAGTTATTATGATAAAGGTAGCAGGAACGCGCTGGACGCAGGCCGCTACCAACCGGGCAACATGGAAAGCATTGGGGGAGGCCTATGTTCATTGTTCAGTAGTGGACGTCCTATGGCTGAAATGATGATGATGATAAAGGTTATAGCAGACTTATCAACTCGAAAATGGATCAACACCGTATCGAGTAGATAGTTGACATAATAAACATTTGTTCTACATACAGGGTATCCCAAAATAAGTGAATGAAACTGCTATGGGAGGTAGATTGACCTGTCTACGTTTCAGCCAAATGACGTCCACTGCTGGACAAAGGCCTCCCCCAAGGTTTTCCACAATGAACGGTCCTGCGCTGCCCGCATCCAGGCTCTTCCCGCGACCTTTACCAGATCGTCGGTCCACCTAGTAGGAGGCCTGCCCACGCTAAAATCAGGTCAAGCAGCTAGGCCATGGTAGGCAGGTCAAGCTACCTCAAATAGCCGTTAGATTCACCCATTCTGGGACACCCTGTATAAATACACAATTTTGGCTCAATCAGTGGTGTGCCGTTGCCGGGAAAATTCCCGCGTAGGGAACTTATGGCAACGTAGTTTTTTAAATAAATTACCATAAAAAATATTGTAGTCCACATTTTCGTTGTAAAATTGTACCTATTACAACTACAGAACAATAAATTAATGTTAGGCCCAGAACACACGGTGAAACGCAACTGCAACTTCTAGTTACTTTTGAGTTGCATCTAAGTTTCTGCCATAGATTCCGTTGAGAGACCACACATGACGCGACCAGTTTGAAACCGGTTTGAAACGCGTTGCAAATCAGTCGCATTGAAACCGTCGTGCAGGAAACTCGCGTTGCTTTTCATTCATCGGATTTGGCTTCTTTTGTACAAAATGGCTGACGACGAACCAAAAAACGTTACATTTGTGTTAAAAGTGGAAAAGTATCCTTGCTTGTATAATACCACACTATCAAGCTACTCTCGCTCTTGAAGAACTCATTTTGCAGACGCCTGTTCTCAAAGGAAACCGAAATGATTGTGGTTGCAGGTTGTAGTTTCAAATCAATAATTTCAAAAGGGTTTCGTTGCATTTGCGTTTCACCGTACCTGTGTCATAGACATTTCGTTTATCTTAGAATTATTTTTTTCTATTTACAGTAGTCTGCAATGTTTTTAGAGAGTATTGTTTTAGATTCTAGTTATGTATTTAGGAAACATTCTTGGCAACGGCAACACTAGTACCCGCGTTCCGAATATGAACAACATTTTTTACTATAAAGCAAAAAAGTCTGTAAAACGAGTAATGAAACGGGGCAGATGATAAAAAATACATGCGTTTATTGGCATTGAATCAGCCGAGTGTGACGTCATATCGTTGTTTCAAGGAGTTGTGTGACGTCACGACATTTTTAATATTCTTTTGGGCTTGTCACTTAAGATTGATTTAACAGTGTGATAGGTGGAGCAGTGATTTTCAGTGGAATTAAATGGATTCTGGACAAGGATGAGTCGTGTTTTTGCATTAATTTTTTATTAACATTTAGTAAACCCAACGTAGAAGCTATGATGATAAATTATAATTCAATCTGTAGTTGTAATAGATGCTATTTTGCAATAAAAATGTGTAATCGAGGCCCCGATTGTGGTATAATTTTCAACTGCAATGCAACTGGACGACGATCAAACTTCAGCTGTTTTGACAAATCCGAATCGCAGTGTCGTTTTGACAGCTAGTTCAAACGAAGTTGGAACGCAATATAATGCAACTGAGCCTTTACGTAAAAGCTGACAGAAAGCTATTTTTCTTACACACGCTTTACGAACATTTGCTGTGTTTTGGTAATTTTAGTTTCAAAAATAAGGTGTTCGGACTTTTAATGTAAAGTGCATAAATCCATTGTTTCGTCTTTGTTTGCGCGTGAACTTTACACCGATACCGAATCGCACATCAGCTGGAATTAAATGGAGCGCGACTGGAGTTGAAACGCGAATGAAATGGAGACATTACAAATTAGCGCAATCGAGGCCCTGATGTGCTGTGAACTATTATACTCTTTAAAACGTTACAGATACATAAATACATTTTTTTCTAAATATTAACATAATATTATATTATGTCTGAGTTAAATTCCACTATTAAATAATAAATCCTTTGCTTGCAGGTAAATCCAAACCAAAAGGACTCGCAAAGCATACTACCACACCAGAAAATACGTCTTCAAAGGAAAAGGCACGCGCAAGAAATCAAGCCCCTCACGCAATAAATATAGATACAATTAAAATTGAACCGAGTGTTGGTCCATACCCAAAAAGGAATAATCGTAGAAACACAATCTTAAAAACGCCTAAAAAAGAATCAAATTCTACTTCCATCCCAAAGGGCCTTATTATAAACAGCAAAAATCCTCGGTTTTCCTGCGAAATATGCGGAAAACATTTCTTACACAAAAGTGTTGCCACACGTCATATTTACACGCACTCAGCCAACAAGCCACATTCGTGCGAATATTGCGAGAAAACATTCGCACAAAAAGGCGCTTTGGTAAACCATGCGAGAATTCACACAGGTGAAAAACCGTTTTCGTGTATGTACTGCAAAAAAACCTTCACAGGGAAGGCGGCTTGCAAGTATCACGAAAAATTACATACAGGTGAAAAACCGTTCTCGTGTGACACATGTGGGAAAAAATTCCCACAGAAAAGTACGTTGAATTCTCACGTTAAAATACACTCAGGTGAGAAACCGTATTCTTGCGAGATATGTGGAAGGGCTTTCGTGCTCAAAGCCAATTTGACTTGCCACGTGAGGTCGCATACAGGCGAAAAATTATTCTCATGCGATATATGTGGCAAATCTTTCGCGCGTAAATTCCATTTGCTAGAACATACCACGTCACATACCGGCGAAAAACCGTTCTCATGCGATTTTTGTGCGAAAGCGTTCGCTGCTAAAAGTATTTTAAAGATCCATTTAAGAATACATACAGGTGAGAAACCGTACACTTGCAGATACTGCGGAAAATCATTTATACAAAATGGCAAATTGAAAGTGCACGAAAGAATGCACACGGGCGAAAAACCGTACGCTTGTGAGTATTGCCCGAAAACGTTTCTGCTAAAACTTGGCTTAGACACTCACAGACGAACTCACACGGGCGAAAAACCGTTCCCATGCCCAATATGTGGGAAATACTTTTCAGATAGAAGCGTGGTAGCGCGTCATAAAAAACTACACGCAGATAAATTGCCTTTTTCTTGTGATCATTGTGGAAAATCATTTTCAACTAAACGCGATGTGACACGTCACATAAACACACACACAAATGAAAGGCGTCCGCATGTTAAAAAACAGAACGCGTTCAAAAACGAATTTAAGACTGACGAGTTTACGGTTAAAAGTTGAAGCTTAAAGGTCATAGCAGACTTATCAACTCGGAAAGGGATCAACACCGTATCGCCTTTCGCGAACTGTCATCACTTTACGCGAGCTATCAACCGCGAGGCGAGGCGTTTACGTTACGGTGCGGATAAGGCCCAGAACACACGTGACGACACCACACATGACGCGACCAGTTTGAAACCGGTTTGAAATGGTCGCGTCATGTGTGGTCTCTCAACGGAATCTATGGCAGAAACTTAGATGCAACTCAAAAGTAACTAGAAGCTGCAGTTTCGTTTCAATTGCGTTTCACCGTGTGTTCTGGGCCTAAGTGTGCGTTAATTTTTATACAAAGAACTAGCTTTCCGCCCGCGGCTTCGCCCGCGTGGAATTTTGTCTGTCACAGAAAAACTTTATCGCGCGCGTCCCTGTTTCGAAAACCGGGATAAAAACTATCCTATGTTCTTTCCCGGGACTCAAACTATCTCTATGCCAAATTTCATCAAAATCGGTTGCGAGGTTTAAGCGGGAAAGCGTAACAGACAGACAGACAGACAGAGTTACTTTCGCATTTATAATATTAGTTGGGATTAGTTGGGATACTGACCGCCTCGAGTTGATACGGTTGCGAACTTACGATCCCTTTTCGGGTTGATAAATGTGCGACATCCTTAAACCAACATCAAACAAATAGCACCCATAGAATGCAATGGCACTGATAGTTGGTAAAACAGCGTTTTGTAAAAGTATTTCATTATTCGATATCGAGTGGTGGTGGCCAATCCCTATATTATCACGCGAAAAGAAGTACACAATCACTTTTTACTAAACTATATTTTTGGGTATCCTTCCGTTTGGCCAAATTACTTTTCGCCAAATTTCACTTCGCAAACAACTTATCGCCAAAGTTTCATTTCCCAAATGAACTTTTAGCAACTGTGCTTTTCGCAACTAATTCATTTGGTCAAATTATCATTTGGCCAAATTTTACTTGGCAAATGTTTATATAGCAAATGTTTTATGTTGCCAAATATTATATCCCAAATAATTTGTTTGGTCAAATTGACACTTCACCTTACCCACCGTTACCCACAAATCAAAGCACTTATGCTTTGATTTGTGGGTAAACATTGCAGAAAATAGTATGGTTGAAAAAAGTAGGTATTGCAGAAAATAGTAGGTTAGGTTAGGTTAGAACAGTGACCCTTAATGCGCGAAGGCGAGCGAAGCGTGCCGCGGCAGCGGCCGCCGAGCGCTAGAATCACCTCTATTGTTAATGAATAATTTGGAAATTTCGATACAATGAATGAATGAATATGTAGAACAAATTTTATATTAACTCCCCACTAAACAAAATAATAAGCACAAGCTAATTTGTATAATGTCATTCTATGCACCAATCAAATTATTTTGTAAATAGTTTATCGTGAAATATTTTTGCCTAATAAAACATTTGGCAAACCATACTTTGCCAAACAATAATTTGGTAAACAATAATATGCCAAAAACAACATTTGCGAATTAAAAGTTTGCAATAAGTTGTTTTGCCAAATGAAAATTTGCGAAACGTTGTTTGCGATGTGATAATTTGGGAAACGTTTTTTGGCCAAACATTAGTAATCCATATTTTTGTCTTCCGTGGATGAACTGAAAAATCTATTATTTACCTTACCTTTTAATATTTTTGCCCTGAAAATAAAAATAAATTGAAAATAGATAAAAATTATGATTTAAATTGTCCGTTGGCTACAAAATTACGCGATACTCAACAATTTATCTATTTAACAAAATCTAGTAAATGTAAGATGCAACATGTATTATTTTGTTATTTGTTATAAATTGTCAGCTTGAGTTGTGTTTTATTTTTTTATTATTGTTATAAATAAACATTTTATATTGTTACTATTTTGTATTATAAATACTATGTTTTAAGTTTCAAGTTATAGTTGTTTTAGTACATAATAATATTTTATACTACATAATTATTACATTTAATGTATAATTCTCTGGAATAAAATACGTTAAGTTATAATGAATTCTTTTATTTATGTAGAACAGCAGATTACACAAATAATAATAAATAAATAATCTTTGGACAATTTCACACAGCGCCAGCTAGCCCCAAAGTAAGCAACTTAATGCTTGTGTTATGGGTGCTAGCTTAACGGATATACTACTTATATACTTTTTTTTTAAATACATAAATATTATACATAGTCACACCCAGACCCGTCACAGAAATTAAAATTCATCATTTCAATTTCTGCCCGGCGGGAATCGAACCCGGGACCTCTCGGCATAGTAGTCCGTTCTGAACCACTACACCAAACGGCGAACACATGTGTTGTAAAATCGAACCTATAGAAATGTTTAAAGGTCATAGCAGACTTATCAACTTGGAAAGGGATCAACACCGTATCGCCTTTCGCGCTGTCTTTTTTTTTTTTTTTAAGGGACGCGCGCTTGTAGTTTTAGGAGCTTTTCCAGCTTCACCGGGCAGAGTGGCGAGTACAGAAGGTATTCTAGCCGTTTGGCNTTTACATCTGCACCAGAATCCAATTTAAAACGCACCAATTTATTATTAATTTTTAAAATAGCACTCCAATAATCTACACGTTTATCAATAAAATTGTTTACCTGTTCCTCGGACTCCACACAATAAACATTTGACTCATAATTACAGACACGAGCAAAATGGTTCATTTTCAGGCACCGTAGGCACTTTTTTCCGTAAGCCGGGCATTTATATTGTCCATGTACACCTCCACATCGCGTGCAGTTGGCTTTTTCACGTCGTACCGCTGCTCCTTGCGCCGACGCCCGCGACGCCGACGACGGTCCCGCTGCTCCGCGGGCCGCCAGCTGATGTTGCATGTGTGGGCGGCCTCGAGCTCGGGTCCCTCGGCGTGAGATCAAAGCATTGACCTCTCTCTGTTCATCTTCAGGATATTCACAATTTCTCGATACCGCCATTCTCATACCGTTGTTTTTGTTGTATTTTATTTCGTGAACGTATTCTTGTTTTATATTTTCTGAGTATAATCTTGACACGGTGGCTATTCGGCAAATCTCTTGTGCTTTATCTAAGTTTAACTTTTCTTCCCGCAATAATCTTTCTCTTATTCCAGCATCGTTCACGCCACATACCAACCGATCTTTTATCAAATCTTCCATCAAATCGTTGAAATCGCAAGATTGTGCCAGTTTCCTTAGTTCATATATGTATTGATCAATCGATTCGTTTTCCATTTGGCCTCTTGTGAAGAACTTATGTCTTTCGACCGTTACATTTTTCTTCACTTTAAAATGGTCGTCCAAAATGTCGATGACTTGCTGCTGCGTATTGTATTTTTTGTTGGACTGATCTACGACTTCTCGACACTGTTCGCCAATTACGTGCAATAATATGTTTATTTGTATCTCAGGGCTTTTTTCCTTTAGCTGACACGCTTTGAAATAAATTTCAAAACCTTTTTTCCAACGTATCCAGTCTGCATTTCTTCCTGAAGTGTCAATCGAGTTTTCATCGTATTTAAACGGCAACGGGGGAGTGAGCACTGTCTCCATGACGAAATGTTCTGTATTTTAACACTTTTAAAATACGAATTACTACTTCAATTATCTACTGCCGAATATCCTACCGACTGCGCCATGTAAACGTTTGTGAGGCACGTACAATGAAACACAGGGCTGAGCAATGACTGATTTAATTCTATAAGATGCGGGTGAAAGCACATAACAAAATATTGACATTAGTTATCAAACTACCTGACAATATATATAGATTTAGCAGTAATTTGTCGTCACTATTAAATGAAATCGCTTGCTTACAGGTATTCCTGCAATAAAACGTATTCAAGACCTACAAATTCCAATTCCTGGGCCACTGCTGGAATTTGCGTCGTCAACAGAAAAGATAAAAGCACCGAATGAGACTATTACAAAAGGAATGACAGCAATAGAGAAGCCTATTGATATTGCTAAACTGCAAGCCGGTAGAAATATCGAAATGTTCACTGAAAATGTTATTGCACTATACAATAAGAGAATTGATAATATCAAAGATAATCCTGATTCATCAAAACAATCAACTTTCATATTTCCTTGTCAATATTGCGAGGAAACTTTCACAGATAAAATGGTTTTAAAAGATCATACAAAAACACAACATGCCCACCTAAAGTTCAAATGCAGTTATTGTGATAAAACATTCGCAAAAAAATATGTTTTAACCATACACGAAAGAGTACATACGGGCGAAAAACCGTTCTCGTGCGACTATTGTTTAAAAAAATATTCACGGATAGACGATTTGAAAAGTCATATCAAAGTACATACAGGCGAAAAACCGTTCTCGTGTGAATACTGTAAAAAATCTTACACGCGAATGTATTACTTAAAAAATCATATGAAAATTCACACAGGTGAGAATGTGTTCTCTTGTGGTTACTGTCAGAAGACTTTCTTTCAAAAGGACGTGTTTAGAAGCCATTTGAGAATACACACTGGTCAAGACAAAATAGAGTGTGGTAGTTGTGGGAAAACATTCTCACATAAAAACTATTTGAAAATACATTCCAGAGTGCACACTGGTGAAAAACCGTACTCGTGTGAAATTTGTGGTAAATCTTTTGCACAGAAAGTGGTTTTAACTCGACATATGCTCCTACACATGAATAACGAGACATTCTCTTGTGAATTTTGTAAGAAAAGTTTTACTCAAAAATACTATTTAAAAAGACATATGAAAGTACACAGCGCTGAAAAACCATACGTTTGCAATCACTGTGGAAAGCGTTTTAATTTCAAAATCAACTTGGTGTACCATGAGAGGGTGCATACGGGCGAGAAACCGTGCTCCTGCGAATTTTGTGGGAAATCGTTTGCCAGAAGAAGTCATTTGAAAAATCATCTCAAAACGCACACAGGTGAAAAACCGTTTTCGTGTGAGCACTGTGGAAAGGATTTTGCAATTAAAGGCAATTTAATAAGTCATATACGAACACACACTGGGAAATAGCTCTTTTTGAAGAGTTCACTATAAATACGGCAAATGGGTAGGTATATGATCCTTGTTATGGGTTAAAAATACCTAAAACAATCTAAGATTTTAAACTTTCGCGTTCCATTTCAACTAAAATAAAAAGACACGGGTCTTACCGCGCGCGACGTTTACGAATGAGTTACATTTTAAGTGTCGCGTTAAGACCCGTGTCTTTCTATTTTTACTTAAAACAATCGTCAATAGAATTAAAAGTAGTTCAGTGGTCTTAAGCCAGTAGACAAAGTACTATTCGTGTCGATATACCTATTTTATGTATATCGCGATCGCTTCGTTAATCGCTACCTCATCTACTTCTGAGTTCTGTGTACGTAGAGATGTAGCGAAAAGATTTCGAAATAATATTATGAATGTCACTCTATTTACAGTAGGTACTTGTAATGTATAATTCACCGATTTATTTTGTCAAAATATTTAATTTATTTCAATAAAACATTTAATTTATTTCGATAAATTGTTTAATTTATTACTATAGATATTATATACGATCTATACCACCTACTTAGTCCTGACCTATAGGGCTAATGTTAGGTATAAAATAAAAAATGATAAAAATGGCACAATAATTAATTTATTTCAAATCTATACAATATTATTTACAATACATTATGTTACAGTTTTCCATAAAGGATTTGCAGAAATTTAAATTATTAGTATTTTTTCAGGTTACTGTTTCAATTACGGTTTCATCAAAATGCATTCAGTAGTTTTTGCGTGAAAGAGTAACAAACATCCAGACATCCAAACTTTCGCATTTATAATATTAGTAGGATTTAATAGTCGGGTAAGCACAATATTTAGAAAATAAAACAAAACCGCTAAACACGACGCTTCACTTTCCTACCAACAAGCTTTGCCAAAGAATCTTTAGCGACATTCATTTTGCAGCTTTGTAGATGGCGTTTCAAATTGCTTCTATGTCCAAACAATCTACCACAACAATTGCACGGAAACCGTTTCTCAGTTACATTCTTTTTGCTGCAACAATTAAGATGTCGCTTCAAATTGCTTTTCTGTATAAATTTCATGCCACACTTATTGCACAGATACGGTTTTTCACCCGTGTGAGTTCGAACATGGTCTTTCAAAAGTTGATTTTTCGTGAAACCCTTCCCACAGAAAGTACACGTGAACGGTTTATCTTCAACGTGCATTTTCATATGCTTAACCAAATAGTGCTTATCGTTACATTTGAACTGGCACAAATCGCATGGAAATGATTTCGAATCGTCCTTTTCTTGCGCCACATTGCCATGCTTTATTGATATGTGCCGTGCTAAATTCATTTTGTGCGTGTATATTTTTCCACAAGCATCGCACGACAAAGTGTTTTTAATTCGTATTTTACTAGAATTATTGTGCGTGAGTAAGTGAACGCTCAAGTGAGTTTTAATCGAGAAACATTTTCCGCAGAGACCGCACTCGAATGGCTTTTCTCCGGAATGGATTCGGGAATGTCGACTTAGGTTACATTTGTCTGCGAATGTTTTCGAGCAATGTTCGCATGAGAATGGTTTCTCGCCCGTGTGCACACGTCTATGGCGTTTCAACCTCGCATTACTTGGGAAGACTTTTTTACAAGTATCACATGGAAATGTTTTTTCTGTTGCTGTAATTTTTTTCGTTTCATTTTCATCATTTTGTTCTATATCTTCCGTGTCCATATTCGTGTCTGAACTGTCTAATCTATCTGTATTTGGTGTATTATCTTTATAATTTGTGTCTAACGGGTCATCCGATTTAAATAATGGGACTTCATAATATACCTCGTTTTCGATTAAATTATTACTAATGGCCAATTTTGTTTCATTTTTTCTATTTGGTTTCATGTTTTTAGTGAGTTTTCTCTTTTTTATAGTCACTTCACTGTTAGTTGCTTTTTCTTTTTTCTTTATTCTATTATTTAGTTTCCCAATTTCTTCTTTTTTCTTTATTATATTGTTTGGTTTTACAGTTTTTTTACTGACGTCCTTTTTAAGCTCTTTCTTCGTTAATTTTTTTACGTCTTTGTAAAGTTTTGGCAATCCTTCTTTTACTTCTTCGGGTAAATTTGATTTTTCGTCTAATTCCACTTTCTTAGGCTTTTCTGTAAAATAAAAATTAACGAATGTTGTCATTAGATTTCAATTAAGATAGATACCTAAATATAATAAAATTGAAATAGTAAAATAGGGAATATGCAGAAACAGTTAACCAAGTGCGTGTCGGGCCACGCGCAGTGTATGATTCCGTAGTTGCCCCTCGTTACTACAATACAGTGTGTGTAAAATGCCAACAAATAATAAAAAATCATACTTTTCGAAAAAAATCTGCTTTTAAATTAGTGTTTTTTTGGTTATTTGATAAATTTCTCCAAAAAAAGCCCCTATAACCGGTGGTTTTTATTACTTTGTATTATTCTCTATCGTATTACCTTTGTAAAACAAAAAATCACATGTCTCTATCCCTATCACAACGTTTGCAATGATCGTTTAAACTAAGCCCCTCCGGGCGCGCTATTCAACGCTTCGTTAACAAAGAAACTGAAAATGTCTCTAGATTCGTAATTTTGATAAAGACAAGTTAGATTTCAAATAAAAACCAAAGATTTCGAAGTAGAATAAGCATTTCAGTTAAAATTAAAATTGTCTAAATTGAGCGGAGAAAAATGTTGTGGCAGGCCTTTGTTCAAACGATCATAGCAAATCGCACCTTCGGTAGAACAAGGGCACAATTGTCAAAAATTGCAAAAATGAGTCAAGTATGCAGAAATACTTTAAAAATGTGTAGCTAATAATTAATAGCTAATTAATTAAAATTGCAAAAAGTGCAATTGTGCCCTTGTTCTACCGAAGGTGCGAAATGTGATAGGGATAGAGACATGGGATTTTTGGTTTTACAAAGATAATACAATAGAGAATAATACAAAGTAATAAAAACCACCTGTTATAGGGGCATTTTTTGGAGAAATTTATCAAGTAACCAAAAAAACACGAATTTAAAATCAGAAAAGTATCATTTTTTATTATTTGTTGGCATTTTTTGTGTATTTTATGTATTTTTTAGTATCGCCTGTTATTTGGCATTATTACTGTTTTTATTTTATCAGGATATACCGCTTAGTTTAAAAGTGATTACGTTTTCTTTACAATAAGTAATTGGAAGAAAAAAAATTCATTTTTTTTTAGTCTCAAAAAATTTTTGACCTCTTTTTTGTCGATAAAAATAGGTCTAGTTTCATCTATTTTCATATGTACACTTTAACGTGACTCACACTGTATAGTTTTCTTAAATTTTTATTCGCGATACAAGGTTTTAAGCGTTACAAACAAGCCATTACTTCTTTAACCTTTTCAACGGCAATGACGGATACATGCGTACATCAGGTTGACCGCCAACGACGGATTAATCCGCTTTAAAAATGATGTCAGTAATAGGCTAATGAGGGCTATCGTTTTTATACTTAACAGTTGGCACCCCTGGCAATTGACAGGACCTTACTCTACAGTGGCGCTATCTTGATGAGTGCAAATGCGATAGTCCTCCTACCACTTTAGCGCTCACCAGTTGGCGCCACTGTCTTCGCTACTAGCAAGTGACAGGACCTTACTCTACAGTGGCGCTATCTTGATGAGTGCAAATGCGATAGTCCTCTTACCACTTTAGCGCTCACCAGTTGGCGCCACTGTCTTCGCTACTAGCAAGTGACAGGACCTTACTCTACAGTGGCGCTAACTAACAAGCGCTAAAACGATAGCCCTCATTGAGTAAAGTAAATGAATAATGAATACAATGATTATATTGATATCATAATTTATCAAGCCTGGCGGGGCTGTGGCTTTCGTATTTGACGTGGCGCTGAAAAGGTTAAAAGTCACTATTAATGTTTTCTCTGAGGAATTTTTCGTTCGTTCGTTTCAGCCAAAGGACGTCCACTGCTGTAAATTTTCTAATAATTGAGTTGAACGACTATTACTCTTAAACTAACTGATCAATCTGAACCGTTATAGTTTTCCTTGAAACTGGATTTTCTTGGGTAAGGGCCCTTAGGTATTTGGTTTTAATAAACAAAAAACTTATATACCTTCATCATTTTCAATCTTCGTTGGACTAGTGTCGGACGCTATGATAGTTTGCGCCGTCACCACTTGTATGCTGTCAGTCGGCGCCGTTACTGTTTCTTTGCTGTCACTTGACGCCTTCAGCACTTTTATGCTATGAGTTGGCGCCGTCACCACTTGAATGCCGTCAGTTGGCGCCGTTAGTGATTCTTTGCTGTCAGTTGGCGCCGCGTGTGATTCTTTGTAGTCAGTTGGCACCGTCAACGCTTGTATGCTGTAAGATGGTGCCGTCACAGCTTGAATGCTGTCAGTTGGCGTCGTTAGTGATTCTTTGCTATCAGTTGGCGCCGCGTGTGATTCTTTGTAGTCAGTTGGCGCCGTCATAGCTTGTATGCTGTATGTTGGCGTCTTCACTGCTTGTGTGCTGCCAGTTGACGCCGGTAGANTTGGCCAGTATGTTGGTTCCAGGCCAGATATCGAGATCAGTTTGTTTTCTGTGATACTGGCCTGCAGTTGTCTACCTCTAGTTAAGGTTATACGAGAGCCCCAATTAGTATGCTTAGAGTTCCAGTCTCCCCCAGCTATGAAACGACAACCCAACGTACTGAAGAATTGCGTGAACATAGCGTCGGTAATTTTGTGCTTTGGCGGGCAGTACACTGCTGATACGTTGAAACTGCCGGAGTTGTCCTCTATGGCCACTGTGGTTGCTTGGATGGGCTCTGTTGCATACTCTTCTAGAAGACAGTGTTTGATGCTATTGCGAACTACAACGGCAGTTCCCGCATGTCCCGTTCCATCCGGGTGGTTTGTGCTGTACGTGCAATATCCCTTAATACTCACTTTTGAGGAGCTTGTGCAGTGAGCTTCAGAGCACAGTAAGACGTCAATTTTGTGTAGATTCAGGAATATTTCTACGTCATCTTTGTTGGGAGCTAGGCCGTTTATGTTCCATGTAGCCATTCTAAGTGTAGCCATTAGGCTAGCTTACTGACAAGTGTTGTTATGAGACTCANGCTTCTTTGTGGTCAGTTGGCGCCTTTATTACTTCTTTGCTGTCAGTTGGCGCCGTGATAGGTTGCATAGTGACTTCCACAGTTGGTGGAGCGCCTATAACCATTAAAACATTATTAAACTAGCTGCCCCTAGAATTAATGTAGGATTCGATCACTCGCACTCACACTGCGGCCGTTCGTNGTATCATGTGAGAGGGGGCTGACTTCCTTGAAAGAATTTCTTGGTACACTTCGCAGCCCTTATAGTTTGCTGGATGTGCGCCATGACACAGTGCGCATTTAGCCGGAGTGTTTCTGTCATGTTTAGGGCATTCGGATGTTTTATGTGGTTTGGCACATTTGACACAGCGGTATGGTCGCATACAGAAGTTTTTTGTGTGCCCATATTGTTGGCATCTTTGGCACTGTACCACGGTTTTTTTTCTTTTTGGGTCCTCTATTATGACTGTTTGGTGATATATGTATTTAATATCTTTTACGGCTTTGTTGTTCGGTCCAGGTTCAATATTCACAAAGAAGGTTGAGGTTGGTTTTTTATCAGGTCCATACCTTACATTTATTATTTCGCCTGCTACTTTATTTCCAGTATCCTCTACAGCTTCTGAAATTNTGTATAAAATTGATGAAGGAACTAGTAGTTGTATTTGCTTAGTTTCGAAGAAATATTCGATTTTGTGATTTTATAAAAAAATCAGTTTTAGAAGCATATTTTCTAAAAAAATTACATGAAGTCAAAATTTTGTAAATAAATTTACCTATCACTATAACGTCTACCTTTATGCAAAAATAAAAAAAAAATTTGTATTTTGAGATAAATACATAAAGATGGCACCAGATATTGTTCGTTGTAATAAATGCAAGGCTAAAGTTAATAAAAAAGATACCGTTGCATGCTCAAAATGTCAAAGCAGATATGAATTTGACTGTGTGGGGCTCTCAGAGAAACTGTATAATATAATGAGCAAAGATAAGAAACAAAGCTGGAAATGTCCTGTATGTATAGTTATACCACCTAAACCTAAAAACAAAGCACCCTTCGAACAGACCTCCGTATCTACTAGAAAGCAAGCTGCCGCGAAAGCTTCAATACACGCAAAGACTTCGTCGAGTGATGCAAACATCCAACGATCCAGCTATCCCACCGCATCTATGGACACTGATGTATCCATTGACTCCCACATCTTAACACAAGACGACATCTCAGTATGCGATGACTCTTGCATATCTGGAGAAAGATTATCGAAAAGCACAGAAAATACTTTCATAAATGACACAAGCACCGAATATGAACTACGTGAAGAAATTAACCAATTAAAACTCAACCTTATCTCTACGGAAACAGAGCTGGAAAGTACGATACTGGAAAACAATAACTTAAAGAAGAATATTACTAAACTAAATAATGAAATACACTTGCTAAAAAACCTCTGTAAGACACAATATAAAATGGAAAATAACAAAAGACTCTCCTTACCACANATCATGTGAGAGGGGGCTGACTTCCTTGAAAGAATTTCTTGGTACACTTCGCAGCCCTTATAGTTTGCTGGATGTGCGCCATGACACAGTGCGCATTTAGCCGGAGTGTTTCTGTCATGTTTAGGGCATTCGGATGTTTTATGTGGTTTGGCACATTTGACACAGCGGTATGGTCGCATACAGAAGTTTTTTGTGTGCCCATATTGTTGGCATCTTTGGCACTGTACCACGGTTTTTTTTCTTTTTGGGTCCTCTATTATGACTGTTTGGTGATAAATGTATTTAATATCTTTTACGGCTTTGTTGTTCGGTCCAGGTTCAATATTCACAAAGAAGGTTGAGGTTGGTTTTTTATCAGGTCCATACCTTACATTTATTATTTCGCCTGCTACTTTATTTCCAGTATCCTCTACAGCTTCTGAAATTGCTGTGTGCGGAGTTGAGTGGTGTAGATTACGAATAACAATTCTGTAGAGTTTTTGGTCCTTTCTGTTGAATGTATGGCCTATAATTCCCTTTTCACGAATAAGTGTAATGAGTTTTTTGTATACATCCAGTTCTTGGCAACTGATTCTCAATTGGTTTTGGTTGACAATCTTATAAGTGAATTGGTTTCTTTCAGCAACTGTTTCAAGCAGTTCTGTCAGCTTTCTAACATCCTCCACTCCATATAGTACAATTGGTGGGGGCTTGCTGGGCTTGTGAATCTTTGGAACCACATCATCCTCAGTGAGATCAACTGGTAAGTTGCTGAACCTGTTTGAGGTCTTGACCGCCTCAGGAGAGGGGCTTTGTGCTATTTTCTTCCTCTTACGGTTACTCTCTTTAGGAACTTTTTGCCATTCTGGTGGACACGGAGTGTTTGATCCTGTAGGGAGACTATGCATTTCATTTGAATCTGCTTTTGTTGGTTGTAGGTAGGATCTACCAGGTATGGGAGAGTTTCCAACTGACGAGCTTCTTGGCCGATTGTGAAATAAGCTCGGGTGGAATGCCTGCTGGACAAATTTTCTTGTGTTACCAGTAGTAGTAACTGACACAGAAGCCTGGTTACCCACTTCTATGCAGTCTTCGGTAACCAATTTCACACTCTCCGGCCCGGGTACCAGAGAGCGCCGGGGGTCAGCCGGGGCGCATGACAAATCGCATTCGTTTATCAGACCTTCCATATTTAAAAAAAGAGATGGGAGAGATCTCATGGTACTTTCCCAAGGTCCCATTGCCACACTTTGAGAAGTTATTTAGTTCTTCAGGGCCTGTGGTGGCCATTGACAGGTTAATTAACCGCCGCCCGTTGCTCGGCGTTGTTGTTCGTTTGGCGCCACCCGGGGGACACGTGTAGGGTAACAGAGGGCAATCTTCCTACGGACGCGAACAACTACACCCCCCCCTCCTTTATATAAAAAAATAATATTCATTGCATTTATTACAGATCGATCATGCTAGGGTTGTCACAGGAGTAAAATGCAGCTGCGTTTAAAACCAGAGCGGCAAGTGCAAAACTGCAAACATGTTGCTGCTTTAATATGTTACATTAACAACAAAGTTAGTAATTTAAAAACGAGCATCGAACAACAATGGGGAGAACCCAGTATTCGTCAATTTGTAGCTTGTAAATATTCCAAAGGGAGATATTTTCAAGATATGTTTGGATCAGTATCTAAGACTGACTGTTGTGAACCACAATCTATATTACTTCTAATATCTCCAATTTACGTAAAAACTTCTTATGTTTGGATGTGTAATATAAGTGCAGAACTTTAAACTAAAACACAACAGACATGTACAATATCATTAATACAATTAAATAAATTAACACAATCACATTAAATCAAAACAACATTGTCAATGACAAGACAAGTTTGTTTGCTTCCCTTGCCCTTTTTGTTACACATTTGTGCCGCGACGAGCGCAGCGATCGTTTTCTTTACCCCTTCCACCCACTTCGCACGTTCCCAATAGTTACATTGGAGACTTCCATGACCAGAGGAACAGAGAACGAAGAAAAATATGAGTTTTGCAGCTAAAAGATAATTTCAATTGAATCAAATCGAGAATTGTTAGCAACAGATTTACTATCAGGGGGCTTTTTTAAGAGTCTGATTCGCTAAATGAAGTTTTATTAATTTCTGTTTTTTTTTTAATATCCATGAATACTGAAGACCACCGTAACTTTTTTGGAATATTAAACTATCTGTGTTCCTCGCCATTTAGTAAAATCTCCCTGGATAACTTTCGAGCAACAAAACTGTTGTATCATAAAATGGTCTATGATTGTTGTCTATGGTCGACTGAAAAAGACGGCCATGTTGTTTTGGCATCTTGAAAAGGGGCTTGTAATAATTAAACATGCTCAGTCAGTAATTCTGCCTCTTAACTTATGGTGACTGCTGTAAAAGTCGTAATAAATGGAGAAAAAACAACAAGCAGACATGAAGGAGGCAGCGCAGGGTGGAAGAGGCCACCAAGCCAAGGTGACACCACCAGGAATTTTTAGTTTTGTAGTAGAATGGCCGAAATATAAAACCAGATTTATGGGGTACATGAGTATTTACATGAGTACAAGCTTTTCCGCAAATGCTCAGTCAGAGGTTACGAGACGAGTTTATTACAATCTGGTGCGTATTCGGAGAGAGACACCGGACTACTAATATGCTTGAAGCATGGCACAAAAAGCTTAATAAAACAATAAAAAAAAAGCAACCGAATATCATAGAGTTGTTAAACACACTGCTCAGCGACGCCTCCTATTATGAAGTGATTTCAAAACAAGCAGAAAATCTGTCAGCATCTCAGCAGTGTAATCGGGTCCGTGGCCGAGTCCCCCAGTATTCGACGCACCCGTGGTTGAAGCCCCCGATTTAAATAAATTTAATATCATATTTTTTTCGACTTTTGCACTAAGTACAGTCAACGAAAACCATGCATGTTTGACGCAATTTAAAATGATGTATTTAATTTTTTGTTAAAATTACTTAAAACTTTTATATTTAAAACTTTTATTTGTAGTTAGTTAAATGGAGAGTAGAGTTATTTTAAAGACTGATTGTTACAATTATTTTGATTAGGTGAAACGATTTACATGTTATTATAGGTAAATAAAACCTATGATAAAATAAGATAAGTTAAAATAAAACCTATTATATTTTTAGGTATCACTATGGTAAAATAATATTAAACATTTATTTGTACGATCAGTATAAATATTTATTCGTTTATAAATATTTTTGTGACTGACTGTACATTTGATTAAAAATTGCTTCTATCTGACCGGGGGCGTCGACCACGGGTGCGTCGAACACAGGGGGACTCGGCCACGGACCCGTGTAATCGTTTACAGGAGTCTTATTATTAATTGCGCATCTGTGATTCTAAAAGTAATCTTTAAGTTTATGACCAAATATTTTGTGACAATTAAACTTACTTTTATGCTGAAGATTTTTTAAACAGTGACTGTTAAATAAAACTGATTATTATTTACACATTATTTTTTTATTTTATTAACGGGTTTTATTTTCGGTATGCAATACCGAGGTGGAACCTTTTAGATCTGTGTCATCCTTCACGTTTAGTGAAATACCGGGGTGGTTGAAACTTGATTTGATCCATCCGCCCCTTTAAACGATATACCGGGGTGGTTGACACTTGATGTGTTTCATCCACCCCGTTGAACCNACCCGGGGGACACGTGTAGGGTAACAGAGGGCAATCTTCCTACGGACGCGAACAACTACACCCCCCTAATATTTGAGACTATTTTAGTGTTCCGTTGTAGTAGTTTTTTTACCATGAATTTTTGACACTAACATGTTTTCATTAAGTCAAAATTATATTACTTTATTAAACTTTATTTTATTAACAAATCTTTTAAAATAGTTTTTTGACGTCAACAAACTTGTTTTAATAACTTAAGATGTGATTCACATCTCAAATAATTTAATAGATAAACTTTCTACAAAATTATCTCAGAACATTATTTGACATAGTAAATTCATCTGTTTGAAATACACAATAACTGCTGTAATCAGGTTATTTCATTGAATTTCATACTAAAGTACATTTCCTAAAATTAAAGAGGCTTTCATGCACAGAAGAAGATGAAATAAATAAAAATTTGTGGTACTTAATAAGGGTTGTGTAGAGACTAAAGACTTGAGTTTATTTTTGTGTGCTAATTCTTCTCAGTACTGGCTCCATTTTAATTTAAATCAAATACCTACAAGCTTAGTTGAATAAAAGATTAATAAACTCTTCATGTTAGTAACTAGACCATTAATTTGCCCCACCCTGTATCGTAATGGATTTAAATAGAAACAGTACATAATTTAATAGCTTGATAACCTCTGCTGAGATATCAGCTAAGTTTAATAATCTTTTGGTTGGGGGCCAATTTTATTGCTCAAAGTACATACAGCATTATAATTGATATCTTTTATGAATTTTATGTGTATAGATTAAACACATATATTATACAAAGAAATACAAGTAGTATATGAAGTCACTTGTGTTAAACTCCAAGGTATGGGCTTTTTAACACCAAGGTAAAAAAACTTATCTGGATTTAAAAAAAATGTTTTGAGTTCTTTAAAAAAACTGCTTATTATGTTCATATTCATTTGATGTTTAATATTTTTCCCAGTTAATAGTGACGAAAAAACGCTCCCAATTAAATCTATTTATTTTAAAATTTTAATCTTCAGGGCCTAGCAAAATGGTGCAAAGAGCAGTCAATAGAACTGGTCGTGGTTGGTCCAGAAGACCCCCTCGCGAATGGGATTGTGGACGAGCTGACAGCCCTTGGCATCCCGTGCTTTGGGCCCACCAAGGCAGGTGCGAAGATCGAAGCCAACAAAGACTGGGCCAAGAAATTCATGAACAAATACCAGATCCCAACTGCAAGACATAAATCGTTCACTGATGCTGCTGCAGCTAAAGAATTTATTAACAGGTAAATTTTAATACAGAAATCTGTTATGATAATTTTCAAGATTATTTTTTTCGTCGTTCATTGCTTTGCGTATACCTACTGGCCAGCATTTCCTGGCGAAGACCTTACCGTCATCCCGATGACGTTATGTGGGACTCCTCGCCAGAAGGCTGGGCTACCCACCAAAACCCGAACAGTGTCCTCCGAAGCCATCGAAACGGAGCCGCGAGTAATCGTCTTAAAATTGGACAACATACTAGCTCTTACCTGTGCTCTCACGATGACCATTCTCTTCTACTTGTTACGGGATCGTACATTATCAACTATTTCCAATTATTGTTTCATCTTTATGTCCTACCTACAGATATGTAAAGATATGAAAGCAATACGCCAATTACTATATCAGTGCACTGAAGACCAAACTCTTTATTTTTATCGCATCAACTCTGACCCATTCATTATCTCGTTTACGACGATTTTTTTAAAGAATGTGGAGCAATGTCGTGATACCCAGTGACAGGTTTTGATTAAGTTTTGTCAGAAGAAATATACTTGATACTACATTTCAGTGATAACAGCACTGTACCTCGAACTTTCCTTAAGGCATGTTTACTTGGAACAGCAGCTTACTTTGTGAGCTGCGGAAGTCCTCCATTGTATGTCTCAAATCAAAAGAGAAATCAGCAATCAGAGAGAGTGATCAGCCATTGGAGTACGATTCACTGCATTCACTTAAATATCCTGGTTTATAGCAACTAGTTTGGAGAGTTCCCTATTTGGTAGATGCAAATGCCGATGGTGGTAGACCATCGGCTTCTGATACTGCAAACTCGGTTACACAAGCTTTCTGGTCTATAATAGCCGCTGTGAAGTGGTAAACTAGACTGCGAATCCAGCGATCGCCAATTTGAATCCTGCGAGATCTAATTTTTTGATGATAAAGATCGTCACAGTCGTAATGGTTCCACGACAACCGCCCACATGAAGATGTTCCCTTGTTCGCACTTTCCGTAAACGATCTGCAAGCAAGCCTGTGTTCAATTTCATTCTGACCAAAACGGCAAAGCTCTTAGCAGAGTAAATACAAATGAGTAGGTCATCTTCATAGAAACGCACCGAGCGCGGTTTGTATGTGAGCGCGCGCCAATACGTATGCGGCGCGCACGCACACACTGACAAAATTCAGCGCACCTCACCACAGAATAAGTAATAGTACAGGTACAGAAGGATTACTCCGCAAGACGATTTAAATAAATGCGAGTCTTGCTGCGANAGGGGATTTCTACCAGTTAAGTAGTAGTGTCGCATAATCGATCACGGATCGATTATTAATCGATATTGCCAAATATCGATGTATCGATTAACAATTCGATTAATCGATTTTATTGATTACCATCATTACTATCATTTGATTGTTATTTCAATTCCTTATTTTCAGCAATATAATCGATTATTGCAATCGAATAATCGATTATGATTTATTCGGTATACATACCTACTTACTAAATCGATATAATATAGTCGATAGTAACATATGATACAATACTCGCAATATGATCGATAAAAGCAATCTAATTGACCTAATATACTATTTTTATTACCCTAATGTGATGTGAAATACTATGGAAACATTGCATATTCAACGACCTCTATCTCCGTATCCCCGCGTATTTCAGGATTGTCGTCATACTATGAAATGAAGTACTAGTATTAAGCTTTAATTTAGTATACTTTTTGTTTCTGTTGGTTTAACGCCCAATATGCCCATCATCCTTTTTGCTTGTGTTGATGGCCTCAACTCTCGTTACGCGACCTATAATGATAATGAATATTAAACGAAAAATTCTCATTTCAGGGTAAATAATATACAAAAATGGCAAAGTTATATAAAGCCATGTTTAATTCAATGCGCTTATATTCTAGTAATATTGGAAAAGTTAAATCTCAAAAATATGTCCTAACCAAATACTTTCAAGGAGAACCTAAAAAATCTGACTTCAAAATAATAGAAGAAGAACTTCCGGAGCTGCAAGATGGTGGTAAGTAAACTAAGACAAGGTGTTAATACTATTTATTGTACAAGTTTTGGCCTCCATTATGCAATCCACTCAACATTTTTTCTTAATTGATTTTCAGAAATACTGACTGAGGCTGAATATTTAAGCGTTGATCCTTACATGCGTGCTTATATGATTGGTTATAAATTACCAACGGATATGATAGGCGGACAAGTTGCTAAGTAATTTTTGCAATAACTAGTACCATTATTATTATGATATTAATTGACTTCACGCGTATTTAACCTTTTTATACAACGTGTTCTTTTTGATTTCCTGGAACTCTAGGGCATTAATAAGACCACTTCAAAGAATGGAATGGCATTACTTACATTTTTTGTTAAATTCAACAATTTTTTTCGACTTATTTATTCATACGAAATTATTTAAAAACTGAAATAATTCAGGGTTTTTATGTTCCTGGTCAGGCTATACTTATTTCTTGTCATAGGATCATTGCAAGTCGTCACGATAAGTTCCCTGTCGGAAAATATGTTGCTGGGTCATTTGGTTGGCGGACACATACCATTTGCAAGCCTGAGGCTCCTCCACGGTTGGGTTTCTTGCCGCTAACATTGTTGCCCGATTTAAGTCCGCACTGCGTATCTCTTGGATTAGGAATATTGGGTATGCCCGGGTAAGGATAAGATTTATCTCTGATGACATAATTTTAATTATAGTATGTGCTCGCTCATAATATTTATCTGTCTGAGCCATAAATATTTATATAACTTATTAGTTAAAATGTTATTAATTCTCAAAATATATTTTAGGAATACTTCTTACTTTGGCCTAAAGGAGATATGTAAGCCAAAACCTGGGGAAACTATCGCAATAACTGGAGCTGCTGGTGCGGTAGGGTCACATGTGGGACAGATAGGGAAAATTATGGGTCTGTATTCTTAAAAATTAGTAAGTAGGTAAATAAATTTAACATGCACAGATTAAACCATATACCTACTTTTTGGTTCCAGGATGTCGAGTTATAGGTTTTGCTGGTACTGATGAGAAGTGCGACTATTTAACAAAAGAACTCGGATTTGATTATGCATTTAACTACAAGACAACCAATATTAAAAGTGCATTAAGGGAAGCAGCTCCTGACAGAGTGGACTGCTATTTTGATAACGTGAGTTGAGTTCCTTTAATTCTCATTAATTGTACCTATTCAATTTTGAATAACTATTAAGTAATAAATGTTAAATGTAACTAATATTTTTAGGTTGGTGGTGAAATCAGCTCTACTATAATGAGTCATATGAATCATTATGGTCGAGTTGCTGTGTGTGGCTCCATATCCTCTTATAATGATGCTACATTACCTAAAGGTAATTTTATTTATTTATGATTATATTATCGAATCTTCAAACTAACGGCTATGATTATTATCGTTTATCTTGATATTTTATATTACTGTAATATTTCCAGTTACTATTCTTCAACCTGCAATAGTTTTCAAGGAGTTAAAGGTAGAAGGATTTTTAGTAAACAGATGGTTCAATCGGTGGGAAGAAGGTATTAATGCTAACTTGGATTGGTTGAAAGATGGTAAACTTAAATATCAAGAAAAAGTATACCATGGCTTTGACAATATGGTGGATGCTTTAGTTGGAATGCTTCGCGGAGAGAACACGGGCAAAGCTGTTGTCAAGGTCAAGTGAGATAGAAATACCTACTTATCAATGAAAATAAAGATGATCAATAAATTGTTTTTTATTTATGCAGAATACATTTTTAGTAATAAAATTGGTCGCATATTATGTAACTGATACAACTAGGTCCTTAATACAACTTTCTAAAAAATGTCTGTGTCTGGCTGGCTGGGCTACCCTGTATGGAAGAAGATTATACACTACTAGCTTTCCGCCCGCGGCTTCGCCCGCGTGGAATTTTGTCTGTCACAGAAAAAATTTATCGCGCGCGTCCCTGTTTCAAAAACCGGGATAAAAACTATCCTATGTTCTTTCCCGGGACTCAAACTATCTCTATGCCAAATTTTATCAAAATCGGTTGCGAGGTTTAAGCGGGAAAGCGTAACAGACAGACAAACAGACAGACAGACAGAGTTACTTTCGCATTTATAATATTAGTTGGGATTTATTTAATATTATTGACCGATAACGGTAACGTTTTTTCCTACTTGTGTAACTGCCTTTAGCTTGATGTTTTTGTCAATTTTGTTGACAGTTGTTGACGTTTTTTGAGCGCGCGAGTCGAAGAATATTGTTTTCATTTCGTTTTTCAGTGATTTATTTGAATTAATTTAATGAAAACTTAAACATTAAATGAATATTGAAAGCATTGCTCTTACTAGCTCATTAGTAAAGTATTAAATGTTTGTTCGCAGACAATGACTTCTCTTAACCATATTTTTACTAAATATTCTGTTAATAATTCAGAATGTTCTGTTTATTATTATACTTTTGACTCTCCTCTTGGTGATATCACTGCTGTAGCTGACGACAGTTACCTGTATATGGTTTGCTTCGAAGATTCAAAGAACAATGAGAGCACCATTAAAAGTATATCCAAAAAGCTTTCTTGTAGCTTTGTTGAAGAAAAGAATGAAGTATTGATAAAATTTGAAGAAGAACTTGCCGCTTATTTAGACGGCAAGCTCAAGAAGTTCACTGTGCCTTTAAAAATGATTGGCACAGACTTTCAAAAGGTATGAACTGAAATATATTATACTTACTAAGTGGTATTTAAATTATAGACAGGTTGATCTAAAAGTTGATATAATATAAGGTTTAGATTAAAAACAAGTCATCCTTGGCTTTACTGACATAAATAACTATTTTAGGATGTTTGGAAGAAATTGTTGAAAATGCCGTATGGCTCAACTCAGACATACGGAGACCTAGCCAAATCACTTGGACGTTCAGCAAGTAGTTCTCGCGCTATCGGTGCAGCCTGCGGAGCCAATCCGCACCTTCTAGTAGTACCGTGCCATCGACTCGTTGCTTCCAACGCTAAAGGTGGAGGATTCAGCAGTGGAGTAGATAGGAAAGAATGGCTGTTAAATCATGAAAAGAAGAATAATTCGTAATTTACTTTTTGGAACATTAAATGTGCCTTGTTGTAACTTTTACCTCATTATTATGTGATCAAGTAGTATTTAAGTATGTCTTAAGTGTTTCTTAAATGTTATTATTATTAATAAATAGAGGATAATACTTCACAGTTTTATTAAAAAAATAAAATGTAATCACAAACATGTAGAAATATTAAAAGGATAGGAATTGTTACCAGAGTAATTTCTTACTTTGGTATTTAATACTTAGAACTAATATTATTTTACATTCATAATTCATATGATATTTTAATAATAATGGTTTTTGTAAAATAGCTAATAATCTCATATTTTACATACATGTAGGATCACTAATTAGGGAACACAATAATAATTATTAGCACTAGTCAATTTACTCATGACATAAATTAATTATTATTATCATAGAAATGCTTTACTTACATAATATGTATTGTTCTAGTACCATTTCACTTTCAGATTTGCTCTTAATAAGGTGGTAATAGAATTCATTGAAAGGTCTGTAGATAATATGATACATTATTCTTATTAAGTACATTGTTATTTTACATACACAATTTATTTCTAGTGTACTTACTCACTTATTAAGATTGTAATATTTGAATGACAGCAACATCATAATTATTTAACAATCTTACACGATTTATTTCAATCTAATCGATTTATTTTAATCTCGTATAGATTGTTTCATCCACGAAGACGCGCCCCAACATTCTTCCGCTAATGTTTGAGTGTTATCGGTACACGCTAAATTATCCATGAGTGCACGCACACTACAATAATGACGCTCGGATTGATCGGATCAATTCTCGCACCCCGCGCTTCCCGCGCCCAAAAAATTGGTGGGGCGCGTCTTCGTGGATGAAACGATCTATACAGTGTAGTTACAATAATCGGCGTTTCGATTTGTAATTTACGTATACCCGCTCTTATTAAGGTTGTAATAGAGTCCTTTGAGCTGCAGCAGCTCGGCGTGCGTGCCGCTCTCGGCCACGCGGCCCTCGCTAAGCACGCAGATGACGTCAGCGTCGCGCACGGTGCTGAGCCGATGCGCGATGAGCACGCACGTGCGTCCTGCCTTCGCGGCGTCCAGCGCTTCTTGCACCACCTGCAAGGGTTTGGAGTTAGTATGATGGTAGCAAGATAAAGACTGCGGCATTAGATGGTACATCGCAAAAATGAATGGTCTGATGTGCTGTCGACTGTACGATGCATAATGGTGTTGAGGTCTAAGAGATCGTAAGTTACACAAAATTCATCGTAATTTGTTCATGCCATGTGATGCCTTTAATATTTTTGTGAAATGGCTCTCAATTCACTAAAAGCATGTCTCTTTTGTGTTCGCCATCGATTAGCTTACAAGTTGTGTCATAGTGTATGTTACGATATACGAGGGGCGGCTGAAAAGTTTTGAGCCTAAGGTATTAAAAATGCCGATAGAAAAGTATAAAAAATAAATTTTTCTATTTAATCTCGCTCTAATACAACGGACTTCTTACATTTGTGTAAAAGAGCTTTTAACCCACTGAAAAAATTTTTGTAATCTTTGCCTTCGAAATGAGCCTTTAACGCCGCCTCCATTTCTTTGTCACTCAAAAATGGAGGTATTTTTTCCAATTTGAGAATTAGACAAAATAGCTAGGGATTCGGACTAAACTGTGTGGTGGGTGATTAATTTCTTGAAATCCAGTTTTACCCGGGGCAAGCCATGCAACATGCGCGGTGTGCGCGGGCGAATTGTCTTGCAATAACAGATTTCCTTTCGCCAGTTTGCCTCTTAATATTTCAACAACCACTTGACGCACTCTTATCATTAGTACAGCATAATAATCACCGTTTATTGTAGTTTTTTAAAAGTAGATAGTTAATGAATAAAATTCCTTCACAATCCCAAAAATAGTGGCTATGAGCTTGGGATCGATCGCTCCACTTTGAATTTCCGCGGCGGCGTTTTCCCTTTTGAATCCATTACATTGACTCTGATTTTAACTCTAGATCGTACTGCCGGATCTATTATTTATCAATAGTGACAATGTAAGAAAAAAAATGTTAGGATTATGGCCAAAGATATCCTTAAACTCCTGCGAAGTTGTGACTCGACACTGTTTGTCGAGTGGCGTGGGCATTTTTGGCACCCATCGCGCGGACCCCTATTTCATGTGCAAATGAGTATGAAATATATCGCCGATACGTTCCTTGCTAATGCCTATGGCTTTAGCTATCTGTCACAGCTTAATTCGCTAATCTTTAAAGCAAGATTCTTTAAATTTTCATTATTTTATTCGTTAATGGCGAAAGTCAGGGCGGCCAGACTTGCGGTCATCTTTTAGCGACTCCCTGCTATGCTTGAACTATCCGATCCAATCTTTCATGATGGCAAATGAAGGCCCAGACTCCCCATAAACTGTAGACATCTCTTCAAATGTTATCGTCAGCGTTTTGTTCTTCTTTTTGAGGAATTTTATGACAACTGTGTACTTCAATTTCGTACATTGCGCGGATGACTGAGACATGATGATGTTTACGGATTAATTTCTAAAAGCGTGATGACGCTAATGAAATGAAACTTTGTACGTATACTAAAGAGGTTATTGGCAAATTAATTAAATTTAGCGCGAGTCAATAATTACACTTGAAGATACTTAGGCTCAAAACTTTTCAGCCGCCCCTCGTAGCTGATATACCTAGTACTCATTGCGATCCCTATTCCTTCAGTGCTCCCATTGATAGCACTGACCAATGCTCGCAGTGCTATAACGGAACATCAAGAGTATGTTCCGTTATAGCACTGCTTAAGTACTGGTTAAGCTACCCTCAAAATCCGATGGGTTGTTTTCAAAAGTTTCAGGCCTGTATGTGAATCTATTCTGAAGGCCACTGACTTTAATGTCGTACATACGATAATGGTCTATAAGCAGACCACCGACTTTTAGTTTAAATTTAAATATCCTTAGACATTTTACACTGCGCTTCTAGTCCCAAACTAAGCAAAGCTTGTACTATGGGTACTAGACAACGGATATAAACGTACTTAAATAGTTTTTTTTTTTTCGTAAATACATACTTATTATACATAGTTAGAAAACACCCAGTCCAATACAAACAAATATGTTCATGCACACAAATGTTTGTACTGTGCGGGAATCGAACCCGCTACCTCTGGAATAGTAGTCCGTTTCGAACCACTACACCAAACGGCCGACAGTTGGGCGGTTGGGCCCGATTTCAATTTGTATGAAGAACTGGCCGTTACCAAATCGGTGTAATGTGCGCACTTTCATACATCTCCATACTGATTAACAGCCCGACTCTACTATCGGCCAACTAAAAGTCAGTGGTCTGCGCCTAGCGGTGCGTCCACACTAAGCGCACGAGCTCGCGCGGCACGCTGTCATCCTGCTCACCCTGCTCTTGAGTGAGCAGCATGTCGAGTGTGCCTCGCGAGCCCGTGCGCCCAGTGTGGACGCACCATAGGTTAAATATTACCTTCTCGCTCTCGGTGTCGAGCGCGCTGGTGGCCTCGTCGAGCAGCAGCATCTGGGGTCGGCGTACGAGGGCCCTCGCGATGGCCACCCGCTGCTTCTGCCCGCCGGACAGCTGCGTGCCCTTCGAGCCGATGTTCGTGTCGTAGCCCTGTGGTGAGGTGCACATTTATTAAATTCTGCTAAGTATCATTCCCACTGAGCATCGGGCCCATCGATCGACCCTTCTGCTCTCAAAAAAGCAACTATTTTTAGATTGAAAATTTGAAAAGGGCTGCTTTGAGTGCCCAGGGCTCACAGGTTAAAGATGGCCCTGCGATAACTCTTGAGGATACGAGTTACTGGCTATATTAGGGCATGGCCTCTGCTGTGTGAAGTCGCCTGTGCCTGTGTCGGATGTAACGGTGCATGTCTAGCAAAAGTATAATACCTAATTAGCGGTGTTCTCTGACCCATATCGCGCGAAAAACCGCATGATCGTGTTCGTGCCAATAAAATTTGAAATCAAAATGCTATCAATGACAAAAGTTCTTTTCACCAAATTTCAACTGTTTGCTATTGAAGTTTCTGATGAAACCGTTACTCACCAATGGCAAAGATGTGATAAAGTTGTGTATATTAGCTTGCTGCGCTGCATGAATTATCTCGTCCATGACAACTCTCCGGGAGTTGTCTCCATAAGCGATGTTCTCGCCAATTGTTCGGTCGAACAGCACGGGCTCCTGTTGAACGAAGCCGATGGCTTTTCTTGCATCAGCTAGCCGGAGTTTTGGCAGAGGCGTACCGTCTTGCGCCTGAAAATTTAAAAACCTTGAAATCTTATCTGGGATGTCCCGTCCTATGTAATCGTTCGTTCGTTTCACTAAGCCAAATGACGTTCACAGCTGGACATAGGTCTCCTCGAAGGATTTCCTAAGGAAAACCAAATTGACCAACTTAGCTCGCAGAATTGCTAAACCTAAGTGGCAGAAGGCAGAGCACATGGCTCGTAGAGCTGATGGCCGTTTGTTGGGGCACAAACGTTCTCGATTGGCGACCACGGACTACTGAACAGGTCGGCAATGTGGACAGGCCTTCCCCTAGGTAGACTGATGATTTGTTGAAGGTCGCGGGAAATAACTGGATGCGGGCCTATGCAATATCATTTTATAATTAGTCATTTGTGCAACCTACTTCCTCTCCGCCTTTAGTAGTCCGTATAACTAAAGCGTGAATGTTTTGCACTTCCCAGAATTGGGACGTATTCTCTCTAATTCACTTAAGATAACTTACCACAATTCCATCGTCGGGGTCATAATATCTTTCAAGTAGCTGAATAACAGTGCTCTTTCCGCAACCGCTGCTGCCAACGAGAGCGACGGTCTTGCCTCTCTCCACTTCTAGATTTAAGTTCTTGAGCACTTGTATCAGGGGCCGAGTTGGGTATCTGAAGTTAACTTCTTGCAGACTTGCTTCTCCGGTTCCTTTCTGGAAAATTATAATGGTGTTTTTATAAGTAAAATATTCATACTTTTGTAAGTTAGTCAAAGTCGCAATTAGAAAGTCCATCCTGAATTTCCAACTTCCATGTTTCAGACTTTAGATTCATTTCAATGCGGGTCCAATGACAGTTATCTTTCCTCCGGGACAAAATTGACCTTCCCTGATTGGGTTTTTATCGGCGCTCAAGCGGTAGATCGTAGCTACTCAGAAGTTGCAGCGATGGGAAAGAGGTGGAAATGTCTCGTTAAGGTTCAATTAATGTTGTTGCGTTGTGTCGGTAGTTAGTAAAAAACAGATGCAAACTTACGAAGTTTTCAATCG